TATATATTTCTTTATAATTTCGTTTAACTCGCGTATAAACGCGTTCTTCGCGTTAATCTAAGCGAAAAAACCCGCGTCGCCGCTTATTAAGCGGTAGGTAACCTAAAGCTATTACCGGGCGAAGGCGGCGTCGTCCTAAAGATAACGGTTAAACGACGCGATATATACGAAACGGAGGTTACTTACGGTATCGGGGCTTAGGTACGGATAACGAATAACGAAGAGGTTACGGCGGTTTATTACCTATAACTCGTACTCTTAAATCCTTTATATATAGGAATTAATACGCGCGATATATACGATAAACGCTAACGCGTCGATAACGCGTCGCTATTATAAGGATAACGTACCGCGCGATTACGCTTAATATTATTCTTATAAAAATTAACCCTATAGCTTTTTTCTATTTACTCGAAAGCGTAGAGGAGGCGGTAAACGAAGGCGGCGAAGGCGTCTCGTAAGTAAGAGAAGTAAACGAACTCGCTAGGTTCGCTATCCTCGTTAGTTTTTACCGCATAATAACGGTTAATAAAATTAATTACGATAAATAAGCCGCGCGTATCGCCGGTAATACCGTTAATTAATTATATCGATACGTTAGCGAAACGCGTCCGAAACGCGCGTTATAATAATAACTTACCGGGATATATTCCTTACGGCGGTAGGTATAAAGGCCGTACTTAAAGGAAGCGGCGTTAGGAAATACGTATAAGGAGCGGAACGGTATCTCGAAGTATTTTAAGCGATACCGGAAATAGATTATATACGGTAGGTCGGCGTTCTCTACCGGCGTAACGTATTCGGTAAGCGGGTTATAAGCTATATTAACGACGGCGTTTCGATTATACTACGCCGGGCTTAGCTTAAGAAGGAAAAGAAAGATTAAGGAACGACGTACCGTAAGCGTATTAATAATAAAATAAAGGAATGGAAATAATAATATAAAGATAGCTCGACGGTTCTTATTTAATTATTTAATTAAAAGAAGGCAAGATAAGTAGACGTAGCGAAAAGGAAGAGAGCCGACGGATAGGAGAAAGGGAAAGAGTTAAAAAGAGCGGGCGTAACGATAGAAAAATTTTATATACGCCTAGGAAATAGCGGTTAACGGTATTAATCGGTAGAATTAGCCGGCTATATTAACAAAGCCTAATTTAGTATTTAATACCTTAAAGTAATTAATAAGATTAGTAGTATATCGCGGGCGATATTATATCGACTCGTAATCGGAACGACTACTTAACTTAGGGAAGGAATAATTATAAGGAAGCGATAGGAAGGTACGCGATAGGTACGAGGATATAAGGTACTATAGTACCTATACCGGTACGAGGGTACCTCCTAGGCGGTAACCGTTTTAACTTACCCCGCTTCTCGCTATATAAGCGACCGTCTATCGCTAGGTACTCGCCTTCTTATCCTTTTAGAAGGCAAGTGCTTATTTACGTTACTACGGGAATATACTTATTACCTGGCTTAAGGATTCCATTACAAAAGGTCCGATTATATAAAGAGCCGTTCGTTAGGATATAATATCGATATCGACGACTAAAGCTAAATTATTCGTATTAAAGTATATAGTTAAGGAAACGATAGCTTTTAAACGTTTCTTTAGGGATATTACCCTAAAGCTAGGAGAACCTTAGAAGATATATAGCGATAACTAATAAACGATAAAACTAGTAATAAAGAAAAAAGAAAGGATTAATACTAGGCTACGTTATATAGATATATAGAATATATAGCTACGTTAGAAGTACTAAAAAGGTACCTTCGAAGTAATTTACCTTCTTATTAATTAAATACTAGTAAACGGACTTACGAAAGCTTTATTACGTTAATCGTTCGAGTACTTTAGAATATTACTTAACCTATAAAATACTCGCGGAGAAATAGTTACGATAATATTTAAAGAGTCGCTGTAAGTACTAACGGTACGTAAATTCTTTCCTTAATTAATTAATATATAGATATAAAGTATTACCGCTATATAGAAATAGCTTTTTTTACCGTTAAATATCGAACTCGTATTACTTTTAAATCCTAATATAGGAAAGCTACTTTAAGATAAAGAACTTAACTACGGGAATAATAAGCGCGATCGAACTAGCGGAAAATATAAGCATTAACGGATTCGTTTTAGTATTTAATAATTTCCTCGTATAAGCGGTCGGCTTATCGGTATAATACTTCGTATAAGTATTACTCGAAAGAAATAAACGCGTAAGCGCGAGCGATCTTAAATATTATTTCCTTAAAAGATTACTCTTTATCCTCGGAAGTCTTCTCTTTCCCTTTCCTTTCTTTAACGTTCTTTATCTTTATATCTAATTCTTATTCGGAGGCGATAATAAGCGAGGCTACGCTAAGTATTACGGTCGATAAGCCGGCGGAAACGTTACTTACGTTAACTAAAATAATAAAAGGATTAATAAGTATAAAACTAAGGACGGGTACGGCTACGGTAATCGATAGGTCGGTAACGGAAGGGCTTACGCTTAGCTAGGTAAATTAACCGGAATTAATTACGCTTCGTCGTAATTTTACGGTTTCGGATACCGCGGGTATTTACTTTCCGTTTTAATAAAACGTAAAAAGCTTTTTTATTATCGTAATAAGCTTAAGGACTTATAATTAACGTTAACGAATATTAATTAACGTAAAATAAAGCTTATATATTAACTAAGGACTCGATACGGGCGACGATAAGGTAAGTAGCCGGTAGAATTAAAGCGTCGGCCCTATATAATATTAGCTTTAGATCTCGACGTACGAAGATAAGAAAACCTATAAAGATACGTAGGCGTAACCGGATAAGTAGCGGTAATAACGGCCGGTACTTTAAAGAGAATCGAAGTATTCTTTAGTAAACTTATTTTAAGCCGTATTACGTACGTAGCTTAAGTAAAGGATTATACGGCGAGTTTCGTATTTTCGATTACGGGTAACCGAGGTAGTTTTTAAGGTAACGGTAATAGAAGCTAAAGCGGCCGGTACGACGGGGGTATTAAACGGGACCGCCGGAGCGGCCGGGCTAGAGGAAGTAGTAGAAGTAGTAGTAGCTCCGGGAGCCGAGGAAGCGCTACGGTTTCGTCCCTATCCTCGTCCTCGTCCTACGATACTACTACGAATCGGAGTAATAATAGTAGCGGCCGTTTAGGTTACGCGAGTAATTAAGGCCTAGGTACGCTATACTAAGGCGTTAGGTACGATTATATCGACGTCGCCTTCGTCGATAAAGGGGTCCTTAAAGGGCTAAGCGATAACTAAGGCCCCGGACCCGGGAGTAGAGGATATCCTTCCGCGGCGAGTAAGGCTATCGGCCGAAGCTTTAACGCTACCTCCCGTACGAATACGGGAGGTAGGCTAGGAATTCGCGGTAAAGAAGCCGAGTATCCTTTACTTTAGCGAGGCTACGGTACCTTAAAGCGCTAATACTATCTTACGAAGCTCTTAAGTATCGAATATATTAAGAAATCGTTAATTACGGTATTATATTACTACCGGTAAATAACGAATAAGTAATAAACGGATTATTTCGAATAACTTTTTATTTATTAATATAGAATAACTAACGGTCGCTTTATTATCCTAGGATATTTTAATATTAAAAGTAATATATTAATCGTAAATAATAACCTTTACCGTAATAAGCTAAGTTATTATCCTACGGTCGCTTAATAAAAGTATATTACGACTCGTATAATACGCGAGTTACGCTTTACGTAAACTATAAAGAAAGCGGATTTATCTTACGATAATAAATTAATAAAGCTTTATTAGTTATATTAACTTACGATCGTATAATTAATAGAATTACTTAATTATAGTTAGGAGTATATACTTATAATAAATAACTTAGGAAAGAAAGGAAAAGAAAGAGGTACGCTTAATTCGAGAGCGAGAAATCTTAGATATATTTATACTTAACTACCTTCGTAGGAAAAACGGCAGAATTAGTTAGCATAGGTAACGCGCGCGAGCGCGCGCGATAGTAATAAAGGAGATTAAATCCTAGTATTAATATTAGAGTTATTATTATTACATTACCTATATAATTAACTACCGCTTAATCGAAAGCGAATAATTATACGAATAATTATACGAGTAATTATTTTCATTTATAATAAATTATAAAGTATTAAGTAAGGGATACGAAAAGTATATAACTTAGGAGAAAATATTACTAGTAATAAACCGGAGTATATACGGATAAAGGAATATAAGGGAGCCCGAGATAGGGTACCTAGTAATCGATTAACCTTAACGAGGCATAGCGAGACTAAGGAATAACCCCTTAGGCTATTATCGTAAGTAAAAGACTATAGTTAACCTTACTATCGTAAGCTTAATTAAGGGGTATATTACGTAGGTATATACCCCTAGTAGGAACTACCTAGCTTACCTAAGCTAGCTAAGTACTACTATATATACCTATAGATCGCTCTATACTCTCTAATAGCTTTCCTTCTTTTCTAGTTAGTTAATATATACCTTCTTACCCTTATTCCATTACTCTCTTTGCGAATAACCTATCAACCTAAGCTTAGCTCTCGCCAGCTACGTAACATTATTTAAGTAAGGGCGTCGCGTTAAAAGGCGCGTTCGTAGGTCCTAACGCGGTGGTCCGTGAAGGGGTGGCTCGTAGAGGGGTGCCCTAGCTTATAGCCGTTAACGCCGGGGGTGGAAACCAACCTACGGCGCTATACGAGGCAGCGAGAGAGGGTAGAGTAGATATTGTTAAGAAGCTGATCGCTCTTGGCGCCGATGTGGACGCGGAGGGGAGTTAGTTCAATACCGCTCTTAGTGTAGCAGCATACGTAGGTAATACCGATATCGTCGAGATCCTTCTCGCCTAGAGAGCCGACGCCTTACTAAATGGCGGCCCCTTACCGAACGCGCTGGGCGCGGCGCTTTACTCTGGAACGTACGAGCTTGCTGAACAGCTCATATCGGCCGGCGCTCAAGTTAACGTGAGAGACAAACAGGGGCGTACGGCGATGCACCTGGTTGCGCGGCAAGGCGCCATCGAGACATTCTATCTGCTCGTCGATCAATACGAAGGCGACCTCGATGTCGTAGATAAACAGGGCCGCAAGCTGCTACACTACGCAGCCATGAGCGGAGAAGTAGATATGGTCCGCATCCTTCTCGATGAAGAGCCTAGCCAACTCGCCGAGTTGGATCTCCCAGACGGCGATGGGTGGACCCCACTGCATTGGGCCTGCCGGAGCGATGACAACCTCGACATCATTCAGATCTTGGTGGAGAAGGGGGCCGACGTAGTGCGGGAAACCCATGACGGCTGGACGCCTGAGAACATTGCCGCATTCCATGGCGCCAATGACGTTGAGGGCTTCGTCAAGGAGAGGATAGCAACCGCAGCTACGCCACCGCCGCGCAGGCGGTGGAAGGTTGGCGATAGCGCCGAGGCGACCTGCGACGGCTGTCTATTATTATCGGTAAGCAACGTACAATATCACACAGCTTCAATGATTGTCGACGTCCCGATGCCATATCTGGGGTTTCGCCGAGGCTCCCAGATAAGAGGGGCGAAACCGCAGATAAGGAATGCTCGCTGCTGTTGGTGCTCTTACTCAGATGCTCTCTTATGGTGCAAAGCGAGGTCAGGTGTCCGGGAAACCCCCATGAGCGCAGCCTGGGCTCGATTGGCAATCATTATGGGCGGCATCGGATATATAGGTGCAGCCCAGGCGGGCAGGACAACATGACTAACTAGCTTCTCCGTAGGGCATTATAGGGCCGCGGTGGCGTTGCAAAGATTGCCAAGATTTTGACTACTGCTTTAAGTGCTCCTGGTAGGTTATCTAATTTAACTTGATTGCCTGCCTGTGTACACTTCGAAAAGCCTCGAGAATCGTAGCGACTGACATAGTGGTGAAGGACCATAGACAAAACACATCCAGATCACACCTTCACAATTATCCCGAGCCAAATAGGCATCCCAGGACGGCGGCCGGAAGCCATTGAGGATGATCCAACGCCGGAGTAGAGGGACAACAAGCGGAGTGTAACGAGCGGTGGAGGGCATGTAAGCACGGCAAGTTCAGACAGAGTGATCTCGTTAAGGTCTAAGTTTCTAAGTATAGAGGTATAAGCGAGTCTTACGGGGCTAGGTTTAGCGTATTCTCTTATATATGTATTCTAGGCATTTCCGCCTTACATTAAATTCAGAGGATAACTTCATTACTGCTACCATATAATATTATATACTAAGAAGGAACAGAACGTAAAGGCTTGTGGGGAACCCTATGCTGTATTCCTGGTGTAACTCCATATCCTCAGCCATGACCTGAGCAGGGCTCGTATATAACTTAGGAGAGAACCCTCCCTTGATCGAGGGATAAGAAACCCGACAATGTAATCGTATCTTAGGTTTGGGCCATGGCCATCGAGATATGGTGGTCTCTAGCTTAAAGGGGAAAGGATGTTAGATAAGAGACTAGAGCCACGGCCCAGCCCTGAATAGCTTCAATTCAAGCCATTTGCGACCAACTACCGTTTCTATATAAACACATATAATAAAGCCTAGTCCACAAAGGGGTGGCCCGTGGGGGGGGATGTCAGCTTATTAGGTACTCGTAAGGGAGGGATGGATACCTACCGCCTGACTTCCCCGGTCAAAGCAACCGAATGACATCTCTTATTTGACATGGTATCATGATGGTTGGATGCCATGTAAAAGGTGCAGGCATCTGTTGCCAAGGAGGGAAAATGTAACAGGCGTCTACATTTCCCAGCGACATGGGGTTAGTTGTGGTATGTCCAGTGTCAGTTGGGCTTCCTATCTTGGTCTCTTCGCGCCAAACTAACGAACTCGTCACTAGTTTCTCAGACGACTTCGGGAGCCAAGCAGGCCAAGAGCGCGAATCTAGTTTTCCTCTCTCAAGGCAACCATTGGCCTATAGATTCTACTTCAAATGGGGATGACAAAATCTATCGTGTGCGTCGCTCGGGGTCATGGGGGTTGGGAGGGTTCTCGTGGTGGCCTTCCCGTGTGGCTTGTGCTTCAGTCATATACACTACTACACGTGGAATACCTGAGCGTTCCCAGCGTCCCCCCTTGTCTGTGACGAGATTCAGGTAAACACGAGAACGCCTAATATCTGCTAATGTAGAAGTCTGATATTCTTAGGATATCACAGAAGAATGTCACGAAAACCTTCATACATTAACCGTCACCCATATTATCTCCTCCCTCTCACCTTTTCGCCCTGGGGGTGAGGAATTGGCTGTCGACTCGCACACGTCCCGCGGACTTATATTCTTTTCGCATCCTCCACCTCTGACCTCGTTCCTATGGCTTTCCTTGTAGTCGCTGTCCGATGGGGAAGGCACTAAAAACCTTCCATATATCCTTAGTATGCCCTAGGCAGCTCACCTCTCCTCAACCCCTCGCCCCATTACCAGTGATACGAGACCATCCAACCCAAGGCTGCGGGCCTCGAACTGAATCGGGATGTGACGGGAGGCCTAAATCGTAGCGAACGTGGCGGGATCCTAGGGGAGCGACGTAGCGGGTTTCAAGACGCCAAAGGTCATGTTACCAGGCTTATCTGAGCCTTTTGCACCCCCCCCCCCCCCCCTCCCCCCGGCTCATATCGACAAGTCCTTCTACACCGCATCTACCGCCCAGTTTATCCCGCTCTCCTCCAGGCTGACGAGGAGCAGGTCGGGTGTGGCGCCGTGGCACCTCATTGGATTTTGCCGAGATTACTTGCTGGTAGGGGAATTAATTTAATTCGGGCGTAGCAGGCGCACCGAGAAACGAGCCGACTCCTACTCTCGACAATCGAGCTTCCGCTTGGGATCTATGGAGAGCTTACTTTGTTATGAAGAGCCACACTCTCTCCCAAACGCGGCGCCTCGAGAAGTTGCGGGCGGACCAGGTAGGCTATCAAGCACGAGAACTCCCGCGGTCGTCGGACCCCGGCACGGCGAGGGATCCTCGCTAGCTCGCTGCCGTAGCGCGCGCTGGGCCGAGGTAGGGTCCGCCCTGGCCACGTTTGCCCTCTCTCCCTGCCTCCCTCTGGGTGTGCGTCTATCTCCCTGTCTCTGGAGACGGCCCTCTCGCACCCCGAACCCACCGACCACCTTCCCTCTTCGTTAACCCAGACGCACTCCGGGCTATGCCCCAAGCAGCGCTGCCTGGTACCGCTAGTGTGCGGCCCCCGCTCCCCCCGGACAACTCATGTGATCGGCGAGTCTTTCTGGCTGCACATCATACGGTGGGTTGCTGATGCCCATGCTCTCTGGCCGGCTCATGGGCCCCGTGGCGGCGGCCGTCGTCCCAGCGGGTTGGCTCGCTGCGCAGGGCAAGAGAAGGCGGAGGAAAGTGTCACAGACTAAAGCGAGGTCCCCTGTATTATAGGTAGTCTCAAGGCTACTATTGTGACATTCTCGCGTTATGTAGACGGTGTGGGTTGAGGAAAATGCCTCATACCACCAACGCCCGAGGATGTCTATTCACATGTGTCGAAACTCATCGAAGACATAGGGTCCGGGATACGATTTTCCCAAGAGACAACCGAGCGATTCATTCTACTGCATATTATTTTCTCAACTTGTCAGTTTCTGTTGTCACGAATTATCCATCGAGGGGAGCGTACAGACATCACAAAGGCCACAAGTGGCATCGGAGAGAGAATAGATAGTACCAAACAAGTCACATTCGTCGGCAATAAACTGGGGTACATGTTTTACGGAATTGTGTTTACTGCTATAGCGGTAGCCACGTAGTAGCTAGCTAGTTATCAGGACATGACAGTGCGTGTTCTCATTCCCATCATCATCAGCGTTGTCCGCTTGGTCGGTCGTTCGTTCGTCTTCGGCGCCACCTCTCTAGAATACCTCCCATCCCATCCCGCGACCCCAGCTTTACTAGTTGAACCTACTTAGCCCTTGGGTGGAGGGGAAGAGGGGATTCTTTAAAAAACGAGAGCGAGAAAAGAGCCTCCCTCCCTTCCTTCCTTCCTTTCGAGCTGGGGGTGCAGAGAGTACAGAAATAGATAGAGAGAGGGGAGAGAGAGAAAAGAGAGAGAATCCCGTCTCTACTGGCGGCTGTGCACGGAGGACACCTCGGGCTGGCCCTTGGCACCGGCGGCGGCCTCGTGGTCGGCGGGCTTGGTCTTGCGCTTGCGGAGGACGGCGAAGGCGACGGCGCCGACGATGGCGAGCGAGGCGACGATGACGCCGACGGCGATGCCGGCCTTCGCGCCGGCGGAGAGGCCGTCGCCGCCGCTGCTAGCGGTCGGCGTCTGGGCGTCGGCGTTGGCCCCGCCGGCCTCGCTGCTGGGCGCGGGCGTCGAGGACGTCGTCGGCGTGTTGAAGGTCGACGCCGTCACGTTGAAGCACGAAGGGACGAAGTTGAAGGACTCGGTCTCGACGAGGGTCTTTAGGGGGAAGAGGAAAAGGGGGGGTTAGTCAGGGCGGGAAAGGGAAGGGGGGGGGGACGGGGTCTGCTTACGATGTCGGCGCAGGAGTAGAAGGTCTGGTTCCTGCCGTCGAGCTCGTTGTCCATGTTGGACCAGTACTCGAGCTGGATGGTCGCGTTGGTCCCGGCCTGGATGTCGCTAGGAATGTCCGAGATCTTGTAGCACTGGTGGCCGGGCTCGATCATGTCGATCCCGCTGACGGCCTGGTGCGAGAACTGGCTCTGGATCGACGGCGCTGTGGGGCGGGTCTTAGCATCAGGGTTCTCACGAGGTGGCCCGGGGATAAAACTAACTGTTGTCATAGGCAATGTTGAAGTTGACGTTCCAGGCCTCGTCGGCGATGGAGAGAGAGACGGTTCCCTGGGCTAATAATATGGAGGCGCCGCCGATTAGTCTGATTTCTCGAGAGCTTCTCCCGCTTGGTCCTCTCAGTCTCCGACGAACGACTTACAGAGAGGGAAGTTCGTCCTCGTGGTCGGGCCGCTGGGGCTGCCGCAAGGCCCGGTGTTGTCAGTCTCAGCACTCCAGGGTCGACCCTTGGGCCAGAGGAAGGCAACGGGTCCCATAACCGTGCCCTGGAGGCCCTCGCCGTGAGCCTGGCCGGCGGCGAGCTGGCTTCCAGCCAGGGCGGCGAGGTAGGACAACTGACTGAACCTCATGTTGAATAGACAGGATGCTGTTCGATAGCAACCAGTAGGGACAGGGCGATGTAGGACGCAGTTATCGAAGCAGGCAGGCTGCGGGGGGATTCGCTTGTGGCTGACGGGGAGGCCGTTTTGAGGGAACGGATGCAGGTGCAGATCGCGGTTATATGTATTGGACTGTCCAACTCGCCCTTCTCTCACTTTAACCACATATAACCGGCAACCTCGTACATCCTCTGCACCTCGTCACAAGCCAATGGGCTCACTGCCAAGCTACACTCCCCCCTTGTCGAAGGGGTGCGCGCATCAATAACTCAGTCATTCGGGTCATTCGTCCGAGATAAGGAGTCTAGGTGTGCTGTTCCCAAGTCTTCTATCGCCCCTCTGCCGGTGGAGGTGCCGGATCAGTACTTGTGGGGTGAACTCGTTAACACTCCCCGTGGTCTGCAAGCTGAGGCCGTCCTTATGTCTTGAATTCTGAATCCTGAACTCCAATATACTATCACTCTACAATGAACAGCACGTGTTAGATATGATAGGGAAGAGGAGCGAGACAAAGAAAAAATCGGCCTCGGATTCAGGATTGCTACGATGGGTCCCGTTCTGAATCCCCAGGTCGAGCCATCCATCGAGCCAGCTAGCCAGCCAGCAGCACGCAGGGCTTGAACAGGCACAGTCCCGTACGAGCTGACCATGTGAAAATGCTCCCAACTTCCCAGGAAGAAGTTGAGAGAATCGGTCTCCGAGGGCAATTGGCCGAGCAACGTCCGCAGACGGCTACTAGATACTAGTCGGGCATTGGGCATGGGCTCTCCATGCCCTATGATATGCGTGAAGAGCAACCATCCGATGACAGGAACATTAATAATGATATATGGAGACACTCATCTGGGTTAGGAAGGTCTCACCAAGTCTCACTTATTAATTCTCACCGTCAAGAGGCGTGGGTAACCCTCCTATTGACCATAGCGCTTCTGGGCGGCAAGGCATGCAGCTTGAATCCGGTCTTGAGCTCGCCGAGAGGATACCCACCCATCCACCCCAGCGCTTCCCAGCCTTCTTCCGTCCCAGAATGTAGACTCAAGCCGACAATCCACGTATTTCCAAGAGCCTTTTTCCTAACTGTCGAAGCGCTAAAGTGGCGTTGTTTGCAGACAACCTGTCCTGTGCATGGCCATCGAGATCGGAGGATCTAAACGCAGAGGGGAGTACGACTGCAATGGTCCGACAGGGTTTGTAGGAGGGACAGGCTTGCCGGCTGCGGTACCTACTCCCTAAGGACCAGCCGTGCTCGCCGTACATGTGGTAATGCCTCAACCGAAGTCAGCAAACGGAAAGTCCGTAGGTAACAGGCAACGAGTGACAGGTCAGCAACAGCAGCAACTAGTAACGTAGTGCCGGCCAATGTTTGGACCCGTCGTCTCCATCCCCATGCAGCGGCCGCCCACATACTACGACGGTGTGGGGTTGAATCTCTCGATATAGTTAGGTAGCGCATGTGGGAGAGGCGTGAGGCCAAGAGGAAAATACATATAAGCGAGCCTGTCCTTGCACGGTTGGCAGCTGACGGGCGTGGAGAGAGGGGCGAGTTAGACTGGCGAGACCAAGGGGGTGGTGAGATTTTTTCACTGTCGAGAACCTGCTCTGCTCCTTGGACCGTCGAATCCTCTCCTAAGCCACCACCAACCCCCCTCTCCCTGCGCTAGGACTTTCTCAGGGCTGGCCCGTGGAGGGAAAAGCTCGGGTACCACGACAGGGCACTCCAGCCTTTCTTAGCCCTGAGTAACGTCTAGACGGTTGATGGAACCGCGATGCCTCGAGAGCCCAGGTCGTATGACGTGAGGGTTGGCAGACAACCCAGCGCGTCGATCGCTGCCGCAGTGTCGTATGTTGGTAGATCGAGGGCTCGAGAGTCTAGATGCCTGGGGCACGCTCTCCCACATCGTCCGTTATGTGGCCCGCCTCCTGGTTTATCTGATGGCGCTAGGACGGGGCCCCTTGCTGAGGAGATCCGTGCTGATTTGCCCTAGGGTTACAGCGGATCCGACTCCATAGCGGAGAAAATGGCCCAAAATGTGGTTAACCCATCTAATCTTATCAATCTGATTAGATTAATGGCCAATACGAGTCCAGAACGGCCCTCCCTAGAGCCCGAAGAATCTCGTAATGGCTTTCTTGGGCAGCCGGGGGTTGTCCAGGGAGGAGGCGACTAAAAGCTAGCGACAAGCCTGCCGAGGGTCCGAGGGAGAAGCCGGATCCTGGTGCTTAGAGGCATCTATTGGTGATCTGTTAGAAACCCGCCTAAGGAGCTGCCTAGTCAGAGACCGGAGATGAGAATCAAGTGGCCAAATGGCGCAGTTTAAGCGAACCCTACCTACCATTTTGCAAAAAGTCGCGGCGAAGAAATAAAAAATTTTGCTCCTTGGTGAGACGACCGGTCCGCTTCGCGTAGAGAGCGTCGGTTCGACTTATGGTGAACACGGTGCTACCGCAGGTCAGTCATGCTTGTAAGATCCGGCCTGGCCCTCGATTGGGCCTCGAGTACGGCAGGGGTAGAGGGAGGTAAGGATCGCTTCCGCGGAAGAAATCCTCACGCACACGCCGAACTACCCAAATAGGTGGTGCTGCTACTGAGGCCCTACAGCCTATAGGCAATCTCCGAGCATCGGCCACCGTCGCCCGTTCGCTCGAGTGCATCCCTGGTTGGTGCTCCAGCGTCCTGTCCCTTGCCTTAGCTGAATCGGTTGCCATGCATGTTCTCCAGATCTTGTCGACCCGGCATACGCACGCCCATACGACTTTGCACAGCTATAAGACGATGGTGTCCGCTGCCGTCATCCTCCCTCACACTTGCCTCACCGACGCATCGACTCCTCGTTGTTGTGCCTGAAACCGATTCGCCGACAGACTGCCGCTCGTTTGACCTAGTCTAAAAAGCACGTTCGTTTTAAGTACCGTAGCAACCGAACTAGCCAAAATGGTCGTGCTCCGTTGGGCTCTCGGCGCCGTCGTCGCCGCCTCCGCCGTCTCCGCGTCCACCGACGAGCTCCAGTTCTTCTCTCGCCTACTCAAACGTCAGGATCCCGGCACCCCGGCCTACAACTGCCATGACAACTGCGGTCAGTATTCCCAATATCAATCGAGCGTTGCCCAACTAGTGGTTGGGCAAAGAGAGAGAAAAAAGGGGGGGAGAATAAACAAGGAAGAGACCTTTCTGACGTGGACGATGAAACAGGCCAGGCTATCATCCAGGCGCGCAACAGCGCGGACGTCTGCAACGACAACATCTTCCTGACCAACTACGGGAACTGCCTTCAGTGCTCGGGCCCCGACAACGTCAACATCTGGCGGTTCTATGGCACCTCGCTGAGCCGGGCGGCGGAGCCCTGCGGCCTGTCGACCGAGCCTCTCGCCGGCGTGCAACCCGACGTCGGGCCGGCCATCCCCGCCGGCTCTAACGCCGGCTCGACCTCGTCGACCGCCGAGCCCAGCAGCAGCAGCACGGCCCCGCCCGCCTCTGAGCCCGAGACCTCGTCAACCAACGGCCCGACAGAGGAGCCTACCTCCGAGCCTACGAGCGGCCCCACCTCCAGCTCCGGCAACGGCGGCGAGACCTCCGGCCCCCAGCCCACCGCTAGCTCGTCGGGCGGCGCCGATCAGACTTCCGCTACCAGCGGCCCATCCGAGACCAACGGCGGCGGCTCCCCCACCGCGACTGTCACCGACGCGACCAGCTCCGGCGGCTCCGTGCCCACCTTCGCCTCGTCTGGCACTGCCAGCACCACCGCCGGTGGCCAGAACGGCACCTCCCCCTCCCCTACCGTAAGTTTCCTCCCTCTCCCTCCCTTCCCATTCCTCCCGGCTAACGTCACCCCGCCTCGCCAGTCCACCGGCCCGCCGATCGTCACTGGTGGCGCCAACGCCGCCTACGGCAGCGCAGTTGGCTTCTACGGCGCGCTCGCGCTCGGCGCCCTCTTCGCCGTCGCGCACTAGACGACGCCCCTTGCTTTCTCGCGTGTCTTTCTTGGGGGGCCTCTCGGGGGCTTTCGTCACGAGATGGCCGCCGTACGTAGTTAATGTGTGGATGAGAAGGGATGAGCAGACGTGTAAATAATGCCGGCGCGCCCCGCCGTAGTAATTAGGTAGCTGACCTAGTCGTAATGCCGAAGTCAACGGTACCCTCTGGCACCTGCCTTTTTGCGTCTTCCCGTGCTGGCTACGTGTGTGTATGGTGGGTCGACGCGCTCGCACGTGGTTGGCGCGTCGTGGTGTCGAGTTCTTTAGTTATCCGCTCTTGTGTCGGTGGCGTCTCTCGTCTCAAAGCCACATGCATCCCGGCTATCTTCAGGTGATACAGTGACTCCAAAGGTAAGACAGATGTTGGTTAGCTGCCCCTCCGTCGGCCACGGTGTTTCGGGGTTCTTTGGAAATCGTCTCGAAACCGGTGGGTGACTTTTGGTCTATTCGTGAGTCTAGTGGTGCGACGACCGACAAATGTCTTGTCACCAGCTTTATTCATCTAATGATCATGGAGAAATCGAAGACAGTGTACTATTATCCACCCGAACACTCTTAGGTGGCCAAAGCAACGCTGTACTGGCCAGGTATAGCACCTCTTCCATGTCTCTCATTTCCACCTCTTACACAGTCAATATGACCAGGCGGAAATAGCGCAGTAGATTTTGTGGCCGTTCTGTTCTAGCTTAGGCGTATCTTGCGGCCGGAATCGCTGCTCTTCCGTTGCTTGCAGTACGCCACATTTCCGGGTTGAGTTGATACCCCCCGTCGCTTCGGCGCGTGAAGTAGGAGATACCATCTCCCGACTAACAAAGGGTCCAGGGCGTCGCACATGGCCGGCGGTTGACCTCGAGTCTCTATGCGAGTAACCCAATCGTGTACTTAGTCTTACCTACTGGCAGAGCTCCAGGGCGACCCGGTCTCACACCGTCAAGGTGAGCATCGCGACGACTTGCAGGCGAAGGCGCATGGATACAATACGGATTCCGACGAAATCTGACGGTGCTCGTTGCCTTTTTCGGCCGTGCGATCTACGTACGTATCGTAGCGGATTTATTGGTATGCCTGTCGTTGTCCCCGCAATGGCCGTTACGAGGGCGAGCTTCGCTATCGGGTCCGCCCTCCAAACCCTCACAACCGAATACTGGTATAATTCGGATTTCTCTTCGTGTACGGCTAGGAGTCGAAGCAAACACGCAAGGAGACCTCTGGCCGAACCGAGCCAACGAGGAGCTCGCCGCCGCCGCCTACCGGGCTTAGGGGTATTCGTGTAGCTCTTCCATTGGATCCGACACGGGTCCTGTACGGCAGAATGTGTACTGTATAACCTCGTGTTTCGGGTCCTGCCCCATCGGGAGCGAATATCGGGCTGAGCTCAGATCTGTCCGTGCTGCTCTCTCGAACGGCTGTGATCTACACCTGATATTAGTGCTTACCGCGTGAGAAGCTCCGTAGCTGAGCAATACGAGAGGGCGGGATGCAAACATTCTTACGAGTTGTCCGACGAGAACTTCCTATAAAAGCGAGCTGTTAATCACCTCCTGTCTGCACTGTTGGATCCTCACAACACCAAGAACAGCATCAACCCAACAATCCCTCCACCAAGCAAAACTTCAACAACACATCGACGCCGGTTCATAGTCCTATCTTGATCGGCCTCTCCCGAGACATTCGAAACCACGACAATGCAGCTCGCGGCTCTCTTCACCACCGCCCTCGCTCTGGCCGGCTCGGCGCTTGCGCAAGCCGATCGCCGCTCCAACGGTCGCGCGATTGTCGTCGTCGAGGCGTCTCACGGCGGCGCCGGTAACGGGCTGACCAACACGACCATCGCGGTCCCGATCGAACAGGTGTACACGAATCCTGAGGCCCTGGACGAGGTGTCTACGCTCTACCTCATCGACGCGGAAGGCGTGGCGGTAGAGAGCGTGGTCTGCACGCCCTACAGGGGCACTGATGGTACCGGCGCGAGCGGGCTCCCGTTTACCAACACGAACCCCTCGTACCTCTCGACAAACACTGTTGTTGTGGGAAGCATCGTCTGCGAGACCTACTGAGCCGATCGCCAGCCACAGTCGGGGCCGTGCCAGGCCCCTAGGAGAGTGGCCTCGGGCCTATGCATCGCATTTCGGCAAGGATTAGAGGGCGACGGAACGCGGACATCATCATGATGGGAGACGGATCGTCGGTAGGGGGAGGGAGGTGGTCGGCGTGGTGTGGTAGATAGAAACGAGAGGTGTGTCTTCGTAGAGCATAGCGCGATATTCGGGAATGCATATAGGTATAATCGATTGCCCACTCGGCACTAATGTCATCGCGAGGGAGCCCATCGAGGTATTTAGCTAGAAGATGAGGTACTTGCAAAGTCGGGTAGGTACCTACGTACGCACCTAGCATTCTACGCAGGTACCTGAGGTGGTAGTATGAACGCAGGTATGCCTCGCACTATGCTAGTGGAATGAGATATAGGGAGCATCCTAACACAAGGTCGCCGGTAAATACAGGTAGATACCTATGTAACTCTCAAGGCTCATATGTTAGGCAGAAGGTACCCGCCATTGCAGGTAGGTACCTCTGCGGACGGTTCCAGCTCTCGTTGTGGCGGAGGGAGCTTCGCGTCAACCCTCGTCACTGAACGGCATCCGCTCCCTTGGACGGCGGCGCTGTCTACGTGTACTCACAGGTATTCAGCGGGGCCTGCCCTGCTCAGCCACACTTACCTAAGGTACTTACCCGAAGTATCGATCGGCGCCAAGTTGCTATGATGAAATCCAGGCGTCTCCAGGCTTCTACCACGTACCCTCATGGACACACTAGCAGCGGACTGCGCCCCAGGCCGGCTAGGCGGCACATGTGCGCGGCCTGATGGACAGGTACGTATCGTCCTAGGGACGGAGACTTCCTTTGTCCAATTGAGGACGGAAGGCGAATCTATAACGCCGAACTGTACCTATACAACATCCTCTCACAGCCTCAATCAGCCGACAAGACACAAGACCTGCGGGAAGGCGAGGTTGATAGACGTCTTGTATATATTGCCCCAGCGCGTTGCTCCCAGAACGCCGTCGCATCCCACGCTCTCTCTTTCGTGCCACCTCTTTTCTTTCCCTCTACATCCACCACGTCTGCGTGCGTCCACGTTCGTCCACGTCCACGTTCACGTCCATTCTGTGTCTACCCCGCACACATCCGCGGCCATCAGCTGATTGCGGACCTATCGGAAAGCCTGGTGTCTAGCTTCTGCCCCCCCCCCCCCCCGACCAGATTCGTGAATCCTGCGCAAAGGGAGAGAAACCGTGCCAATCCCGGGGACTCGCCGACTCACTCCTACACATCTGAGCAAATGTCATATCCCTACGGCCAGTCGGGCTATCCTGGTCAGTACGGCTATCCACCACAGCAGTATCCTCCGCCAGGCCAATACCCGCCTCCAAACGGACAATACCCCCCGCCTCAGGGCTATCCGCCGCCTCAAAACTCCTATCCTCCACCTCAGGGCTCCTATCCTCCGCCTCAAGGTTCCTATCCGCCGCAACCGCCGGCGGGCTACAATCCGTATTACCCACAGCCACCGGCAAGCCCCTACTCCCCCCAAGGCGCATATCCCCCGCCTCCACCCTATGGGACCCGCCCGCCCAACCAGGGTTATGGCCCGCCTGCAGGCCCACCGCCGGGGCAATACGGCGCGCCACCGATATCACCAGCTCAGCAAGGGTATCACTATCCCCCTCAATCTGTAGTTAATGCCGCTTCGCCTGTCGAACTCCCCGCTGCAGTTCCTCCCGGACCCCCCGCCGGCCCCTCGGGCGGACCGCCGACCGCGCCCAGCCTGGGATACGGTCCTCCCCAGATGTTGCAATGGGATGCCCGTCCCGACGCCGAGGCACTTCGGACGGCCATGAAGGGGTTTGGAACCGACGAGAAGGTATTGATTCGTGTCTTGAGCACCAAGGACCCCCTGCAGGTCGAGGAACTTAAGGCGGTCTATTTCCGAACCTTCGGCCGCTCGCTCGAGAAGGATATCATGTCAGAGACGAGGGGGTGGTTCGAGGAAGGGCTAGTCGCCCTGGTCAGGGGGCCCTTGATGCACGATGTCCATCTCCTCCATTCTGCGATGGACGGTCCTGGGACGAAGGAGAAGGTGCTCAACGACGTCTTACTAAGTCGGAGTAACGCAGACTTGCGGGCTATAAAGAGCATGTATCAACAGACCTTCCGTCGATCGCTCGAGAGCGATCTCAAGGGCGACCTCAGCATGAAAACCGAGAGGCACTTCATGATCGTACTGGGCGCGAACCGGGCAGAAGACAGCGCGCCGGTCGTAGCCCAGGCCGTAGATCAGGATGTCATAGAGCTATACCGCGCCACGGAGGGCAGAGTAGGCACGGACGAGATGATGGTATGCTCGATCTTGTCCACGCGAAACGACAACCAGATCCGAGCCATCAACTACAGCTACGAACAGAAGTTTAAGCGAAGGCTCGAAGATGTCATTAAGAAGGTGAGTCTAGATCCGCTGAGCGGGGCACTCTATATTGATAGGCTGACCTTTCTGTGGACGCAGGAATTCAGCGGGCACATGGAGGACGCACTGCTATTCCAGCTGCGGAATGCGGTCGACAAGTACATGCACGCAGCCAAGCTGCTGGAAGACTCGATGGCGGGTATGGGTACCAAGGATCATCTCCTGGTCTCGAGAGTAGTCCGTTACCACTGGGACAGGCAGACGTTGGCAAATGTCAAGGGTGCGTACCACAAGCGCTACGGGAGAAGCCTCTCCGGCCGCATCAAGGGCGAAACAAGCGGCGATTACGAGAGGCTTATGCTCGCATGCCTTGGGGAGGCCTAAAGCGTGAGTGATTCAAGCGAACATAGGTACTCGAAGTCTAGTTTCAATTGGCGGTTGTACAGTTGTTAGGCAAGTATAATACCCAGGGACGGAAACAGGAGGTCGGCCCGGGCGGGTCTAGGAGAATAAAAGATGATGCATGTGTTCTTGGTGTCTCGAATCGGCAAGCATCCTGTGTTGCTGGTAACGACAGCAGGGTTACCGGACACGCACATTTCGTAGCACCGCTCGGACGTCGGGAGCGGGAGCGGGTAACGCGTAGATACCTAGGTACCTACCTACGTATGGCCGATACCCTCGACTTGCCTTCCGAGGCAATACTTCTCAAGCTTTTCGGTGTCAATCCGCTCGCCCCCCTTGATACCTAAATGTGAGCATCGATGCCCTCAGTCGCCGGACACACAATGCGCAATGCGCGTCGACGATGGTGCAATCGCCGTGTCACCTCCGCAACTTAACCTTATGGGTTCTTTTTGCTAGCGGCTGGCAGCCGATGCCAGCTGGCACTCGTCCGGCGGCTGGAGGTGACCTGATCATGTGCCCGAAACGGTTGCGCCCATGTCCGAGCCGGAATCGAGTCCTGGAGCTCTCCCATCCCTTTCCAACCACCGGCCGTTCCTCTCCTTGACCGTTATATGTATGTATGCCTCCGTCCCTGCAGCAGTCCGTCGAACCCATGGCTTCGACCATCCCCATTTTGTTATATCTCTTTTAACGCTTTCCTCTCCCTGCACTCTGCTCCGGCTGGGAGGGTTTGTTTTGGAGTTCCGGTTCCGGCGCGCCTCGGAGCAAGCGTGATGAGAGCGAGTCGTCGAGAGAGAGAGCGCACCGGACACGCCGGCGACGACGCCTCCAAGACGCACGCGTGTCGAGGAATCGATTCGCTGCCTTGTCCGTGTCCCTTTCCGGTACCCTCGCGGTGCGTTCACTCCCAAACCCCTCCCTGGATACCGGCCCCTTGCTAGTAGAAATTCGGTTTCGGGGCCTTCAGTCGTTTTTGCACCATGACCTCTATATACACAGATCAATATAACATAGTTATGTCCTCGCCCGCCCTTAATTATTCTCTATTCGTTTCCCCGGACCAATCTCGCCCCCTCCAGGGTCCGGCGGCGATGGACGCCGTACCCGAGTCCTCGATCGCGCAGGCGGCAATTGCCGGGGTGTGCATCCTGATCTACCTCACCCGCAGCCTCTCGCCCGAAGGACCGCAATGGATGCGCCCCTTCGCCAAAGAAGAAGCACTCCTCCCCGAGCTTCACATCCCCACCAGGCCTTGGAGTTTTTGGAGCTTCTCCCTATTAGCTCTCTCCGTGTCCGGGCTCTTCCTGACCACACTACTTACCCTATCACCGCCCTTTACCACCGCGAGAGCCTTGGAATTGTCGCCATGGGTCGTAGTCCTGTTGGTCACGGTCATCGACCGCCCCAGGAAAACGCCAAAACTCCTCTTGACCCTCTTCGTCGCTGTCTTCGTGTGCGATCTGGTGTCGCTCGCCGCACAGCATCGTGAGATGGGACGTGTGAATGCAATCTACGCTGTCGTTGTCGGTGTAGCGTTAGCATCCGTGCTCGTCATTCTGTCCATGCCCATGCGAGATGCAGATCTCGATCTCGTCGGCATTGCAGGCTCCCGCTCCCCCCCAACCTCCCGGTTGCGCAGCCCTGAGGATAATTTGACGCTGTGGCAATTCATGACGGTGTCGTGGATGACTCCGTTAATTTCTCGCGGGAATGGGGACAAGTTGAATGATGAGGACGTGTGGCTGCTGCCATATGACTTTCAACACCAGCGATTGCACGTGTTGTTCCGAGATCTCAAAGGCTCTTTAGTGAAGCGATTAGTCTTGGCTAACGGTTTGGACTTGCTTATCATCACCTTTCTTGGGCTGATAGAAACCGCCGCGAACTTATCGAATCCCGTTCTTCTACAGCGCCTACTCCAGTCAATCCAGCAAGGGTTCGATCACAAGGAAGGGTCTTTCTTCTATGCGTCGTCTATTCTACTAGTGCGGCTCGTGGCCTGCCAGTCGGGCGTCTTCCTGCTGTGGTTTAGTCGCCGCGCGTACGAAAGGTCGCGTGGGGAAATGCTCACGGCAGTCTACGCCAAAACGCTGGCACGGAAATCCTTTGGACTCCGCACAGATCTGGACGAGCACCACGCTGAGAACGGGGTAGAGAACGGCGGCGAGAATGGCGCCGAGCCCAACGAAGAAACACCGCTCCTGGGCGGCGAGCCTCGGAAAACACGCCTAGCTCGCCTCCTCGACCTCGTTAAGCGCCGCAAGAACCGGAACCCGGAAAAGGCCAAGGCGGCTCCCGAACAACCAGCAACCATGGGCAAGATCCTCAACCTGATGAGAAATGACGTTTACGAAGTAGCACAAAGATTTTGGGAATTTCCATCCATCGTCACGAAACCATTGCAATTGGTGCTCTCTCTGGCCCTCATATGGCAACTATTAGGCTGGCCTTGCCTGGTTGGAGTGACCTGGACTCTGGTGCTCCAGGGGCTGAACGCGATTTGCGTGCGTGCCCTGATCAACGTCGAAAGACATCGCAGGGTCGCGGCAGACGTCAGACTTCAGGCTACTACCCAGTTCGTCGAGGCCATTAGACCACTTCGATGGTATGATTGGCAGTCCAAGTGGCTGGGAAATATCATGCATGCACGAGCGGATGAGCTGCGTCTAAGGATCGTCTCTAGTCTATGGACCATCGGAGTTGGCGCTACCAACCTCGCTGCCAGTGCTCTTTTCCCCGTGTTCACCTTCTTTGCCGTAACTTATATTGCAGGACGGCCTCTACCCGTCGACGTGGCGTTCCCGGCACTTCAGCTCTTCACCATGCTGGAGTCGAGCTTGAAGGAGCTTCCAGCGTTGATAACAGTCCTCCTCAATGCCTCCATAGCGATTGGCCGTCTCGAGACATTCATGACGGAACCGGACAAAGAAGAGGGGGAATACAACGACACAAACCCCGTAATCGAGCTTCGGGGCGCGTCTTTCGCCTGGCCTACCAACGGAAAACTCGTCCTCAACGACTTGAGTCTGCGATTTGCTCCCGGCCTTACCGTCATTCACGGCAAGGTTGGTTCCGGAAAGACCGCCCTGTTAGAGGCCATCCTGGGTGAACTCAACCAAACCAAAGGCGACTCCACCCTACCTTACCAAATGGTGGGTTACTGTGCCCAATCCCCGTGGCTTCAGAACATGAGTATTCGGGACAATATCCTATTTAACTTCCCCCTCGATAGGGCCAGATACAACGAGGTGCTAGATGGGTGTGAACTCGTCCCCGATCTGGCCAACTTCGCACACGGAGACAAATCCAATATTGGCGAGAACGGTATCGGGCTTTCTGGGGGTCAGAAAGCACGAGTAGCACTGGCACGTGCCGTGTATTGTCAGTCCCGTATCCTCCTGCTTGACGATCCGCTCGCAGCGCTGGATCATCAGACAGCCCAGTCCATCGTCCGCAAGCTGTTCCGTGGGTCTCTCTTAACCGGTCGTACCGTCGTACTCGTCACGCATCGGGTCGATCTGTGCCTATCACTCGCAGACCAAGTGGTCGAAATTACGGATGGTAGGGCCCGCGTACTCCACCCAGACGAATATTCGCAAGAAATCGAAACCCTGCTCACAACCCAGGATACCACTACCGAAGACGACGTTAAGGAAATCAACGAGGAGCAGGCCAATGCCGCCGTCCCAGACAAGTTTATCGAGGAAGAGAACCGGGCGTCGGGCGGCGTCGTCGCTCGGGTTTATTGGACGTACATCAAGGCAGGCAGGATATCATACTGGGTCGCTGTCATCGCTATCTTTTCCCTCTTCCGGTTTGCCCGTATATTCAACTACTGGTTCCTCAAGGCCTGGGGTGAAGCATACGGAAGCCTCAGTGTCAGACCCTTTGAAAGCATACCGGATATCGCGAACGGGATCTTCGATGGACTGCCCAACCCCAACGACGACGTCTTGCCATGGCTAGTGTGGTACGCCATTCTTGGGCTTCTCATGACCGTGCTATACGTCTTGACCCAATGCGGCCTCACAGTCATACTATACAGGGCAGCTAAAGTTTTATTCGGCCGGGTTATCAAGCGGGTGAGCAACGCGACGTTCCGGTTTTACGACGTGACACCGGTTGGACGGTTGATGAATAGGTTGACCTCGGACATCGGGATGCTAGACGGCGGCGTCATCCAGCCACTTCAGAATTTCGCATTCTGGTCTTTGACGTGGATGAGCTCCATGGTCGTCATCGCCCTGACTACGTCGATGTTCTCCATATTCGCTGTCGGGATGACCATCTGGTTTATCGTCATCTTCTTGCAATTTCTGCCGACCTCGCAGAACCTCCGCAGATTAGAGATGGTCACGCTCAGCCCGCTGATGTCGAATTTCGGTATCCTCGTCGACGGACTAGCCACAATCCGAGCGTTCAAGGCACAGCCGCACTTCCAAAACCGCAATATCGTCGCCACAGACAGCTTCCAAAAAATGGACCACTTCTACTGGAGCCTGCAAGCGTGGCTCCAGTACAGATATGACATATTGTCCGCAAGCTCTATCTTCACTCTGACGATGATGGCGTTATACGAAGACCTGTCGCCCGGTCTGACGGCGTTCGTGCTCACGAGTGCAGCACAGTTGGTCGAGTCCACTCACGTGCTCTGCAAGACATACGGTCAGCTTCAAATGGATTTCGTATCCGTGGAGAGGGTGGTAGAGCTCTTGGATCTGGAGGAGGAACCCAACGGAAACGTACATCCCCCGCCCAATTGGCCATCATCCCGCGACAGCATTACGTTCGACTCGGTGACGATCAAGTACGCTCCGCACCTTGATCCCTCGCTAGTAAACGTCTCCTTCACAATCCCCGGCGGGGCGACATGCGCGGTTCTAGGGCGAACAGGATCTGGAAAATCCACACTAGCCCTCTCTCTCCTCGCCACAATGCATCCGACAGAGGGAATGATCCGTGTCGGCAGCCAGGACATCTCCAAAATTGACGTACATACCTGGCGCCAGCGCATCAGTTTCGTAGCTCAGGATCCCGTGCTTTTCCCTGGGACGCTGCGCGAGAATCTAGACCCGCTAGAGCAGCACACTGACAAAGAATGCGAGACGGCATTGCTCCGAGTCCTAGGGCCAAGATGGACCCTCAACTCCGCTGTCGACGTCGGAGGTAAGAATCTCAGCCAGGGCCAACGTCAACTCGTCGGCATCGGAAGAGCCATCCTTCGAAAGAGCCCCATCATAATCCTAGATGAGGCAACGGCATCGATCGACAAGAAGACCGCGATAGCCATACAAGATCTGCTGTTAGCAGAGTTAAAAGACAGTACGGTAATCACCATAGCCCATCGGTTAGAAGCCGTCAAGGACGCAGATTACTTTATCAGACTGGATGCCGGGCGGGTGATCGAGGCAGGACCCACCGGCCAACCTAATGGAAGAGGGTAGTAGTATTGGTGGTGGTGGTGATAGCGGTATATAGGAGAGAGGCGATGATGGCAATTACGATAGACAGGACAGGACAGGGCGGTACAGGATGGCGTGTAGCGATGGCAAGCACAAAGAATGACTTACCTTGGATACATAAAATAATAAACCTAATAAGTATACTTGATGAGTCTGACGACCTTCAAAGGAGACCTGTCCACATCCCCCTTTTTCTCCTCTTTCGTAGATGATCTACTCCCCACGAGGACAGTCATATTTAACACGGCACGACCTTGGGGTATACGTATATACCTGATTACTGCCTTCAGTTCCCCTGACTCGTTTCCGGAGTGAGGTTTATTTATCCTCTGTCTCTTGGCGACGATGTTGATTGCCCTTTGCTATGACAGCCCACAGACCGCGCCGAGCTGAACCAGAATAGCAAATGACCGGGCCATCGCCATCATCACTCCAAATAGCACATCATAACAAGGAAATATTTTTCCATGCCCTCCATTTCCCTCTCCCTCTCCCTCTTTTCTTAACCTCATCCTCCATCTCTTCATCTTCCTCCTCCTCCTCCTCCTCCTCCTCCTCACCCTTTCCTACCACCCACACCCGAAGCTATCTCAACAGCTGCTATCCGGATCGCGGCTCGCCCTTCCGGTGGCCTGGTTCGTGTCGATTACCGAGCGAGAACGTCCTAGGTACCCACTCAAGTCGCCACCGCGATGGCTTCAGGACCGTCGACCTCGGACGGCCTGGGTTCGGCCCACATGTTCGACCCTCGCTGGCCCGGCGCTCACCTGCCGAAGCAGCCGGACCTCGCGGCGCTCCGCGCGGTCCTCGACGAGGCGACCGACCGGCAGTTCAGCTGGTGCCCGACGGTGGGCGATTTGCACGCGCTCGGCCACCATGACGCGACGCTCAACGTGCACATGCGCAACGTGGACGCGCTCGTGGGCGAGGTGACGCGGGAGCACCGGGCGGGAACGCTGGAGCAGTACAAGCAGGCGCGGCTGTCGGCCTCGTTCGCGGCGCTGCCGGCGGCCGCGTTCGCCGCGAAGATGGACCTGCTGGTGGACGCGCGCCAGGAGCTGGCGGACTTCCTGCTCGCGTTCCGCGTGGCCGGGCCGGTGTTCGCGGACCTCGGCGGCGAGGCGGCCGCGCGCAACCTCTACCGCCGCCGCAAGGCTAAGCACCTCGTCGGGCTGCTCTGGGGCGAGCCCGCGGTGCCCTGGCCCGGCGTCAAGGCGCGCGCCGCGGCCTTCCTTTCTGTCACCGCTTGCGCCGGCTGGGACGACCCCCTCGACGCCAAGCTCGCCGCCCTCGTCGCCCGCTACAACAGCATCCACGGCTCCGACGACGACCCCCACCCCTTCCCCCTCGCCGCCGCGCACGTCCGGCGCCTGTTCTAGGCGGACCGCGTCGCCGACCTGCGCGGCCTCCTGCGCGAGGATTTGCCTACGCTGACCCCCAACCACCCCACGCTGCTCGCCCAGCCGCCCCCCGGCGGCGCCGCGGCAGACGCGCAGGCCGACGAGCCTGCCGCCGCCGCCACGTCTGAGCCCGCCGCCACGCCTGAGCCCGCCGCCACGTCTGAGCCCGCCGCCACGTCCGAGCCCGCCGCCACGTCCGAGCCTGCCGCGGCCGAGCCCTCCGAGCTGCCCGTGCACCCTGCCAGCACCAGCAGCGCGGGCGCGCACACCCTGATCCCCGGCGGCCCCGCCCGGCGCGGCGAGGACTTCACGGCGTTCGTGAATGAGACAGTGGCGGCGCTGGGCGCGGCCGACGGCGGCGGTTCCGCCACGCCCCCGCACCGCCTCAAGGCCCCCGGCATCCGCGGCCGCAACGCACTGGCGGCCGAGCGCCAGCGCCAGCCCAGCCTCGCGGCCCTCACCGACGCCGAGCTCAACGCCTTCCTCCTGGCCAAGCGCGCCCGCGACGGCGACGGCGCGAAGGGCGGCCGCCGGCCCAAGCGCCCCCGCCGCGAGCCCGACGGCGCCAAGTAGCGCACCGTCTATCTGGGTCGGTGGGTGAGGGGCACGAGCACGAGGTCGGGATGCCCCTGACGCTTAGGGCAGTGTGGTGAGCGGCGGGGCCGGCATTCCCGGCTCTGCTGCTCTGTTTGCGTTGCTTTTGTTTCCTCTGTCGACACATCCGACCAACCCGTCTCCCCTCCCCGCGCGCCTCTCCTGTCTGGCGGCCGCTCGGCGGCGCTGTCTCGGCCCGGCATACCCACGAGTACTACTACGATTACTGTCGGCGCTCTGCGAGGGCAGTCGGCGGGCGGGGTCTGGGTGCTGCGCTGTTTTTTCCGTCTCGGTTCTGTCTGTTCTGCTATCGCTTTATAATTCCAAACCTGCGCAGATTTAATATGTCTCTTCTCTCTTCTCTTCGGGGCGGTTTCGGCCCGGTCGCGTGCGCGCGATGCCGGTGTCGGTGTGTACCTACTATAGACATGACTAACCTCCGGAGAAAGAGAGGGGCTGTTGCTCCGTGGTGCGAGGTTTCTGTTACAGGTACCGTCTATAGGTAGTCTACATGTGGAATCTTCACCCGGTATTCTCCCAAGGTTGTCTGCTTTTTGCCTGGCTGTCGATCCAAATACCTATCTCGCGGACGCGTATACGTGCATGTGTTTAGACGTAGGCAGGTCTCGGGAGGTCTGTAGGGCGTGTCGGCCATGCACTCCTCCCCTCGCCTCCTTTTCTAGATGGGCATCGGGTCTTGTCTGCTCGAGAGGGCCTGCCGAGAGGTAGGCAAGATGCCAGTATTATTGAATCTCGCCCTCCCCCCCCTCTTGTAGGCGAAGGATGATGCATTAGCTTGTGGGACATTTCTTCGTGTCTTAGGTATTTTTCTCCCGATCCCGCGACGCCACTCGTCAGTGCGAGGTCTCGTCCAGGCTTAGGTATGTATTGATAGGCGCTCTCCTTTCCTCTTTTCGTCTCGAGGGGACGGCCCCCCTTCCCCCGTGCAAGTGAATAATACCCAAATCGGCCCATTACTTGTGCACACTCACTCGTGGTAGCTCCTTATCGGGTTGTGGCAGCTAAGCACGATAACTAGGGCGTCCTCGCCTGGCTGTACGCCTCTTTAGCATCCGTCTTGAAAAGGAAGCTCGGCCAGGATGGGGGTAATCCTATGAAGCTATTGGGGACCAGGGGAGGGTGGGGGAGAGAGTGAGGAGTATATATACCGATAAGATTATATTAATTATACTGCATTGTAGTACTCGTTATGTTACGTATGACGTGTTATCATCTAGGCGCTTAGATTAATGTAGGTTGCCACGCTGGCGAGATTGGGCATGTACCGTTCCGGTCTTTTTCCTCGGCTCCGTACATATAAAACCGACAAACAGGCTAAAGGTACCTACCTGGGTACGTAAGGCATCTGCCGTATATATACCCCCGTATCGGTACGGTCTCTTCTCGACCGGCGACGGAAATGAGATGTTATAGGTGTAAACAACACAGAAATTTCTATTAGATTCGGTACACAATGTGAGAGGGCAGGTATCAATTAGGCAGGCACTGAATCCGTGTTCGGGAACGACCTTGCTTGGAGGTATCCCGCATACCTCTTACAGCAGTGTTCGGACACCTATTCATTTCCTATTCCCGTCTGCTGCGGTTGGAAGAGAGAGAGGGAGAGGGAGAGAGAGAGATGGAGGAGACATGCGCAGAGTGTGACTAAAGGCACAGATACAAATATTATGAAGAAAATTTGACTAAAGCTGAAAGCTAAATCGGCCACAGATTATGAAAAATGACGTAGCCTGCCTTTTGCATAATAAATTAATTAATCCCGCACACCTTACTTGACTGAACACTTTTCTCTCTACTTCTCCTTTTCTTATTTGCTTTATAAATTTTAACATTGCCTTCACTGTATTCATTGCTTTCAAATGCTAGCTACAAGCCAGCCGACCACCGCCTAGCTGATGCCGACAGAGACTAGCGCATACGTAGGCAATTCAGTAGCGACGGAGTGATTTGGATCAGGCTGCTGTTGATGATGGCTTTTCCTCTATGAAGGTGTCACGTCGCGTACTTTTTTTTTCCCCTCAGAGGCATCTCTCGGCATCTACTCAGAGACATGCAGCAACAAGTACACGCCACAAGTAGGTACCCGTACGCCACAAATACACTACTACACACAGCGCAGGGAAAGTGGCTGCTTACTGAATTAATAATAGGTAAGAAGCATTAAAGTGGAAAGTGGCCACTTCCAAAACAGGGTAGAGAGGGCGCCTCCGTTTATTTTTATTTTATTTCCCCACTTTACTTTTTTTTTTTAAATTATTAAACCCCGGCCGTCAGCTACTTTAACTGCCTAACCTCTTCTTCTTCTTATCACTTTTCTTTTTCCTCTTTTCTTGCGTTAAATCTACTTATACGAACGCGTCTCCACCACCGAATACCCACGCATCCCCTAATCGCGCGCGTTCTTCGGCCCTTCACCACTCCACGCGCGCTTGGGTTCTTCCCACGGCGGAAAACCGCAGCAATCTTAGCAATCGTCTCGCGTTGTCATCTACCTACTCCCGCCACCTGCTCCAACCGGCGCGGCGCCACCATGGAAGTCACCCATCCATCGCCGTCCGCGCCCGGCCCTGGTCCGCCGCCGCCGCCGCCTCCAACCGCCGCCACTCAACCCTCTGGGTTGCAGACCCCCCCGGTCAGTCTTGCTCCGGCTACAGACCCGCCGTTGTTGCTGTCGGACCTCCCGGCCAACATCGGACCCTACTACCCCAACGGCCCACCTCGCACCATCAATGGTCTCGGCAACGCTGGCTCCTACGCCTCCAATCCCAACTCCGTCTCCGATCGAAACGAGACGCCGCCTGCGCCCCCCGCCACCCAACCGCTGCCCTATCAGAGCTTGTCGCGTCAGCCCTCCCTCGGGTCCCTCCACAAGATTCCCATCCGGGACCCTCCGTCGTGGCAGACGCCTCTGAAGACCAACTACCATCCCCCCCAGGGCTTTCCCTCACCCAAGGGGCAGCATCAACCGCTGGGCGATACCAAGTCCCTCGATGACCTCTCGCGTCTCGTCTACGCCATCCAGCAGTCCGTCCCGGCCGCGGTGCGGAGAGCCGTCCGCGAGAACTGGGAGAAGACTCTCCTCGGTTCCGAATTCCACCACGCATTCCTCGTGCGTTCCTTCTTCTTCCCCTTCTCCCCCCCTCCTGCATCTGTCTCGCGGCTGTAATTCGCATTATACCCGAGCACCCCGACGTATTCGGCCGTATTCTAACCGCGTGACTAGTTGAATGCTATCATCCATCATTCCAACGGGACCATAATTCGTCGGTCCATAAAAGATTTCGGCAGCAGGATGGTTGCCGAATCGAAGCACGAGATCGTCCACCATTTCAAGCCAAGCGATCTCGACGAACTCGCCAGCGAAATACTGGACAAGGCCAGCAATTCGTTCCTCGATTTGGCCTTGGAGAAGAGGTTGCGAACCATCGATGCCCGCTCGCTGATCAGTGCTCTCGCCCGGGCCGAGCGCCTCGGCTACGAGGACAGCGACATTCTGGATGATCAGAGTCCGCGGGGCGCTGCCGTGCCTCCAGTCCACGCGTCCCCTATTGTGACTTGGACTCCCGTGAAGCTTGCGTCGAATACTCAGCTTGGGCAAGGCGATTCTGCCGGAAACCCTTCTCGCAGATCATCTACCAAGGTTTGGCAATGTCCCCTGTGTGGGCGCAACTTCGACTCGGAGCCGCCGTACAAATATGTGAGTTTTTCGCCCGAATCCTTTATACAGATAACCCAGCTGACGCCGACGCAGCACATGGGGAAGCAAGTGTGCACCAAGGAGCCGCCGACCCAGCAAGGCTTTCTTTTCGCGTGTAAACCGTGCGGGGCAGGGTTCATAACTAAGGCCGGTCAGCAATACGTAAGTGAGCTCACGTCCCGTTTTGTCGACCGAGTGTGCTCACGGGCAATAATAGCATCAAATCAACCAAGTCTGCTTGCGTTTCGGCACCGGCATGCCCATAACGCTCACGGCACCCATCGCAATACCTTCGGATTCCGACACCCCCGAGGTGGCCCCATCTCCCCCCGCCGTCCACCCGATTTCTTCCTCGTTCCAGGAGCACGATCCTTACGCTCACCTGGATCCTACAAAGTTGGAGCTCTTAAATGAAGAGCTCCGCCATGCTGAGATAGTGTACGCTGCTCGGTTCAAGGACACAGAGAAGATACTCGACCCGAACTTGCGGCGAGTGAAACTCGAGGGCCTCCAAAACAGCTTCAGCACGAAACAGAGCAACATCCGGAGGAAGTATGGAGTGAAGCTGAGGAATAGACGGACGAGGGCCGAGATCGCCGACGAACGGGGTCGCATGGGTCTGAGAAATAGCCACGGGGGCTTCGCGGATGATACGCCGAGCGCTAAACGTCAGCGAACCGACTACAACGCTTCCTTTTCGGGCTCCCAGGTCCTCCCGGTCGGCAACGACCCCGGCGGCCCCGAGCAGAGGAGCAACCATATCGCCGTCTCGGACATGAACGCTGGCCTCGGCGGGTCGGTCGCGACGGCGGCGACAACCGATCCCACGCAGTCGCAGTCGCAGGCGACCACCGAGAACAACCTCTCGTCGTACCAGAGGAAGGGCTACCGCATCTCGTCGCACCAAACGCAGATGCCCTCGAGCCACAACTCACCGACGACGGACGTCAAGATGGAAGACGGCCCAGATCCGACCCAGCTGCACCCGCAGACCGGCTCGGCTTCGGCGCCCGTGACCCTGGACGACTCCTCGTCGCCCGCCTCCTCCTCTGACGACACTGACTCGGACGAGGACATCCCCGCGAGCTTGCCCCGTAAGACCAGTGGCACGCCGTTGAGGGGCCTAACCGGTTAAGGGCCTCGCCGCCGTAGACGTCGTCGATTATGCCCCAGAGTCCTTTTTTTTTAACGAAATAGAAAAACGTAGGAATGGCCATAGGTGTCAGTTGGTTCGGAGTTAATTGGCAACATCCATTGGCGAACGGCCGGGGAACAAGAGGGGAATACCTAACAGATCTCTCCATCCCTCTTTTCCCCTCCTTTTTTTTTTGCTCTTTGACTTTTCGGAGGTGGGAGACGAGGGGCGCCGCGGGGGGACCCTTTCTCCGCCGGACCAGGGTCCCCTCTCCCCCCCCGGCAGTTGGCGCATCATGATGGGCATCATATCACAAATGCGCGGGGGAAGGGGGGGGGGGGGGGTGCGCATATCTACTACCTAGTTAATCTGCGTGTTCGATCACTACGTCGTACCTACATCCTCACGAACATGGGTGCGGCACGCGAGTACGCGAACAGACTACCACATCGTCACCCGTCGCTCATCTGCATATCTACCCCCTCCACCCCCCCGAAGCGGGACGCGATACCGACACGGGCCCGGCACACGCCGCCCGCGGCGACGAGAGACAGGGATGCCCGCGCCCTCCAGGGGCGGAGAAGGCGGGGCGGGGCGGGTGCCTCACATACGTACAGGAGAGAGGGAGAGGAGGAAGGAAAGAAGGCGAGAATCCCTCACGGGATATGCGTTGTGTGCAGTGAGTGAGTGAGTGAGTGGTTTCGAGAGGAGAGGAAAAGGGGAGACCGGCGGTTTACTTTTTTTGCTTTCCCTCCGCGGGCAGCCCTGCGAACTTAGTTTTATCTACCTAGCAGAGGGGGGGGGTTTTTTTTTCCGAATATGAAAAAAAAAACCGGGAGAGGGCAAGCAGACACATTACGCAAATCCTTTTTTTTTGCCCCATTCTCTTCCTTCGTAACGGAGCGCAGCGACGCGCTCGGGTGACTCTTGTTTGTGTGCTCACGCCTAGCTGGCACGTAGCTACTGGCTGCTCGCCGGCGCCGTATCTATCTACCTACGCGATCCCGTTCTTGCCCCTTCCCCGTCTGCTTCAGCTTCTGGTGATAGTGGTGGTGGTGGTGCACGCCGTTGGTTTAGATGAGTGACATCTCGGCGCTTGCAGGCGCCAAAAAAAAGGAGACAACGAAGCGTGAGGGGTGAGAAACAGGGTAGGTGATAGTGGCGGCAGTAGAAGGGCGTACGTAGCACACACACTCCCTCCGCTAGGACGGACTAAGGTAAATGTGGCAGAATTGCGGCCAAAATATTAATAAAATAGAACATTGCAAAAAAGACAAAAGCACTCTGTGCCTGCCAACCCGCCCGCCCGCCTGCCTGCCTGCCTGCCTGCCTGCCTGCCTGATGGATGGATGGATGGACCAACATATTGATTAATTTACATAGCCGTACAGAAGACCGAGGCTTGGAAAAAAAGACAGAAGGATAGAGGAACTGGAAGAGGATGACACGGGACAGGAACGAGGGGGCATCGACATCGACTTCGAGACAAGCGCCTCCCCCTGGATCCCAATGCCCTCACAACTGTCTCGTCTAGTGGCGTAGTAAGTTGTCGTTCGGGTCATGCATGCGCAAGAGTCTCTCGTGCCCTCCCCTTCTCCTCACTCCGTCTCCCCTTCCTTTCACCTTCCCGAGGAAAACCTAGTCTTCGCAGATCCGCCGCCTGGCTAATCCCGCACACGAACTATAGCTAGGTCGTCAACACGGGTATATCCGGCCGCGTCGAGCCGTGCCGAGCCATATCGTGTCCGTCGTCAAGTTCCATTTCCTCCCCCTCCTTCGCCTGTTCATTTCCCTCCCTCTCTCTCTTCAGACCTTGCCTCCGCCTTCACCCCGTAACCCGCCGTACCCACAACGTCGTCGGTTCGAATTCGGCGTTGCGGTCGAGCCGCTTGTACGCGCGGTGGAGCTTGAGCCCGAGGTCGTACGACTCGCGCTCCACCTCGGCCAGCTCCTGCCGCAGCGTCTCCACCTTGCGCTTCTCCTCCTCGCGTCTCCGCGCCGTCGCTGCCGTCTCCAGCAGCGCCCCGTCTGTCGGCATCAGCTCCGTCATCTGCCGGATCGCCGTGTTCAGGTTGATCCGCCGGTTCCCCAGCGCCCGCAGCCGCGCGTCCAGTTGCGCCACCCGGTCCTGAGACTCCGTCTCTGGCGGCGCCAGCGGCAGCGACTTCTCTGTGCCCGTCCCGACTGCCGTTCCGTTGCTATCCCTACTACCACTACTATCCACGTCTCTGCTGGTGGTACCATTCTTGTTACCACCTTTGCGATTGTTCTTGTCTTTGTCGCCCACTGTCTTTACTGCCGTGTAGTATGGCGAGTCGAGGCTAATCTTGACCGCCTCGACCGGCGGCGAGTTCTTGCGAAACGAGCCGTCGTTGTCCTCGTATCCAGAAACGACGGGGCGCTTGCGGTCGAGAATTGACGGCCGCACTGGCTGGAGCGGTAACGGGGGTACTGGCGGCTCGTTGCCCCCATCGACGCTCTCACGTGGCGTCGAAGACTGTTGTGATGTTGCGTATGTGGTGATGCTGAAACGGGACGGTGGTTGCGTCCAACCGTCTTCGGGCGACGTGCCGGGCATGTGAACGGGTGCTGTCTGTGCTGCTCGCGGCGTGTGATTGTATTGAGAGGGTGTCTCGGACGACGCCGGTGGCTCGTGGTAATGGCCGGAAGAACCACCCGCTGGCTTTCGGCGAATGGCCTTGTCACCGGCCGGGGTTTGGTGGTGCTCCCGGGGGTGTGTAGTGGTATGGCTATTTGCCGGGGTAGTACTGTTGTCGTCTGAGAGGGGTGGACTCGGATATGTCTGCGGGACAACTGCGACGCCGGAGGATTGTGCTGTTGTTCTCCGGTTACCGCCTACACCTGGGATACGGGCGGCCGGAGAGGAGGTGGGTTCGGATCCGACAGAGGCTACAGGAGGTAACACATTTTGTTCGCGGGCAGCCCGCTTGCTACTCTTGCGAGGGACCTTCAATTTGGGTACGTCCTTAGTGTCGCTAACGGGTGCGACTAACGTCGTTCTACCGCTCGCCCCTTTCCATTCGGGTCGTTGGCCTAGGCTAGATTCTCCCGTTGACGTGCTACCAGGCTGTCGCGCTCGACGCACACGTTCACCAAACGGACTCTGGCTTTGCTGGTCTTGCTTGTTCCGCGGGGGAGACGCCGGGTCTGTCTGGATGCCAAGGCCGTGAGCGTACTCCTGCGGGTTCACTTGTGACGGATGACCTTTCACATCTGTCGTGGGCTCGCCAGTTCGTGGATCCCAGCGTATGTCGTGGCCGTGCGGTCGCTGCTGCTTTAGCCGCTCGCGCGACTTGGACTCGCGGAGGGCACTCAGTGCTGCGTCCGAGTTCTTGCGGCGCTCGCGGCGCATCATAGGGATGTTGGTGCGCGCTTCAGGTTTAGGCAGTCCCTCTGACTCCATAGCCAGTTGAGACATGTCTGGGATTTCGTCAATGGGTGAGACGTCGCCCGGGTTTGGTCTAAGACAGCAGAGTAGCGTTAGCTTCGTGAGTACCACCTTGAGGCTAACAAGAAGGTCTTTGTTTCTATTTCCCGAGGATCCCCTGCGGCAAGCCAAAAATGACCTCCACAGGCAAATTCAAGGGACTAAGACGAATATTTTCAGGCAATGTGAGGGCCCAGCGAGAAATCGGCGACATGGCGATTGAGCCGTACGAGAACGAGAGGAAGGGCGACCTCGAGAACACTCTGCTAGATTCGCCCTGACCCTCGTGTGCTTGCTCCTCTACACATCCGTTTACCATCATCGGCTTGCCACTTTCTTTCCTATAATCCGCAGAGACAAAGAACACGCGACAGTACTTACCCGTCCCGGGGGGACAGTATGTCAGGGGAACTCGGCGGGGAGATCTCGGTAGGGTCGCGATACGCGGCTTCGGCTCGTAGCTGGTGAGCGGCGAAGGTAGCGGCCGCCGGCGACGGCTGCGAGTATATGGAAGATGCAGGACGCCCGTAGATTGAGTTGCGGTAGGAATGAGGCGCCTGCACGGGTGGTGCAGGCTGGAGACTTTGGCGGTTCTGGTGCCTGCTGCGATAGTAGGGTGTTAGCATCTTGGGAGTCTGAAAAGGGACGCGCGGCGTAACAGCAGATCTGCGAAGGGTGGTTGCGCACGACAACTACGACGAACGCAGTGTAAGGATGACGATTTCTTTAGCCTTCCCAACCACCCCCCGTTTTTCCCATCTTGAGGGGGTCGTCGTATTATCCGCTCGGCCCTAGAATCCGCTGACAGTTCGGTTGGGGGTGGCTATTTATGGCATGTGATTACTACGACATGCAGCAAGCCGCCGTCGATGTCGCCCGGTCCCGTCGTGCGGAAATAGGGAAGGAGGGGGGACAGCCAAACAAAAATTCATGGCACCCGAAGGTTTAAAGAGAACGGACGGAATCTCACCTCCCAGACATATAATCGTCGCTAACGCTGCTGTCGAAATCTCTGGGTGGCCTTGGGGGCGCGGGGCCGCCTCGAACAGAATACTGGTATCGGTCGTCGCCTCCCCTTACGCCGCGATTGTTAGATGCGGACGACGAGCGCATGTTCTGCCAGGCCTCAAGTTTCTTCCTGTTTAGGGGTGCGCTACCATCCTTGGGAGCATTACGAAAACGCTCCCACATGGTGACGGACGGATCTGACGCGGGTATAATATAGGACACAATATTAGAGGGTTGCCTCCGTCTTCAATTCTTCCTCTTTCGCCTGGCCCTCGCGAACTAGTGCTGCTAGCGGCGGTCCGGGTGCGTGTAGGATCGTCGTCCGGGGTGCAATGCTCTAATTACGATGGGTACGTCGTCGTTCGACCTGGGGTACTCTCCGAATGTATCTCTCTACGTATGTGTAGGTATGCGTGGGAATCGAGGGGTAGAAGTAGAGGGTGAAGGAGAGGGAGAATGAGAGAGGGAGAGAGGCTCAAATTGTATGCACAACTGCGATTGTTGACCGGGAATCGCCCCCCCTCCGGTGTTACGTCCTGAGTAAGGTATGTATATTAAGAGGATTGTTGACTCGGCCACGACCACACTGACCTTGCGCGCGTCCTTGTCCTTTTCTTTTGTTTGTCGAATGGGTTCGTACTCAAAATTGGCTTGGCGAGCCGACGGGCTGGTTATAGGATGACGCCTCCTGCTGACGATTCGTCGAGCTAAAGCTCCCTCCCACGGACAATTCGGGGCCAGTTTGAGGCCAGCTCGTCTCCTCTGACACACGTCCTTCCTGTTGAGGCTTGTGTTTGTTGTGCTCGTCGTGCTTCTTCTTCGTTGTACGTTCTCGACTTGTCACCCAGAGACTCAGGGCCAAATGGTCGCATGACTAGGCCGGCTCCCGCCTATTGACTGGTCCGTAGGTACCCCGTCCGAAAGTCGATAAGCTGCGCGCGTCTTGGCCAACCGCGCCAGGGATTCGGTTCCTGGCAGTCGAGTTCGAACCTGGGAAAGCCACTCACTGGCAGGATTGCGTCTCTGACCCGCGCATCCCATACAAACTATATCTTATATGGACCGCACCGCCCGAAATGGACCTGTTTGTCGAGGAGGGGGGAAACAAATTGGAAAGGAAAAAAAGTTCGAAAACGAGAGTTGAAGAGAGAGTAAAGCGAGTGAAGGAATGGAAAGAGTGCGGAAAGAGAGCAGACAGGGAATGAAGGGTAGGACCATGCAGTGTACGTCCGGAGAAGATGAGAAGAAGCCGGCTCAATCGCTATAACTAAGTCCTTTAATTACAGCATTGCATCTTGGTTAGATGCACTCATGCATATTCATATATCCATATAGGTACCTACCTACCTACCTAGGTACCTCTTCTTACCCACCTAGGTAGGTACATAGGTGTGTTCAGGTCAGGCACATTATTAACCTCGATTTATTCCGTGTCAATTAACAGCGGCAGCCTACAATCCCGGAGGTGTGTATGTGCCCCGTACCTACATACGTACGACCATCCTCCTACCGTTGAATCGTACCAGCAAGAGACATTAACTATACAAATTCGGTCAGCCTGCCTGCACCCTGATCAACACCTATGTGCCGGTGTAATGAGATAGGTACATAGGTACCACCTACCTTAGGAGGTACCTATTTACGTGCCGTCGCACGCCAGCCGATATGAATACTGGATCACTTCCCCCCTTTCCCCCCTATAAATATACGAATCTTCGTATATTACGCTTACTACGTGGTGGTAGGGTTGTAGGCACATACTGTACATATCGTAAGTAGTGGTCTTACACGTATGCTGTTTGGAAAAGAGGGTCTGGCTCGTGATCGTCGCTGGGAATCTTGGGTCACCACCATGCACTGTTGCGGCAGTCAAGCGCTCCAGCGCGTCATGGGTAATCATGGCTAACCAGCTGCTACCGCATCTTTTCCCATGCCGCCCGGCATCAGACCTCTCTCCATCCCCGACTCCCCAACGGCTCGCTGTCGTCGCAAGCTATGGCTGCGTCGCGGGTCGGCAACTCGTGCATATGTGTAACCACCGGCATGCATGCGCGCGAGGAGGAGTTGTTCCTCGGCCACGATCATCGTCTTGCCCAGCAGACAAAAGCCGGGGATGAAAAGCTTCGATTTTACGAGGCCGGACGTCTAGCGTAGCCTCGAGCCCCAGGGCCAACCCTCGCAGAGCCGAATGGCCCTGCAAAACCCGGGGTATCGCGGAATTTGCGTAACGGCGGTTTCACCCTGAGCTGGACCCGACAGCGCTCAGTCGACCCGGACCGGGTGAATTGGAAAAGGGAGAGCAGATCAGCAGGGACGTTACCCAGGCTAGGCTAAGTAATACCTCCCTACAGCTGAGGCACGTAAGGTAAAGTCAGGTACTCCAAGTTTACGTACCTAAGGTACCACCTCTCAAGATGCCCACAGCCTAGAGGGATCGCTAGGAAGTACCCAAACTACCAGGTACCTACAGGTAGCTATGCTCAGGTACATATACACGCACACATAGGAATATAGGCGGTAAGTACAAACCTAGGTACTTAACGTATGCATGTACCCCACCAGATTAGGAAAGTGGGGGAGAAAGAATCGGAGGCTCGCGTCAGCCAATCGACAAACCGGATCTGTCTCGATCCTAGACTCCATACCTCGTTGTTGAATTCCCACTGTCGGTACATTAGTAGCTGTCTTCCATGTAACGGATAGATATATGTATGCCACCACGGTGATACAACATATAAAATTTTTTCGCATCGCCTCGGCCAGCGAACGACCTGAGCCATAGACCCGCGGGAGCTAACCCATCTACGCTCACCACCGCAACTCACTGTCTGCTGTTAGAGGGGCTGGATGGGGGGTAGACAAGGGGAGGAGGGGGGCTTTACTTCACGCAGATCAAACTCGGATCATCGCAAACCAATTGGGGGGGGGGGGGGGGGGGGGGGGAGGGCATGATGAGGCGACATTTGACCATCCCATGTGAGTTCAATCGGCCAAGAGTTGCGAGGGTAGCGAGAGATTGAATTTGGAGTGGGAACCGACCTCTTGCCTGGCCCTTAACCACATACCTGCCATCGCCGTAGGATCCCAACTCTTCAGCAGCACCGCAGACACCGCTTTCCGGCCTAGGGACTCCGCGAACGTGTGTTGGTAGCATATACTGCGTCGATGAAGCAGTAAGCCGGCGCTGCAATCGTACCCAGTATGCTGCTAATCATGGGCAGGCCTAGCTCGATAGTACCCCCCAATGTCTAACGTCACGTCGGCCCTCACTTTCTAGATAGGCAAGTCCAGAACCATTGCCTAGGCTGGCTAGTGATGCCCCCTATGATCCCAAGCGCAATGCCTCCACGACGAAGATAACACCTACCTACATACCCCAGGGCCTAAGACATAGACCTCCATAATTAGGAACGGAAGACGGGTGCTGCATAGTAGGTAGGTAGGTATACTTTGCCCTCTGCCCCCCCTTGTCCAACCCAAATGCCCTATCTCTCCCTCTCTGCCAGCAAAGGCTGAGTTGCCGTTGCGATGACTGTGATGGCCTCTTCGGAACCCACTCCCGTTCCGGCTCAAGGCCCATCTTACATCAGCCTTACCTGAGACGTCGTATGCTACACAGCATTCGAAACCGCTCATGCTTCCATAACCGGGTACCTGAGGTAAGCAAGTACGTACACGTACGTCTGGAGGGTGCGAAGAACATGAACAGCACAGCCAACAGAAGCGAGGAAGCTCCGTATGGGAAGAAAGGGCCTACCTTCATATACGACCAAGCAGCCATAAATAGGCAGGTAAGCAAGGGATGCATGGTGTCGATAGGCGGCGTCCGTGTTGGTTAAGTACCTACCTACACTCTCGTGTCGAGGTGTCGAGATCATAGATGAGACGCAGGCATTGTTACGTGTGGTGCGGGCTGGGCGGTGGATTGTGGATGTAGGTAGCACTAGATACCTAAGGTGAGCCACCTTGGAATGACGCGACAATACAGCTCTATAATTTCCCATGGGCATTCGGGGTCGAGGTTCGAGTTGGGGGAGGGCTGAATCCTGCTGCAATGGGAGACAATCGGACCATCACAAATGGTGTCTTGCCTCAGGTACCTCTGCCTTACCTCCCGCCCACCTATCCCTAGGTACTTAAGGAGGTACCTACCTCTCTGTCGACCTCTTTAGGTAGCATTTCAAGCCCGAGCCTTTGATGACCTACCCAGGTAGGTAATGATGAGGTAGGCACCCGGTCAAGCCAGAACTACAGGTACCTACATAGGTAATGCTGTTAAGAGGCATGTACCAGCAGCTCCCTTCGCTCGCAGCCATTTCAGGGCTGCTCGCCTCCGACCTCTGATTCAGCAGCCAAAGTAGCAGGTCGGTCTGCTATAGCTGAGGATCTGCTGGGGTGTCTTTCCCCCTTCTTCAAGGGTCAGTCACGTGAGCACGCAGTGAGTACCTAGGTATGATAAGCTCAGCCAGTGGATCCCCGATTACCTAATCGCCAGAGGGGTGAATGAAAAAACCTTGTGGGCTCGGGCCACCTTCACCATCTTCCGTCCACCTCCACAGCACTGCTCTGGCTTCGGACCGACCTGCAATCCGAGCGTCGGAATATCTTCGGATATTCCCCCTTGCCCATGCTACTAGCCCACATTTTGCAGCAGCATTGAATTTGTTCGAGATGGCAGATCCGACGGCCCCGCAGCAGAGCGACCCCTCCGGCGCGGCACCAGACGAAATAGACCCAGGTAAGGGAAAAATTACACGATCAGCTCCCCCCCCCCCGCGCCTCTTCACCCGAAGAACGAAACTCGGCAGGTCTCCATCTCTTCCTATCCTACCCTGACGAGTAGCCCCATCCGCCCGGGGAACGTCCCTTACCCATTGCCGTCGCCCTCCTCACGGTTTTGGTCGTGTGCAATTTTCCCACACGTCCGTCCCCCAGTCTCGCGCGAGGCGTCCCATTCAACCCAGACGGCGGCGACCACGGCGACGCTAACGAGGAAGCAGAGCCGCCGACCATTCAGCAATTGCTCGAGCACACCACCCAACGTTTGCACCAACTGTTGCGGCACAATATCGACCGTCTTCAACCACCTCAATCGCCCAGCATGGCGGAAATACAACAGCAGCAGCAGCTCGTCTTTGTCGACGGCACCTTCGCCGAGTTGGCGCAGGACATGGCCGACTACCTACACGTCGGCGACGATGTCAAGCCCCTGCTCGAGAAAGAACAGAAGGACGAGGCTCTTAAGAAGATCATCGTCGCGTCCACTGCCCTCAACTCGGTACCGGAGAAGGAGTTTACCGCGGCCTACAACCTGCTCGTCTATCTCGTCTTGCAGTCCGACAACGCCCAGATGCTCCTCCCCCGCGTCTGCGATAACCTCACTAGGCCTATCACCTCCTCCCCCGTCAACGGCGCCGGACTCGCCCTCAACGCCCTCACCACCATCTTCAACATGCTCCCGTCCGAGAACGAATTGCGATACAACGTGTTCCACGCCATACTAAAGTTCGTCAAGGCGCACGGCATGTACGAGAGCCTCAAAAAATACCTACCGCGGCTAGAGGACTGGTTCAAAGAGTGGGAGACTGATAAAGAGGACCAGCGAAAGCTGTATGAGGAAATCGCCGAGGCCGCCAGCGAGATCGGTGACGAAGAGTAAGCGATAATTTCTTAAGTTCGGGTCCCTCTTCAACCCTCCCCTCTGTCCTTTCCCTCAAACCCCAGTGCTGATCCTGTCACGCCGCAGGTCCTCATACGAGCATGTCCTCAAGGCTCTACGTACCTTCGATGACAACGAACTTAAGTCCGAGGCTGCTCAGAGACTCGCTCTCCGCGCCGTTAGAGCCGCGATTCTGTCCCCAACCCACAACGACTTCCAAGATCTCCTCGCCGTACCTGCCGTTCAAGCTCTCTCCGACACACATCCCGTCTACTCCGAGTTGCTCACGATATTCGCCGAGAAGGACCTCGAGGACTACAACGACTTCAGAGAGGAACATGAGGGCTTCGTCGAGAAGGAGAACCTCAATGGCGACAAGCTGTACCGCAAGATGAGGCTGTTGACCTTCGCAAGCCTCGCCGCGAGCACGTCGAGCCGCGAGATACCGTACGAAAGCATCGCCAAGGCGCTGCAGATCCCGGTGGAGGAGGTCGAGATGTGGACGATCGACGTGATCCGCGCCGGCCTCCTCGAGGGCAAGCTGTCGCAGCAGAAGAAGGTCTTCCTCGTGCATCGGACGACATACCGCGTGTTCGGCGAGAAGCAGTGGCGCGAGCTCGACGACCGCATCGACGGCTGGAAGGCGGTGCTCACCAACGTCATCGCCAACCTTCGCCGGGAGCAGGCCAACGCCGAGGCGCAGAAGAAGCGCGAAACTGAGGATATCGAGCGACGCCTCGCCAACACAAATCTCGGCGGCGGTAACGCTTCTTCCGGTGTCGGTGGCGGACGACGTGGCGGCGGCGGCGGTGGCGGCGGCGATCGTAACGACCGAGCACCTCGCAAGGAACGAACCGAAGACGACGATTAGACGACATCTATCGCTAGCCCTCTCTCTTTATCCTCTCCTCTCCACGCCCTTCTAGCGTATACCCCCCTCCTCCCCTTCATCGGCTGCATTATAGGGATGGTGTGTCCATACGGCGTAATATGGCAGGCATTTTGCGTGGCGAAAAGAGAAGGGGACCGGAAATAGGAAGGATGAGATGGAGGGGGGAGAGAAGGGGAGGAAAGGGGGGGATTCATTTGCTGCGAATGAGGGTCCCCAAAGCTCGACTGCACGACGCGATTTGGCCCGAGGCGGTACGACAGACACTAATAACTAATACGTTACTAATGCTGTCGTTGTTCTCGCTCCCCTACACAAATGATCTTGGCCTCCCCCTACCACACCTGAGCTTTTTCTGCTTTTTTTTGTCTAAAATCTTTTTTCAGCTTCGGGACAGGTCGCAAGGGCGGACGCGTAGGCGGGGAGGATCCCGTAGATCGGTGTTTGCGAACCGGTTCGCCGAGGCCGCGGCCGCGTGCGCTCTATGGCGGGGGGGGGGGGGGAGGGCGACGGCGGCGGCTCCATATAGTATAGAGGATACAGAAAAGTTCTTAAGATCTCGGGGTGGATGATAAGGGAAACGAACGAACAATCAAACGTAGGCGAGGATCTCCCCTTCTTCCTCCCCGCCGGACTCGACCTAAATAAATGCGTTAAAAGATTACGATGGCCTCCCCCTCTCTGCTCTCCGCTATGCATGTGCGCGTCTATGGTACTTTATCTATTTATTTCTCCACCGTCTTGAGCCTCATTACTAACCCCGTCTATGACTTTAATATAAATGAAAGGGGCGGGCCGCCGGCTGGCTCTATACAGCTAACTACACCACACGTAGATTTTGCCCGCGAGGTGGTTACAGCAGCAGCAGGTGCTCATCACGTCTTCTCTCCTTATCGCATTCCTCTATTCCCATGGTCGTTGTCGTCATCATCAAGTCAAGCCATCGCCGTTCCTTCCTCTCTCTCTCTCTCTCTCTCTCTCTCTCTCTCTCTCCCTACCCATCGTCCGCCACCACATCCCAATACTTAATAAACATCACGGGGCTCCCCACCCGGACCTACTCGCGGGCCTGCTCGCGGCCCTCGGCGGCGGCGGCGGCGGCGAGCGCGGCGTCGAGGGCGTCCTGGCCGAGGCGCTCGGCGAGGCCGTCGCGGGTGGCGTCGAAGACGGCGTCGGGGGCGGCGGTGGCGTCCACGTGGAGGACGCGGCCCTGGGCGGCGTAGTAGTCGACGACGGGCATGCTGGTGTCGGCGAAGGTGCGGAAGCGCTTGCGGATGGAGTCGGCGTTGTCGTCCTCGCGGCCGGAGGTCTGGCCGCGGCGGAGGAGGCGGCGCTCGAGCTCGGGCTCGGGGCAGTCGTAGAAGAGGGCGAAGCGGGCCGGCACGACGGCCTCCTCGAACTTGCGCGCCTGGTCGAGCTTGCGCGGGAAGCCGTCGATCAGGAAGATCCCCCGCGGCGCCGCCGCCGCCGCCGCCTCCAGCACCTCGCGCATCGCCGCCTCCAGCAGCGCGATCGTCACCTCCATCGGCACGATCCGCCCGTCCCGGATGTACTCCCGGATCAGCCCGCCGAACTCGCTGTCCGGCCGCGCCTGCTCCGCCCGCAGCAGGTCCCCCGCCGACAGGTGCGCGAACCCGTACCGCTCCACCAGCCGCGCGCACTGCGTGCCCTTGCCGGCGCCGGGCCCGCCGAGCACGAAGATGACGGTGACGTCGTCGGGCGAGAAGACCGGGGTCGTGCGGTCCTTGAGGTTGTCGATGGTGGACATTGTGCTTGTGTGTAGGTAGGTGGTATCTAGGTAGGTAGGTAGCTCTCTCTCTCTCTCTCTCTCTCTCTCTCGTCTCTGTGTGTGCTGCTTTAGTTTTCGCGTACCGGTTCTAGCGGTGCGCTACGTCCTTGTTCGTCTCTAGCTAGGTCGTGTCGCTTGTTCTCGGGTGCAGGCTGTGAGGTTCTCGTGGTAGCTACTAGGTGGTGGAAGAGCGGTGTCCTGGCTGCTAGGTTACCTGTTGCTCGCTGGCCCCCTAGGTGCCTAGCGAAATAGACAGTTAGGCGGGTAGGGAGTAGGCAGGTGATAAGGAGACGGCCAAGCACGGACGATGCATGTATATGGTTTTCGGGTATGGAAAGGTATGCTTACCGGTGATATGTTTTTTTTTGTTGTTGTGGTTGAGGGGGTAGAAACTGGGGGTGAGTTGCGTTGGCTGGTCAAAGGTATCGTGGAGATTGTGTGGTGCATGAGTGTAGGTCTCCCAAAACACCATGACAGCTTCATGTAGCCAGGCTGTGGTCCCTGCAGCGCCCCGCCTCCCCATTTCCCATGCCCTGTACCATAGGTAGGTATGTCACCTGACCACGGGCCACCCCCCCTGGAACCACGTCACTCTCACCAAAGACCAGCAAAAGTTGCTACTTTCTGTCACCTAGTCCATGACCTACCTAGGTACTTTAGCACCCTTTAGAGCCTGAAGCTGTACCTACTCATACATAGACAAGCGAACTCTGTGAGATTTGCCTACCCACACACACCTGACGTTCTCCTACCTCCCCTAAAGAACGGCTCCATCGTATTTAGTCAGTCATGGTTGAATTTACCTTGCTCATAGGTACTTAACCTGCTCGTGCTTCATTCATACTATACTGCATCACCTAGCCCATACAGTACTATAGACAGCCTACATTAAGCGACCTGTGTGCTGTCCTACCACAGGACTTACCCAAAGTGCGGGGTAAAACATGGGAGCCCGAAGTCACCGGCCGTGACAACAGCTCTTCCAGCTCGCAAAGACGGTGACGACAGCTCTTCCAACTTTCAAAGACGACAACGCATCACCAACAATGGGGATAAACTGTGGCTTCGACATCTACCCGCCCTTAGAGCGTACTCACACAAACCAGGCTCTGTACGAACGCTTCCTACACGATGTACTTGTATCGTATGGTCTACCCCACGACGGCAGGCCGCATTCAGATGCTGGAGACGGCAACAATGCCATAATATCTGTGAACACCGAGTCCAAGACCTCCTACATTGAATTTCTGGTCGGCGAACATCCATGCATGCCACGCCGGTGTGAGAACTTCCTACGTTTCAGCTCTAAAGTTAGTGGCAGCTCAACCGCTGAGCCGCATATAAGAACAGTCTACAAGATTGCAAGACAATATCTGGGGGATCGGGTTTATCGCTGGCATGAGATGAACGAGTTTGGTCCATATATCCACATGAATGGATGCTATAGTTGGACAGAGATTTACGCGGCACGGAGGCGAATAGAGGAACCAGAGGACCCAGAGGAGCCGAAACATAGCGCAATGAGCTCTGATGTCCTTCAGCATGTCGAAGATGGAGCAGATAAGATGCTCGCAATGGGAATCAGCGAAACCAAATTGTACGATGTCAAACCTGTCTCGGGCAAAGGCCAAGGCGTCATCGCGACCTCCAACATCCCCAAGGGCACACGCATACTACTGGAGGCTCCTCTCTTCAAGTTACCTGAGACCGTCCCGGATAGCATTGCCGAGGCAGTTGTAGTACGGGAGGTGAAAACCCTCTCGAGATGTCAGCAGCGAGAGTTTTTCTCGCTACGGAACGTACACAGACACAAATGCAACCCCTTCCTAGGTATTGTCCAAACAAACATGCTGCCTCTGACTGAGGATGAATATGGCAACGGTGGTTTGTTTCTCCAGGCGTCACGTTTGAACCATTCGTGCCAGCCAAACGCGCAGCACACATGGAACGCCAGCCTCGGTTGCTTGACTGTACACGCGCTGAACGACATCGAGGCTGGTGATGAGATTACAATCTCCTATTTTAGCGGGGTTTCCATGGAGCGGACGAAGCGGCAGCGCCATTTGAGAGATGGTTTCTGCTTCTCGTGCACGTGTAAGCTCTGTTCGCTGCCACCACCGGCCCGCCTTCGCAGTGACGACCGACTAGCCCAGATCTGGTCCATCCAAGAGGATTGTGACGCCATGGACGCGGATGCGATTTATAGGCGTCCCCTTGAGTTATTTCGACAAGCACAGCAGCTTCTCAGGTTGCTGGATGAGGAAGACACCCAAGACATAAGACGTTCGAAGGCATACTTTGCTGCCTTCCTGATCGCTGTTACCGTCGGGGACAAGCCCAGGGCCAAGGTCTTAGCCGAGAGAGCATACATTGCCCGCAAATTAATTTCTGGTGAGGACAATCCGGTAACCGCGTCTTTCAAGCGGCTCATGGAGCGACCGGTAGAGCATCCTTCATATGGCGCGGCGATGAAATGCTACGGCGATAGATGGGATCCACCAAGGCATGTGGACGGAGAGGAGCTCGAGAAATGGCTTTGGAATCCGGACGAGTGGTCAAGATACAGCCTCTCTTGACTAAGAAGCGTACTTGAGAATGCCGACGAGCTGATGTCTCTGCGGAATGTGCTATTACTGATAGAATGTCGGACCATGGACTGAACGTGAAGAAACCGCCGGGCATTTGAAAATCCCCCAGTATCTTGGCACTATTTGCCTGCCCTACTAGTAAAACGGCGTCCCGAACTCCAAGGGTCCTAAATGCTGCCGATGCCGCACGGTACCCTTCCACGTCGAGCGTCCACGGCATCGTGACAAAAAGCGACCACACATAAAGCTTGTGTGTTTGCTTACCTCCGTCAACTATCTCGGGAGCCATGTAGATTGGGCTACCAACATAAGTTACTGCTAGATCAGCGCGATGGGAGAAGCCCAAATCTTCAAGCTGGAAATGATACCGTCCTGGATGCGTCACATAGATAATGTTTGCCGGTTTTAGATCTTGACGGATGAGTCCATTTGCCGAAAGAAAGTCGGTCGCTTTGGGCATACGCTGAAAGGCAGTTGGGGCAAGGGTTAGTCTGTTTTGTTGCCTAATATCACAAAAAGGATCGCATGGTACTCTTAAGATGCCAGAACGTGTCTACTCCTGATTTTCACCATCTCGCGTTTTGTTTGTTTTCCTTTCAACCCATCAAGTTCTACATCTACCTTCCGTTTGAGACGAGAACTCGTCTATGTCCGGTACGGTCCGAGGAGTCGGCCTGCTGAGGGTTGACGCAGCTCTCGCAGCACTCGCAGCACTCGTCGAAGACCCAGAGCAACTCGAGCGAGAAAGAGAGCGGTTTAGCGAATTCCCCCCTTCTTACCGAACTCATCTATTACATAACTTAACCCTCTCCTAACCAACTCCACGCGATGAGGAATAAGACCGCCTCTATCGTCGACGATGGCAGCTGATCCGAGAGCAAGACACATCATGGGCCCGCCGGCAATTCGATGCATAAGCTAGTGAAGAATACGAGAATAAGCTCGAGTAGTCTGCAACTCTTAGGTACGTTAAAGATTATATGAGCCTCGTAGCCCCCCGAAGGGGCCCTGGCATTTATTTTCGAGCATGCGCAGCTCCAGGACACAGGAGAGCTACAGAGAAACGGTGACCCCATGTTTACCTAAATAATCCTCATTAACTCATTACCGTATTCGCGAGTTCCAGTAGCGGAGTTTCAGGTCCAAATTATACAGGCGGCACGTAAACTACACCACATGGCATGCCAAGACGAGACATCGTTGCTCGTGCCGGAAGTGACCCGAGATGAAATATACACACATATATACAAAGGCAACACACACCCCGTCGATTCAGCTCCCGACGGGCGATGGCAGACAAGCCGAATAGGCCGCTACGAAGTTCTTTCTTTTACTCATTGTACCCTCCTCTCCGGTGGTATGGTCCTATAACCACTGATCAACATCCGATGGCCCCTCATGGCGACAAAACGGTAATACCAAGTAATATCCTCTCCCTCGCTGGTCTCCAGCCCTCGAGAATCTTGCCCGGCAAGAAGGGGGAGGAGCAGCACGCGGGGGAAAGAAAACAGAAAACAAACAATCAAAAAAAGAGAAACCCACCTACTCTGGGCCTTCGCCCTGACCAGGAGGACGTAGCTCGCGGTGCCTAGGCCGATGACGGCGACGAACGGCCAGAACTTGACGGCGTTGTTCGCGCCCCGCGGCGGCTGCGTGCTGTACGCCCTCCTCCGGCCGGCCGCCGCCCGGCGGAGCCCAGACGTCCCGGACGAGGGCGAGGCGTACATGCCAGCTAATATGTCGGACGGGCGGAACGTTCTTTTCTCGGAGAGAGGACCGAAAGGTGCGGTGGGGTGGGGTGGGGTCTGTCAGATAACTCGGAATGTCCCCCTCTACGGACGGCTGGGGGTGCGAGTTGGCGGGGCTATTTCTCTCGAAGGATGGGCGAGCGGGAGGATAGACGAGTGAATTATGTAGATGAGGACAATTGTATGTGAACTGAGAGGCAGGTCTCGTAATGCGCCGTGCCGGCTGCTCGCAATGCCCACGGCGGCCACGTTGGATAGGCAGGAATTTGGTGGTGGCAAGTGGAAGAAGCTTGGAGGAGAGCTTCGGCAACAGCCCACCCTCGCTCCACCCCTCCCTTCGTCCACCCCACCGACGGCTGTCTGCCAGCTGCCGACAAGACGACCGTCGTCGCGCATCGTTGTGTAACCAATGTAGCGACCACCTGCCACCCATTTGACTTGATTTATAACTTGCCAACGTGGGCTTATAAAGGCTGATTCCGTACATAACAGAAGTCTACTCACACATGATCTGGTCGAGGTTTCTAAAGAATACCTAGGCCAGACTTGTAGAACATTTAGACGCAATCCGCCTCCAAGATACGGCCCCTGACCTAGCACCTCAGGGGGATCTGTTCTTGGCTTCCCCCTACCAGTAGGTAGCCTCTACAAAAGAGTAGGTATATCGACTTCACCTACGACCCAGAAAGCAGCTATAGCCATCAGCTATTAGGTATAGGTTACGGGTAACCCTAGTAGGGGCGAGGCCATGGTCCTGACCGCGATCGCCCAACACCTTGCCCGCTAACAGGAGATAGTATCCAAGTCTCAGAGGCTTTAGCATACTTCTTCTGTAACAACTGGGTACCGAAGATAGAAAACGCCACGACGGTAGTCCGGAGCTTGATTTAGCAACTTGCGGTTCAGCAACCCTCATCGATCGACCACCTGAAAAGAAAACGCACGTCGACGAAGCGAAGACGCTTCAATTGTCCGAACAACTTCTTAGCCATGTCTGGCGTGCCAGGATATGGTGGTTGACGAAGGTCTACTCAATATATATATATATTGTTCTCGATGCTGTTGACGAGACTCCTCTCTATGCAGGCTGACCAGGCGCAGACGGCCTCCTGCGGTTAATCCGAATGACCATAGCCCTATGCCCGCGTATAGAATGGGTTGTATCTACAAAATATTCATCGCACGTTCGAGAAGTATTGAGGCAAGGGGATAGCGTCGGCTCCCGCCTCGACCTTGACCGTAATCACCCGGACATATTATCAGCCATGGGTAGCTATCTCGACCGGGAGATCTCCATCCTAGCGAAGAAAAAGCGATGCGATGAGAAACTAAGGAGGGAAGTAGCAGACTGCATGCTGAGAGAGTCTCGGAGAAACTAATTATGAACCAAAATCGTCCGTCATGCCATGTTCCTCGAGAAAGCGTGGTTTAATAATACTATCGACTTTATTAGGGAGCTACTAACCAATCCCATACTTTTTTGCGACGGAATGATGGAGCATATCAGGGGGCACCGTGATTATACCTTTTTTATCCGGGTTCTCTCCGTCATGGTATTTGCAATCCAACCGCCTCATATTTCAGAGTTGGGAGTTTAAGTCGTGCCGCCTCCGACGGTTGACGTAGAAGTAATAGTAAGAGAGTGCTCGACGTTCTTGGACATCCATGAAGGGTTAGTGTACTTCATCCATGGGCCAATATATTAATATGTTCGCGAAGCCCTGCTCCTACCCGATAGTATCTCTATTGACCACGTAAAAACGGCCCGCCCGAGCCTAGCGGTGTTATCCAAGTTCCTAGCATCAACGTCAGGGCCTAGTATGGCACCGACGCAAGAGGCGCGAGGGGCGGAGTTGATTCGAAACTCTTTGACAGGTTGGATTCAACATGCCATGGCACTCGAGGACCTCTCGTCAGATACAGATATTATTTCAGCCACGGCTACCATGCTATGAGCAAATATACCAGAGTGGGTTGGAGCCCTGGTGGTAATATCTCGTTTTCCCACGGCGTTGGCGATGATTCAGGGGTTGGACCTGTTGTTGACCGTAAGTCTACCCATAGCTTAATCTAGGGTGTCAATGGTCGAGGCGGACTAACGCTCGGAGGTCGGACGTCAAGAAATATACCAGTTGATATCGTCAATACGCATCACGATGTACATGGACTGCTGTGCTTATACGGAGCAATGGATCTTGACGGTCTATCCCCGGGCATGTACAACTACTTATTATTTTGCCAGAGCGGATGCAGTGAAAGGAACAGATATACGTTAGACTTCTTTACGTGGGTAAAGCGGTAATCCATTGTTACGGACCATTGGAGGCGTGACTTCGTAGTTCTCGAAGGCTACGGACGCTCGATCCGGAAATTTGCCTTCTCTCTGGATAGCCGACTGCTTGCCTTGGCGTTCGACGATAGGATCATTAGCGTATGGGAGGTCGAAACTGGGGCCATCCGGTATACGCTTGAAGAGTACTGAGGCTGGGTGAGTAGCCTGGTGATTATTACACCTATAGATATGATAGCCTCAGGGCCAGATAACCGTACCGTCAGGCTCTGGGCAGCCGACACGAGTTGCCCATAAGTCACTCTCCGGAGGCAAGCTACCACCGTTGGATATCTCAGCTTTTCCCGCGACAAATCCACGCTTGCAGTGTCAACGGAGGCCATGGTTCAGCCGACAAGAAATTCACCTCCGGGATGGGGCACTGGATAAAGGCTACATTAAGATATCGAACTACGCCACGAGGACATGAACTCTCTATAGTCCTCTCGCCAGACGAGAGTCTCTTTGCTTCCTGCTCTAAGGATTGGGCTGTACGGGTGTGGGACTTGCCTAGCGGGAAGCTGACATGCAACTTGGAAGGCCACCAGGATTCGGCGCAGCACGCCGCGTTCTCCCCTAACGGGAGGCTCGTCGTCTCCGCTTCAGACGACTCCGCAGTGCGAGTCTGGAAGGTCGACAGTCAACGGGCGGCAGAGGACAGGAAAGTGGCAGTTCTGCGTCATCGAAGGGACTACTGCCTCACTGTCGCTTTTTCTCCTGACGGGAAGTTTCTAGCGTCCGCCAGTGACGATGAGGAGATAATTGTGTGGAGCATCGAGACCTGGTCGAAGTTCGGAAAACCGATGGATGCGGGTAACGCTGTCGTCCGCGTGACCATCTCGGCTGATTCGGACTGGATACTATCGGCCACGCGGGATGGCCATTGGAAGATGTGGGAGCTTGCCACCAGGGAGTGCCTGTGCACGATCGAGAGCCGGCACAAAGGCGGCCTGGGCTCGCTGATCTTAATCCGGGCTGCGTGGTGACCGGGCTGGGCGCATGGCGATTGCCGGGTGCGGAAGTCTGCCGCATGGCGTCCACATTAACCTTCATCGGCCCCGTACGCCATCAGATGTGGCCAAGGCACGGGCCGTTGGACGATCACCTGGAAAGAAACCAACATAATCGAGATCGTAGACTAGTATAATATAAACCTGGTAGCGCCTGGGCCGGCAGTACGTGCGTCGCTGGGAGAAGGGTAGCCATAGGGATTGTACTTATTTGAAGAGCTCCTCTTCCTTGAGCTTTTAGATGGGATAGAGCCGCGGACGGTCGGTTATTACGAAGGTTTGCTATGACCTTGAGGTAAGTAGCTCACTTAATAGAGGAGTAGTAGTTGTAGTGGTGGTTGTAGTGGTGGTTGTAGTGGTGGTTATAGTGGTGGTTGTAGTGGTGGTTGTAGTGGTGGCGGCGGTGACGACCGTAAATATAGAATATGAATAGGTACCTTCATAAGCGGTACGGACGATTTTAAGAAAAGCGATACATTCGTTAAAACCCCTGAAGCACACCTACGTAAAGCCAGCTATAACCGAATTCAACGTGACGAAGCGGAGTGGTTCGACGTACCTATATTTTCAACATTAAACCTCCGTTCATAAGCCACCGTCATAAGTCACCTTCTATCGCAGACACCCACGCCTCATCCTCCCTCTCCCCTCCCGTTCTCTCTCCACCCCTCCAACCCAGGTGAGAGGCATGCCGTTGGCATCACAGTCGAGATCTGGCGAAGAATGCCGAGACCACGCAGGACCAACAAGCCTCGACAAGCTCCGAAACCACGGCCCCCGCTCCCTCCCCCCCTCGTCCACATCCGGACACAGCCCTTCGTAACGCGACCCAACTCGCCCGTACCCAGCAGACGATGCAACCACCTCCTGCTGTGCCCCCCCAATCTCGTTCTATATCCGGGCGACAATAATCAGGCCAACGCGCGCCTTACCCTTCTTCGTCCTCCCTAGCCCCGATCGCGTTCCCTTCACCGTTCGGCAGCCCGCTCGTAAAGGACTCTCTGATCCCGGGGCCGCCCCCAACGGCGTGCAGGTAAAGCAAGCAAGTAATCGCAGGCAGACGAGCCCGCGCGGGTCCTTCCCACCCCACCACCCTTCCTCTCTCCCTCTCCCTCTCCCTCTTCCTCAAACAAGCAACCCCCTTCGCTACCGCCGCCTCCTCTGCTCGGAACCAGCCGTCTTAGGGCGAGGGGAGGCGAGAGTAGGCGGCGGGAACTAAGCCAAAACTCGGCCCCCCCCCCAAAGTCCCGCTGCCACGCCTGCGCCCGACGACCTGGTACCTAAGCGCGTATACCTATATAGGTAGGTATGTAGCATGTCTTATTTACCGACGGGAGGGCTGTCTACCGCACAGGTATTAAGGCAACTAAAAAGAAAACGATTACGAAACCTCAGATCCCCTTGTGTAACCCTAGGTTGGGGGGGAATACGAGGAGTGGAGGTAGGTAAGCATAGGGGGAGAAGATACGAGAGCATATGCCGGTGGAAGCGGTAGGCGGCGTCCCATGTCACGTTGGTTAACGAGGAGAGGTAAGCGGCCTGTAGGCACAAGATACACCGATCAATATCAATATCGATTTCGTGATGAATTATACATGTAGGCAGGTAGGTCAGTTTTATACAACGTCGACTACCTAGCCCAGTCCAGCCGTTAGCTGCCTTGTGTAGGCGATCAAAGACCAAACGCGCGCGCGTTATGTCCACCCGTCCACTCGTTCGTCTCCTCCCCCTCCGAGGTATATCCTTCATTCATTTGACCCGTCCCAAAAACGGACCGCGGGTCACAGGGCAATAGTAAGAGTAAAATAACACGGAAAAAAAAAAAAAAACCGACACCCAATGATATATCCTTGAGAACGCCGGTTGTAGGTATAAAGATAAGGTCAGTGGATGACTTTCCGCAGGGGCCAATTTGGTTCGGTTCTGTCGGGAGGCTGTTCGTGTAGGTAGGTAAGATGAAATTTTGTTTCCAGCATCCGTCGTGAACCGAGCCCTTTCCCCCCGTTGTCGCGTTTCACGTTCTCTCCAGCTCAGCTGAACAAATGAAATTAAGTAATGTTATAATCCCTCCCCAAAACCCGGGCAGTAAAAAGCAAATATTTTCGATTCCCCCTACCGGCCGATGCTGAAGCTCGTCTGACCGGCTGGCGGGCTCTTTATAGCCGCGTCCGCGTACGCCCCAGGAATAGGCACTGCGGCATACTGGATCTCACCGGGAGCGACGGGGCCGTGCTCGTTGACGTTAACATTGGCGTCGGAGCCGGTTACGGGGCCAAAACCTGGGGCGTCTGGTGTCGTTGGCGTCCTGAATGGACTCTGGGCGAGCTTCGGTGTCGCAGACGGCGCCTTGCTCGGAGGGGCTTGCAGCTTGAATGGCTTCTCCGCTGGGCCTCTCTGGGCTGCGAAGGCCGACGGCGGCTCAGCAATTTGCGCGCCCTGCGTAAACGGGGGCACTTCTGCTTCTGAGATGTCCGAGAGCGATTTGTAAGCCGACGGCGGGAAGCGCGGCGACATGGCGTATTGCGAGAATGACGGCGACTTGGGACCGAATCCGGGGGTGTTGGGTGCCGACTGGGACCGCAGTTGCGCCAGGTACAGGTCCGACCGGGCGCGGTCTCGGAGGTCCATCGACTTCGCGAGGCGTCGTTTGGTGTAGTACCGGTAGAAGACGACGCTATAGAGCGTGATCGTGATGACGTCAACCACGATCTCGATAATGATACAGATCAGTGCCCAGTTCTGAGAGGTGCGTGTTAGCTTTGTAGTTCCTAGCGACCCTGTTCGTTGTGACCGTCACTAACCTGTAGTCTGCAGACCAGCGCGTAGTCAATTTTCTCCGAGAATAGGTCGGCGCGATGGTTCTGGACGCATGCCCATCCCCAGAGGTCCTTGTTGTCGCTGTTGTTCCTCGTGAACTGAAGGACACCGGCGGCGGCGGCCCAAAGGATGATGGAGACGATGAACCAGCCCACCGCGAACAGTGTATAGTAGACGCCGACCTTCTCCGCGCGGCGGTGGCCGCCACGGCAGTACCCGATGAAGATGAGAATGCAGATGAGGAGATTGAGGCAAGAAACGGCCAGGACGAGTATTTGCGGCCAGGCGTTGGTGTTAGACGCCCACGGCGGCAACCCATTCTGCGCTGGGAGAGCTCTAGTCGCATGGAAGATGGCAAACGAGGATGAGAGCATAGCCAGGATGATCATGCTGCAGCTGAAGCTGACGCCTCGGAGCGCGAACTTGGCCATCCGCACCTTCGTCTTGAGACCCTGCGGTACGCGTTAATAACAGACTTAGACCTGCACAGGCTATGCCTCCTCGGTACCTACCAGATCTCGTTCCTGCTCCTTATCGGTGTCCTTCTCCCGCTTCTCTAAAATCTCTTCTTCCCTGAAAGTCGGGCTTAACGGATTATCGAAAGTTCTCGCAGGCGTGCCCGGGATCTTCATCGCGCTCTTCAACGGCGTCTTCGGCGTCATTGGTACGTTGACTGACTCTCCTGTTGATCCTCCAGCGATATACCCAAATCCAACGTCGCCGGGTTGGGCCTGGGCTACCCGTGACCTCTCGTTCCTTCCGAATGGCATACTCCGTGGCTCTACCGGCGAATTGACTGATGTGGCTTCTGCGAATCTCGGTGTTCTGGGCGGCTTGAGTGATGACATAGAGGACGAACCGGTGGACGACTTCCGCGAAGGCGTTAAATCAAGGGCGGCGGGCCGCCGTCTATCGTCTTGTGTTGCCATTGTATAGTAGGGCGTCTTGGAGAGGGGGAGAAAGGAAAGGGAAAGAGGGGCGAAGCAAGGCTTGGTCTATGTGGGTAGACAGGCTGCGACTATATGCTTCTATGCCCGCCTCGGAGACAGCACCGTTGCGCATATAACCTATGGGCAGGAATAAGGAAACGAGAGGAAAATTTGTTGGAGAGGCCAGCTATCGAGGGGAAAAGAGATGCTCAGGCCGGACGGTCGGGGGGGAAGGTGGTTTTGAGTAGGCGCCGCTGCAGTATGGCACAGTCATTCGACCATGCCTTGGAAATGCCCTGCATGGGAGTGTTAGTGAATGGAGCTACACGGCATGCAATGGGATCGCTCACGGTGGACCGGGGTGGACGGGAATCACTCGCATGCAAGTCTGTGATAGGGCGGCTGGAAACACCTCAATCTCCCTTGCTCGGATGCCTCCTTAGAAAATAAACGCCCGTAGGTGATAAACTGGCGCCGGACACCTGCTCTGGTCGCATCAGATTTCCAGATCAACGTGTCACCATCGACTTTGGAACCCGGCGAGACGAGTCGCGAATCTCAGACACCCAATCTTCCTATACAAACTGGAAACGCAAGGGGAGGAAGATGAAGCCCGAGAGAGAGATAGTAGAAAGAGGAAGAATGCGAGTGAGTAAGCGAGTGAGTGAGCGAGTGAGGGCGAGAGAGGGAAAGCGGAAGAGAGAGCAGCGAAGTACACGGGGGAGGAGGGGGCCGGGGGCTTCGTCCGCGGGCATTTCCCTAAGCCGACTATACTTCCCTCCCCTCCAGCCCCCTAGGAAGTACAAGCTTGGAGATAATCGTAAGATGCCTGTCCGGCCGGAACGCCTGCCTTCGTCTACCAGCCGACAGGTACACCGGCACACCATCAACGACATGTCTGCTTCGCAAATTTCTCGCTAGCCAACAGCCTGTCGTTGCAACCGACTTCCTCTTGGGTGTCGAGCTGGCCGGTTATTGGGCGGATCACTTGCGAATGAGGTCGAGGACAAGACTTGGTAGGGATCAGGGGCCTTCCCGGTCCAGCGCAAAGACGAGGGGAGACTCCGTTGTGGTTGGGCGCATGGGACCAGCCGGCGCGAATCTCCTTAGGCGCCCTCGTGAACCCCTGTCGACGATCTACCGATTTGATAGGCAGACGGAACCCCATCGATAACCGTGCCAGCTGCGAGCTTGGAACATGCTACCAATCAGACTGCGGAGAGGCGTGATGCCGCTCACAAGACTGCATGGATCAGGTTGTGCCTGGGCGGTAAACCCCAGAGCCACATTGAAGGATGTGAACCGCCCGGCCTTGTTCGGACTTGGGACCTGCCAGGGCTCGTCGACTTTCCCGATTATCGCTCATTATCCCTCGTGGTCGAGTAGGTACATATTGTCCTCCTTTTGACTGTGCCATCGCCGACACTACGCGCGCGTGTGGTAGACGACCGGATGGTGCGACGCTTATTCTTCTTCTTCTCGCTGGCATACCCGCCAAAGAAACCGTGACGTGAAAATTGTCGCCCGCAACCTCGACGAACGGAACAGCAAGGTGATGGTGACAAATTGCCTCCGCTCTGGCGAAGAATCGAACCGCCCAACAGCGCACTCGGACATCCTCGAAAAGCTAGTGTCGTTGTACGTAGGTATGTACTGCTACGAAGGCGGGTTGCGATCAATGCAACGCCAGAACCCTTCCCCCCTCCTCCTTGCCGGGACCCTTCGTGATAGGCCGCACGGACGGAGACGGAGGCTACATTCGCACCAGTGCCAATCCCTGGATGGGTATGCCGAGGATGGGCTAGATGGCAGCAATGGTAGGTATCCCACCAGACAACGGTATGTCAGCTTTGCTACTACTACGCAGTACACTAATGCCCGGGCTCAATAGCCTTGCTCGCTCGGACGGCGAGATACTGGAGACTATTTTTAGTGCTCTTGTGCTCCGCGGCCGGGTAACGAGGCTACACTCACCTCGGTATAGAGGATGGGTTGCATCGAACACAGTCATTCTGCTCTTCTGTGTCGTGGGACAGCTGACATTTGAACAGTCTAGACGCCATGCTAGCACAAGTCCCCCTAGGCCACGGTGCCCTTCGTTAATATGGGCACGATGTCGTCCGCGGTGCGAGAACACAGCTAATGAGCCACGCCACGCAACCCACATTACACGAAGAGCCGTAGTAGGGCTGCATATACAGCTCCATATGGAAGATTACCAGCAGTTGTGATGGGATTTTATCGTGTCAATGGGCAGGCAGCCTTGTTTATTATGCACTGCACCCGCTTCCTGGAGTCTCGCCATGTGAAGGTGAGATTTAAGGCGTGAGAAGACGGAGCACGCTTGCTACGCATCTAGTCTGGAATCTTTACTGGAGAGGCACGGGAACCCCCGTAGGTAGTGAGAAGAGGCTCTCCAAGACTGTACCAGCTTTATGTCGCGGGTCCTGGAATGATCGTCATCACAGGGTAAATGGCCCGTAGACACGGCTAATTTTGGGTGTTTCTTCTCTTGTCTTGGGGTCCATTGATGCCGCACCCGCGGGTACTCGACGCTCGGCTGTTCCATCGCCATCGTCAACGATGCCGAGAGCGGCAGAGCCACAGGGAAACGTGGTAGCTGGTAGCGTTAGACGATCCATTGTTAGCAATTTTTTGGACGAATTACTCGTGCGAGAAGATGGGCACGCAGACTTAGAGCAAGCGTCTATTTAGATTGGAGTAGCAATGAGAGGAGGTATCAGGGTCGTCTCGTTTTGATTGAGGACGAAGAAATGTTCGAGCAGCTAAGGAGGGCAGGGCATCATAATTTAGATGAGTTATTCATCGATGGATATAACGAGGCAATGTAGATATAAGATAGTATTACCCCGTTAATGCGTTATTTTGCGTCACGGGATCCTAAAATTATGTCAGCAATTTAGATACCTGCAGGTGTTTCTGCCCTCGCTGACCGCTCTATGCTCGGATTAGGTAACGGGGGTAGCTTTTGCCCCTCGTTTCTTATCTTATCAGTGAACGGAAAGAGTCATACACACTTTTCGAGCCAAAAAAACCCAACCAATACTCGACTCCTATAGGGAACGTCACGACTCCCAGAGTATTTCCGGGCCGCCTGTAAGCCACTTCTCCAGACTCGCCAGTAGAGACACGCAGAGACACCGGTATAGCTACACAGAGCCAACCCGAAAAAACAGAGACGGATAAGAAAACGGAAGAAACGTCAGCCGAGAGAGGCAGAGGCTCGTTATATCTTCATTCCGAATCTATTGCTTCACGCACACGCACACTCCCACCACATAATGTCTGCGCCTGACAAGTTCGGCAATGATATCGGGTCCGAATCCGACTCTGGTAACGAGTCACTTCTCGGCGATGGTCCCGATGACGCTCCCGAGGAGCTTGACCAGAAGCCGCTCAAGTCGGCCCTGAAGAAGGCTCCCGTGGCCCCTCCGGTCCCGGTCGAACGGCCGCCTCTCCCCCCACAGACGGATGCGAAGGACCTCGATCTCAGCTCGCTCACTCCGCTCACCCCCGAAATCATCGCGCGGCAAGCAACCATAAACATCGGCACCATCGGCCACGTCGCCCACGGAAAGTCCACCGTGGTCAAGGCCATCTCCGGCGTCCAGACGGTCCGTTTCAAGAACGAGCTGATCCGTAACATTACCATCAAGTTAGGATATGCGAATGCCAAAATCTACAAGTGCGACAACCCCGAATGCCCCCGGCCGGGATGCTACCGGAGTTACAAGAGCGAGAAGGAGGTGGACCCCCCGTGCGAGCGCGAGGGATGCAGCGGCACGTACAGATTACTGCGTCACGTCTCGTAAGTCCGCTCAGGCGTCGGAATATAGCCTGTGGTCCTGACAGCTTTAGTTTCGTCGACTGCCCCGGTCACGATATTCTCATGAGCACTATGCTTTCTGGCGCTGCGGTCATGGACGCTGCCCTACTGCTCATCGCCGGCAACGAATCTGTCCCGCAGCCTCAGACTTCGGAGCATCTGGCGGCCATCGAAATCATGAAGCTGGACAAGATCATCATCTTGCAGAACAAGGTGGACCTTATGCGGGAGGAAGCTGCTCAGCAACATTACCAGTCCATCCTAAAATTCGTCCGAGGCACACCCGCTGCCAAGTCGCCCATCATCCCCATCTCCGCCCAGCTTAAATTCAATATTGACGCCATTAACGAGGCTATCGTTAACACGATCCCGGTCCCGCCCCGAGACTTCACCCAAGAGCCACACATGATGGTCATTCGATCCTTCGACGTCAACAAGCCTGGTGCCGAGATCGAAGAGCTGAAGGGCGGTGTTGCGGGCGGCAGTATCCTACACGGCGTGTTAAGGTTGGGCGACGAGATCGAGATCAGACCCGGCATTGTGACTCGAGACGACAAGGGTGCTCTCCAATGCAAACCGATTTGCAGTCGTATCGTGTCTCTAAATTCGGAATTCAACGACCTCAAATACGCCGTCCCCGGAGGTCTCATCGGTGTCGGTACGAGAATTGACCCCACGCTCTGCCGAGCCGATCGTCTCGTCGGGTTCGTCCTCGGCCTCAAGGGCCGCCTCCCTGCCATCTACAGCGAGATAGAGGTCAACTTCTATCTCCTGAAGCGGCTGCTAGGCGTCCGGACGGCGGACGGTAAGCAGGCCAAGGTGGCGAAGCTGGCCAAGAACGAAGTGCTCATGGTGAACATCGGTTCCACCTCAACCGGCGCCAAAGTCGCTGCCATCAAGCAAGACGCGGCGAAGTTGTCGCTGACCAGCCCGGCCTGCACCAACCTGGGAGAAAAGATCGCCCTCAGCCGACGAATCGAGAAGCATTGGCGTCTCATCGGATGGGCCACCATCACAGCGTGAGTTTTTTCCCTACCCGTTGCAATACGAGCTCCCCATAGCTGACAAATTATGTGCAGTGGTGTCACAGTAGAGCCAACCGAATCATGAACGTCAGGCATCGGACCAGCCTAGACGCAAGAACAAGCGGAGCAAATCGATTGGCCGTAGTAGATGGGCATTAGATCGGGCGTACAAAAGGGTGTGGGAAAACGGGTCCTTACGCGAGGTGGTAAGGGTTACGCTATCGGGATACCGACCTGGGAGAATGCCCAACTCCTCAAAGACGTATCGAGGTTAGAAAGGAAGGTCGTCGTCGATGAGGTCTCGGGGGGTAAAATCGTACGTTGGCTCGGCTTCGATTGGGCTACGGGGAAGGGAAGCGAGAAGAGGGAGCATAAGCGTAGATAAGAGGCGTAGTCGTTGCCATTATACACTGCTGCTAAGTCGATCCGCCGTAAGTCCCTCGCTCCGCCATTCTCAGCCTACTTGCCTCCGCTCCTCTCCTCACCGGCCTCTCCGCACCTAGTGAGATATGAATATGACGCCAAACGAAATCAACCCGGCTGCTTACCGTAGCCAAACTAGCACGCAGCGGGTGTAAAGTCAACTGCGTGACGGACATCCCTCGCGGAGAGTAGCCTCGGGATTACCCGTGAGCTCGTGCGACATATGAACGTACCTCCGCGCCTCCGCCGTAGCAGCAACCCCTGACTGTAAGCGTAGACGACGTAGCGATAGGACCATGCCACATAATCCTCCCACCCCCTCCCCGCGTCTCGCCAACCATAGTCCCCTCGACGATGCGACTCCCTCTGCACAAGGTCCTCGTCTTCTCGTAGCACCGCTGCATTTACAACAAGATGCCGCGCGCGTGGCATGTCACGTAGCGCAGCAGGGGGCCGGAAATGAGACGGACGCTGCCCCCTCGTACCCCGCGGAGTAAGTGAGCGCGGTCTTCAAAAGGCCCAGGCCGGTTCGAGGGTATCCGCATTCGATTCGCTTGCATTCACACGCTCGTCGGGTTTTCCTATTCTTGTACTCTCTAAGGAGGGTCCTTATTATTCCGCTGTCCCTTCCCTTCCTTTCTATCCCCTCTTCGTATTCCCCCTTTCTCCCCCCTTGCTCCCCTCCCACCGTGTCACTTCCTCGTCTTGCGCGCGTGCTTGACGAGGTTCTCGATGACGCCCTCGAAAGCCTCGCGGTCGCCGATCTTCTCGTCGGCGCGCTTCTGCCAGTACGCGAGCACCTCGCGCGCCCGCGTCTCCATGTCCTCGAGCCGCTGTACGTGCTGCCGGATTTCGGCGTCCGTCATCCCCGCGAGCGCCTCCTCCGTCGTCGCGCACAGCTGCCGTGCTGACACGAGGTCGAGCTCCAGCTCCTCGCCTGCGCCTTTCCTCCGCCGTGCCGACGCGGACCGCGTTTTCCTTTCCTCCCCCTCCCCTTCTTTACCCTGGGAATCGACCGACACCGACGAGCCGTTCGCGCCCCCCGCCGCCTTCCGCGTCCTCGATGTCGACCGCAGTGACCCGCTCGATGTCACGCGGTGGATCGACGGCAGCACAAGCTTCTTCTGCTTCGACGCCGGCAGGATCTCGTCCAGATCCACGGGGACGCCGAGCGAGACGAGGAACAGGCGCCGTATCCGGGACCGGATCCAGTCCGGGGGTTGGAGGGGCGGCGGAGCGGCCAGTTGCGACCAGAGGGAGGCGCTTCTGGGGTTGAAGAAGATGGGATTTTCCTTCGGAGGCGACGGCAGAGGCGGAATTTCCTGGACGTCGGGGGAGAATAGGGCGTCTAAGTAGGGTTCTATAGCTGCTTGGAGGTCTTCGGACTCAAGATCCAATATTGGCTGGTGAGGGGAGAGGGGCAGTACAGCGATTAGCATACGATGCTCGGCTACTAGCTAACGAGGGCTCTAAACATACAAAGGAGGGTATTGCGACTTGAGACTGAGGGGCCGGCTGGGGAGCCGACCCTTCTGTCTCAGCTGTCTGAAAGCCATCGTCGAAGTCACCGAAATCGGCGTCATCGTCACCCTCTTCAAACTCGTCAAAATCGTCGCCAAAGTCATCATCGTCGTTCCCAGCGTTATCCCCACCCAAGGCGTCCGTTGACTTCGCTGTGGATGATTTCCTCCGCCGGTGGAACGACGGAGACTTTAATGACGGGGTGGCGGCGGTGTCATCTACGAAGGGCAGGGTCAATCGCACTGGGTAGCTTAGGAGGACTTGGCTGCCGTACCAGTTACTTCCTTGCTGGTGTCTAGCGGGGAAGGTATCGGGTGTGTCTCGCCAGTATCGTCCGGCTTATAAACAACGTCTGGAGAGGCGTCGGCTTCGTGGATACTTCCGTGATAGTTATGATGCGCAGACCCAGGCGGGTCCACCGATTCCTCGACCACCGTCTTCGGGATGGGATGGCCTCCGGGTGTCAAAGGTCTGTCCGGGGAGACGGGGCGAGCGAGTCCACCGCCGACGATGGCGATCTCGTCGGGCTCGGCATCCTCGATCCGCTTGTCGTAGGCCTCGGTGCCCGGGACCTCGCCGTAAGAGGGCTCGTCGTCCACTTTTTCCACCCGGGTTCGCGGTACAGGGGAGAGGGACCCGGGACTATTCCTGGGGGATGTCTGAGCATCGGAGAAGTGCTCGTCGGATTCGGAAGAGGCTAAAGTGGATAATGATTAGCCTAGGGCGGGACTCGCTTCCATCAATGCACAACAAGCCATACCAAGTTCGTGGGCGCCTGGGTCTTCGGTACCCCGCCTCTCTGGGGCTTCCAAGCTGAGCGACCTTTTTCTTTCAGGCATGATAGGCAGTAATAGGCTACCGAGGCGGGGGGCCTTTTGGTACTGAGGCTGGCAAGCTCAGGGTTTGAAAACACAATACAAAATTAGTTAGGAATCGCGGACTCCCAGGTGAGGAACGAGCGTCGAGACTCCGTTCTGAGGGGAGACCTGACAGAACAGTTAGAGAATAGGGGTAAGGGAAGCCGATTGGGTTTGTAGATGGGAGATGTAGGAGAGAAGCGGTAGGATCTACGGAATAAAGATGTGCAAGACTGCTAGTTGTGTCTCTTCTCGCCCTTCTCCCCCCTAAAGACGAAGTCATACATAGAGATGGCGGCTTGAAGGTTAGGGATGGGAGACATCTGATCCTGAACTTGCCTGACTCGCTGCTGGGCTAGGGCGAGAGGACGACGGTATGGGCGGTGGAGGCCGGCAGATGGGCAGAGAGGAGAGAGCAGAGAGGTACTTACGCTCCTCAACAGGTGTTGCCAGCTGAGAGGAGAGGTCACGTGGTTTTACCTTTAGGCTCGGTACCAAATGTATCGATGTACCTGTCCATCTTATGCATTCATAATTCATAAGAGTATCTGAGGTTCCTACCTAAGGCACCCACCTCAGATAGTTGGAAGGTGTGTGTGCGCGTAACCTTGTTGTGGCGTAATTCTACTCATATTGTACCTTCCATGTAGTAGAGGTAAAACTTTCCATGTACAAGTCTATCTGTATGGTGGATACTTAGAAGCTACGTACCACACATTAACAACACATACTGTAAAGTAGGTACCTTCTTGGTACTTATATACTCGATACACCCGCCCACGCAGCACATGCATGGATTGGCCCGTATATCGAGCTGAAGGCAGGGTTGCAAAAAAAGTTTAAGTTTTTAAGTTAAGTTTAAGTTTTTTAAGTTAAGTTAAGTTTAAGTTAAGTTTTTTTCTAGAAACCCTTTTTTAAGTTAAGTTTAAGTTAAGTTCGAAATTGCTTAAGTTAAGTTAAGTTCTAAAAACTTTTTTTTGCAGCCCTGGCTGAAGGCAGGTACCTCCCTGCCTAGTCGCGTCGACCCTCAGGTCTTGAAGCTTCCCAGTCTCGCCGCTATAAATAAAAAGTCCAAGCTGGTCGGTGTGAGAGGAGATAGGACGCGTTAGAAACAACCCAATCCTCCAAAGATCGCTAGGTATGCCGACACTCCACTCCTCGATCCCTACCCAGCCAGACAGAATTAGCCAGCGAGCCTGTCGATATTTTCCTGTTCCCTTGTGCTAACTGGTGGTTTCTTGCTCTCTCTCTCTCTTGCTGCAGGCTGCCAGTTCATCCCTCTCGTTTCCGCCGTCGCTCTCGGCTTTGCGCGTTCATCACCGAGCCACGAAACGCCGTCATCACACCTCCCTTCCCTCATCCTGGCCGGAGGATAAGCCTGGACCATTTTAACGCTGCTGCTGGCTCGACCGGCCGCTACGTACACCTTATTGCCCACGCCATCCCAGCACAAACCAGATCGCAGCCAGCCTCCGTCTTCTGCCTTCCTCCCCCTCCGATAGACAGAGCTACGCCATGTCGTTCTCCGGCGGTGCCTCCGAGGGCCAGCCCAATAATGCCACTACCTCCGGTGCACCCGCTAGTGGTGGCTTGTTCGGCTCCTCCACGCCTACTCTCACATCTAACACCTTTGGCAGCGGGGGTGCTGGAGGCTCCTTCACGTTTGGGAACCTAGGTGGGAGCAACAACACTACAACGCCTACTTCTACAACTCCAGGTAGCATGTTTGGAAATACTGCCTCGAAGCCGGACGATCAGAAGCCAAAATCATTCGGCGGAGCTGCAGCCACCACCTCTTCACCGGCCGGAGCGCTCTGGGGTGGTACCCAAACAACCCCTTCGACTAAGAGCAGCATCTTCCCCGGTGCGGAGCCGGCACAATCGACTTCCCTGTTTGGAAACACTGCTTCTACCCCGACATTAACTCCTGCGAACGCTACCGCGGGCGGACTCTTTGCGGCGAAAGATAACAAATCCTCCACACCAGCTGCTGCCGGTACGCCATCCAGCGGGTTGTTCGGTGGTGGGAACGCCGGCAGTAGCGGCATCTTCGGCGGTACAGGCTCCAGCGCTACGCCAGCTAGCAACGCCCCGGCCCCCGGTACGCTCTCGACACCCGCGAAACCCACACTTCCCTTGAATTCGACAACCCCCGCCGGAGCCCCTCCGTCGGCCGCAGGAAAATCCGCCAGTGGCCTCTTCGGGAATACCGCACCACCGCAAACCACAGCCCTATTCGCATCTCCTAAGCAGGGGGAGAAGAAGGAGGATCAACCCAATAGCCTGTTTGGAGCTACTGCCAGCTCTGCGCCAGCTGGTGCGACGGCAAGCCAGCCATCATCTTCTTCCGCTCCAACTGCCACGCTGTTTGGTCAGGCACCGAACCCGGCCCCAAGTATATTCGGTGCGAAGGCCGCTGCGACTAAGGGCGACAGCGCAGCGCCTGCTGCTACGGCGGGCCCCCTTTTCAGCCAACAGCCCACCAAGCCCGCCAATGCGCCCTCGGCCATGCCCTCTCTATTCGGGGGAGCTAGTGCTACCTCAGGAGCGTCGACAAGTTCGTCCTCCTTGTTCGGTCAGAAGACTGCGCCAGCCACATCGAGCGGAACACCCGCTACTACCGCTCCGGCAACTATACAATCATCCAGCGCTCTGTTTCCGAACTCTAATAAACTTCCCAGCATCGCTCCTACGTCTGAGCCGGCTAAGACCCAACTAGGCGCTCTATTTGGATCGGGAACCCCCGGTTCTAATACCGCGGCTGCTGAAGCATCGAAGCCTACGACTAGCCTCTTCGGCGGTAATACAGCTAACGCAACAACTGGGAATGCGTCGAGTACAACTACTACGGCAACTACTTCCGCCGCTGCCCCTGCTTTAGGTTCTACTACAAATACCACAGCCCCCTTGGGTGCAAGCTCTTTGTTCGGCGCCGCGAAACCGAGCACTTCAGCTGCCGCTCAGGGTGCGGCGGCGCAACCTGCCGCGGGCACTGCCGCGGCGCTGGGGGCGTCGACGGCCGGCCCCACCTCTTCGATGGCGCGGCTGAAGAACAAGACGATGGACGAGATCATCACGCGGTGGGCGACGGACCTGTCCAAGTACCAGAAGGAGTTCAAGGACCAGGCGGCGCAGGTGGCGCAGTGGGACCGGCTGCTGGTGGACAACGGGGAGAAGATCCAGCGGCTGTACCTGGACACGTTCGAGGCGGAGAAGGGCAGCCGGGAGGTGGAGCGGCAGCTGGCGGCGGTCGAGGGGCAGCAGGAGGAGCTCGAGGCGTGGCTGGACAAGTACGAGGGCGAGGTGGACGCGCTGTTCGGCAAGCAGGTCGGGCCGCGCGACCAGCTCGCCGGCCCGGACCAGGAGCGCGAGAAGACGTACAAGCTGGCCGAGAAGATCACGGAGCGCCTCGACGAGATGGGCCGCGACCTCACCAAGATGATCAAGGAGATCAACGACATCTCGAGCACACTGAGCAAGGGCAACAAGCCTGACGACCCGGTACGTAGTCTTTTGGTGCCGTCTTTTTTTTTTTCAACTCTGCGCTCTCCCCCTTTCATTTCTCAAGCCTCCGGTTCCTCTCTGATTCACTTTCGCTAACATGTCTTGCTCTTCCTCCTCGCAGCTGAGCCAGATCGTCCGCGTGCTCAACGGCCACCTGTCGCAGCTGCAGTGGATCGACACGAACGCAGCCGCTCTGCAGGCTAAGGTGGCCGCGGCGCAGAAGGCGAGCAGCACGGTGGGCAGCCAGTACGGCGGCCCCGAGCAGGACAACGTCGACAGCTTCTACCGGTCCTACATGTCGCGCAGGTGAGAGCGCACGCGAGCGGGATCGGGCGGGTAGTAGTAGGTGGTCGATGCCAGATCGCGACACGCGCTCCATCGAGAGGGGTTGGTAGGGCAAGCAGGCGGTGCAAAGGCCGGGAGGGCAGGGAACGGAAGGGGAGCCCGGTAGGCTTGCTTCCGTGGTACGACGAGTTTGTCCTCGCGAGAGGCGCGGTACGCGGACGAGATATCCCGACCACGGAGAGAAAGGAAGAGAGAGTTAGGGGCGGGGGTGGGCATCCATTATGTGCGAATCAGACCTCATAGGCCGTGTCACGTCGGCAACGATAGAGGGCATGTTTTTATGTACACTACAGGGCGTAAATGGGTTAATGCGATGATAAAGTCTAGTAGGGACGACGACTAAGAAGACGACGATGACGACACGATTCCGTTGCTATCGTTGCTGTAAAGAGGTTCTCTCTTGTCCTTGTGTTCTCTTCCACCTGTTTTCACATTCGTCCGTCTAGTAGCAAGTTGACCGGCCCTCAGACGTCGACGCACTAGAGGCCCCCTCTCCTATCACCCTCCTCCTCGAGCCGGGGCCTCGTCGCGATTCGTACTCGCCCCACTTATCCATGTCGGAACTATTCCTGCATCCCATCCTCGCGGAGAGAGCCTCGGTTATCCCTTCTATGTAAAGATTTTTTTTTTCTTTTCTTGATTCGGAATGCTTGCTCGCCGGGACGGACGAGGAGCGAGCTTTACTGTTTTTGCTCGCTCTCGGGGTCGTCCTTGGTCAATTCGTCGCTGAAGAGAGGGGGTTTAGCTTCGCTTCCTTAGACCTCCTCTCTTTTTTCCTCCTCTCCCCTCCCCCGCCACCCGAAATGCGCGCGCGCCTAGCGAATAGACGGCGCGGGGGGGTATGGCGGGAAGAGGAAGAGGAAGGAGAGAGGAATAGAGAGAAGAGAGCGCAGAGGAGAGGAATGGGGGGGCGGGTAGCTCACATGTGGTCGGACAGCTTCTGAAGGTGCTCCTGCTGCTCGCGGAGCTTCTTGCGCAGCTCGAGCAGCTTCTCCTTCTCACGCTGGCGGATGGCGTAGTCTTCGTTGGCCTTCTCGCGCTTGTGGAAGGCGTCGCTATTTTTGTTCAAGGTCAGATTAGCGCGGGGAGGAGGAGGATCACGGGCATATTCATGTGTTCAAGGACGGGACGAGCGAGAATAGGGGAGGGCGGTCGGAGAGCGCGGTCCTCTTCTTATTTCTCCTTCCTCTCGGCCCCTGCGCCTTCTCGCGTGGTATCCCATCGCTTCTTTTCGCTCTCAATGGCTTTCGGTTACCCCGCCGCGCCGTATCCCTCGCACCCCGTAATTTGTCACCCGCTGGAGAGGCAGACAAACGACCTCTCTCTACCCGTGTGCGTGTGTGTGGATATGTACAGATGGGGCAGACGTACCTCGGGCCGCCCAAGCTGCCCAGCCTATTCGGGGCGCCGGTGTCGCCCTCGGCCATGGCGCGAACGGTGGTGGTGAATGCTCGGCGGTAGGAGGCGATGGCGAGGCCGCGGGTTGGGAGCCGAGTCAGGGTTTGGCGATACATAGTAGCCGCGGGTTTGAGCAGGTGGGTGGATGCGCTCTTGGAGGGGATTCGAGGTCGGTCCTAATAGAAGCACACCCCTCGCGGTTGTGGAGGCTTATGATTAGAACTCTATTAATATATAGAAAAAGGGCTGCCGGACGGGCGGAATAGAGGGAGAGGGGAGGGATATATGTGAAGGAATCCGGAATGGCGCAGTTAAATGTAGGTACTTACCTACCTGGCGTAGGTGTGCGTGTAGGTCCGTAGGTAGGTATGTAGCTGTCTCTCGATGCGCAATGGGTGGTGCGATGGAAGATGCAGGCGGTTTTGGCGACCGATGAGGCACTTCCAGCGGACTGGAGGGGGTTTGATTGGAGGGGCTACGAAAATGGGTGATGGGAGGTTTTCCTGGGTCCGTCGGCGGAAGGAGACGGAGCGCACGGGCTCCTGACGGACCGGAGCTCTCCTAAGGCGCAGAGCGTCCTTCATCCATCATCATATCAGGCCCGTTCGATGCATGGACAGATGGGAAGGCCTGCGTTAGTTGAATATATAAGCATTAGTCGGACGTATATGCATATACCCATTACATATGTAGCATCCCCGGAAGGCATACCTACAGGTACCTAACCTAACCTACAGCGTGTTTACGTTTCACGCACGCCCTCAGTAGAGGTACCTAGGTCGGACATGCCTCCATATAGGTATATTAGGTACGTGCATGTATTGCTGCATTAATGCATATCTATTCATCAGTGCTATCTTCGGTACCTCCTAACACACCTTAGGTAGGCACCCAAGGTAGAGAGGCGTGTACGCCGAGTACCGTCATCATCGTCAGAAATCACTCCTGGTCACATCCTCGTAAGAGAGAAAGAAAAAAGACAAGAAGAGAAGCGCCTCTGGGAGACTGGAAAGGCCCATTTGCTCCGTCCACCACGCCATCCCAAATACGGTCATCTGATGTGAAGGACCCGCAGGTTCGCCCACCATTGGCAGCTATCGGGATATATCAGGAGGGGCAGGCTTGGACCGAGGAGTATTCGGGTCGGGTGCTGGGGAATTCTAGTCTTCCCCTTAGTGCAAAGCAAGCCCGTCCTTCACTATAAGTCATTACCCGCAACGATGCCTTCACAGCTCGGCTGTGCAATTTAAGTTGACACCTAGGTATGTTAGGTATTATCGTGACCATGGTTGAGAATCTCCAGGTAGGCTGGGTGCCTTGTCGAGGCTGGATTCCAGAGGAGGGAGCAATTCCTCCCCCGCTCCGGAGACCTGCTTACCTAGGTAGATAAATGCCTACCAATAGCGGCTCTGGGCGCTTGGATTGCGCCTCCAAACGTTGTCTATGGCACATCCGAGTGAATTAATTACTACCTACCGACCACGTAGTAGCTCTTGTATGCCTGAAGGGGTTGTGTCTATTTTAAACCACGATAAGGCGTCATCTGTGGCGTTGGACGTTGAGAATCTCGGGCTCGCCCTTGACCAGGGTACCCTTTAGGATTCTCCAGCGAAGTTTCCATCCGTCAACTACAACGTCTCGGGGCGATGGATTGGGCCAGGGCGGTCCTAGAGCTCGCGAGATACGGTGCACAGAGGGACAGGGTCCCGGACGAAAGGCCTAGATAGTGTGCGCGCGTGTGCGAGACGACACAAATGTACGGGTTATCGGAGCTGCAGAGATTGACGTAGGTCCAATCACCTTCCCCTTACCGCCCGGAAATGGTGGCGGAGGATAAGGCAGGCAGTCATTGCTGTCGTATCGCGGCGAGCTCCTTTTGGTGAAGTAGGCCTACGTTTGGCGCATCTGGATATCTGAAGGACAGGAAACCACATGGGTGTATTGGCTCGTGCTTCGGTCAGCTTGAAGGAGGAGGTATACGGGTAGGTGACGCTACCGTCCATCTCGAGGGAGGGAGGGGGCGCTAATAGGCTCGCTCGGCCATGGATATAGGACCATCGGCGTGATCATTCACAATATCCTGCTTGCTGATGATGAGCTTGGGTATCGATGGGCCCTTGCACCAAGGTAAGGTGGTGGGGAGATTAGCAGCACATGAGCCCCCAGGTATGCGCATAACAAGCCTCATGATGGTCTGTCATCTAGGTGGTTTTTGCCTTCGAGAGTTAGGTTTGGGGATTCCCTGCCATCTCTCGGCGTTTGGTACGTACGTAGCAGGGAGCCGGATCGGGGCACTTACCTGTATATACTGGAATCGCCACAGACCTTAGCAAGGAACGCCTAGGTGAGTAGTCCGTTCGCAGGTAGGCGAGCAGGTTAGGCGGGAGGTAGGTATCAAGGGAGAGAGAACCAACCCACGATCTCCGTCAATATCGGAGATGGCAGATCGGGCGCCACTCATTTCAGATAGGCGTAAACAGGGCTGGACCTATGAGGTGGGTGTGGACGTAGGCGAGTACCTACCCAAGGTATATAGGGAAAAGAAACGACGAGGAAAAAAACAAGAACTGGAACATGTCCGGAAAAGGGGGAGGGGGGGGGGACATTAGTTCCCTAGGTATCTCATCAGGTAGATAGCCAAGTTAGCTGAAAGGCTTCGTACCTAAATCGGCCAACAGAACTTGAAGCCCACAGCCCTTGGCTTTGGATATATCCATTGCAGAGGCCGGAGGTCAAGATTTGAGGCCCGGTGACCCTTTCTAAAAGCTCCGTCCCGGAAGCCTGAGGGTTGTTTCCATCCATCAAATGATCTCGAATGGACCCATGGAAACGGTCCCAAATGACCCGTTCGTTACCTGGAGCCAGGTCACCCACTCGCTGTCCCTCTGTGGCTATGGAGGCTAGGGCTATCAGCACGTTACCTGCTGGCAGACGGTACCTCAGATAGAGAAGCAGGTACAGTACCGCGAGAGGCACATGTGTACCGTAGATACGGCGGATGTTTGGTCGAGTACTTAGGTAATGGACGCGGGCGATGTATGTAGACGACGTAGGTATTGTACATATATATAGGTATGTGGGAGTAACAGGGAGGAGACATCTAACTCTAATGCCGCACACCGCACGATGGGTCGAACCCCGCCAGGGCAGGCAGATTACGTACCAGGTAGGTACCTAAACATGTCCAAGCCAACCGGTGCGTGTACCTAACCCAGCCTAACTTCGCCTACATATGTGAATGTAACATGAGAAGCTACCTGAGATACCGGAGAAAGTACATGATTAGGCAGACTCGGTACCTCGGGTACCGAAGCCGGGTACGTAGGTGAAAAACATTAACCTGTATTCAGCTACCTGGTATAAACACGGCACATACCTGTTGGCTTTGGGGTCGATACCACGCATAACGTGCATTAAGCATATGGGCGCCTGTAGATGTCGGTATTGCTGGGAGGTGCGTAATACCGAGGGGGCTCCAGCACGGTGCCTATACGTGTACATGTGTGTCGGGTATCTCCAGGACGGGCAAACACGGATGCAGGTACCTAACAAGGCTGTACCACGCCCCTCCGCCCTCCCCTCCCGATTTTGTAATGTAAATGGAAAGTACACACATTGTCCTAAGGACGTCAAGAGGTTAGGTAGGTACCTAGATACCTACCTGTCTTGGGAACCCAGCATACAATCGGTAGGTACCTAACCTACCTCATATACCTAGGTATGTACCTAGGCAGGTACCTACGTGTGTATATATCTGCGTTAGGTACTTGCCCAACGTAAGGCGTGTACGTGCCTTACCCACCCTGTCCCACTGAGGTCACTGCTGCCCACAATTAGGACATTGGGACCATTTTGAGTGCTGGACGACTGAATTCTGAGGGACCCCCTCCCCACGTCCCGCGTTGGATGCGCACTGGGCGCCACCACCGTCTTCCTCTCTCACTTTCACTCTGCCTGCCCCCTTCCACTCTCCATCCTCGCACCTCAGGCCTCAGGTTTCCCCTCTACCCCTTCTACCTATCTAAGCTGCCGCCGCCGCCGCCGCCGCTGCTACTACTACTACTACTCCTCTTCCTACTACTATTACTACTTGCTGGTGCCGCCGCCGCCGCTACTGCACACACCCGTCGACACAAATTTCCTCCCAAAACTCCCACTTCCCTTAAACCGCCCAAAAACATCAACAACCAACACACCACTGCTACCCCTACTTCTACCATCCTCACCACCTACCCTCCTATCTCGTTCTCCTTCCTCACTCCGCCGTGCCTCGTGCATCGTCCCGCCCAGGTTATCCTCTCGACGCCCTGCTGCGAGTCTGCGAGATCAACCCCCGAGGTAGGTTAGGTTTTATAAACCGCCATGTTGTCCTGTCCGGCGAGGATCTTCTCCTTGTCCTTCTCCCCTCCCCCCAATCCTCGTCTCGTACCTGTGGTCGTGTTCCTTGGCCTGCAACCCCGAGGCCCGCCTCACGCCTGTCGTCATCGTCCGCCTCGGAACAGCCCTCGTCCCGTTGCTTCCCACACGACGGCGAGCCCATCCACCGCCAAATGCGACTCTTCCTTTATCTCAATTGATTATTGCGACCGCATCGACACCTCCTCATCTGCCGCCCACGCACGCGTTTTGCGGCTGCATCTGCTGGCGCAAACCCCACCAACTGCGGGGAGGGGATGAGAGAGAAACCCGTCTCTGCTCTCTACACCGTCACATATCTCGAGGCCCTCCCTTAGACATCCCAGGCAGGGCAACGCGCCGCGTCCTTCGGGCTAGTACCACAAATACCCCTAATCTCTTCGTTCCGGCTCAATTTCCACCTTTCCAGATTTCCTTAGTATCGTGCCAGCCGCCGTCCACCGCCCAACGTTTCTTTTGATCCCTACGTCACTACTCTTCCACACCGCATCTGACTTCTCGCTTCAATCCGTTTCCAACACCCGTCATCTCGGGAGAACTACAGCTAACATACGATTCGCTTGAATAGCCTTCCTTTAATCGATTCTCTCTTCTCACATCGCTAAGATGGGCCACGAAGACGCTGTGTATCTCGCCAAGCTCGCCGAGCAGGCTGAGCGCTACGAGGGTTTGTGATGAGATCCCCCCCCGATCGCGAGGCCCCGCAAAGTAGTCCTGCTGACTTTGCCGCCATCAGAGATGGTTGAGAACATGAAGATCGTTGCCTCCGAGGACCGCGACCTGACTGTTGAGGAGCGCAACCTCCTGTCCGTTGCTTACAAGAACGTCATCGGCGCCCGTCGTGCCTCTTGGAGAATCGTCACCTCCATCGAGCAGAAGGAGGAGTCCAAGGGCAGCTCGGCTCAGGTTCCTCTCATCAAGGAATACCGACAGAAGATCGAGGCCGAGCTTGCCAAGATCTGCGATGACATCCTAGATGTGCTTGACAAGCACCTCATCCCGTCCGCCAAGTCTGGCGAGTCCAAGGTCTTTTATCACAAGATGTACGTCTCCTTCACTTTACATCGCGACGGTGGCAAAGCATGCTTACCCCTATTCTAGGAAGGGTGACTACCACCGTTATCTTGCCGAATTCGCCGTTGGTGATCGGCGAAAGGAGTCGGCCGACAAGTCTCTCGAGGCCTACAAGGCTGCCACTGAGGTCGCCCAGACCGAGCTGCCTCCCACACACCCCATCCGTCTTGGCCTCGCCCTGAACTTCTCCGTATTCTACTACGAAATCCTTAATGCCCCCGATCAGGCTTGCCATCTCGCGAAGCAGGCATTTGATGACGCAATCGCCGGTAAGTGTAGCAGAGAGCGGGGGGTATAAAGATCAGGACGTGGGGTTAACTCGTACTCTTCAGAACTTGACACCCTCAGCGAGGAAAGCTACAAGGACTCGACCCTCATCATGCAACTCCTTCGAGACAACCTGGTACGTAAACTTTTTTTTTGTCGCGCAATTGACCTGTGACAACGTCCGCTAACGCGGTAATTTAAATAGACTCTCTGGACCTCCTCCGAGGCTGAGCCCCCCGCAGAGCCAGCTGCCGCCGCTGCCCAGGAGCCGGAGAAGGCCACCGACACCCCGGCGGAGGAGCCCAAGGCTGCCGAGTAAAAAAAGACAAAAAACAATAGAAACCCTCCTCCCGTATAACCTAGTTTCCAAATATATGAGGGGGCGACAGGGAGGCCTGGGTGGAATCAGGTGTCTATGGAGTGTTTGGCTTGAGAACCCTCTGTTCGAGTTCCTGCATTGATTTTATTTTATTTTCCTCGTGCGGCAAATGCACCAACAAAGACTTTGGAGGGTTCTCTTTTCCTTACAGGCACAAGGGCTAAAGAGAAGAGCTTTTGGGAGGTCTTTCGCAGAACGCTTACCCTTTAGACTCTAATGCAAATTTGTCTGGACAATAAACCCCATACTTTCTATTGCACGTTAATGCATCGAGTTATACAATGCGAATGCACGACGAAGGGGGGCGTGGGGGGTTATGTAGAAGGGAATAGAAATCGGTATCCCTGTAGGTTGAAATCGTAACGCAGGCAAATACTTTTATACAAGTCGCTTTTACATCTAACGTAACATCGCACGGCAGACAGGCAGAGGTACGTGGCGATTCAAATCAGAACCAACCACAACAACATGAACAGTAAGGGGGAGGAGGTATGGGAGTGTTACGGAAATCGAGGCGGCTGCTTATCCAGCTGATCTCGCGAGGTTCGGTGGCAGCATCTATCTTGGGGATGTTTTATAGCTCGCAGTATTCGTGTCCCACATCGACACACGACAACGAGGTCATATCCACCGCTCTGTTTGTCGTATTTGGTACGCCCGCCTCGAGGTTGTGAGGTATGTAGAAGGTGGGACAGGAGAGAAGAGGGGGGGTAAGTAGAGGAATAAGTCTGGCACATCGTCACCATGCTGTCCGCCCTGCCCTGCCCTGCCCTGCCCCGTCCTTCTCCGTACGCCTGTCCGTCTCTCTGCGGCGGGAGCTTCGCGGGAGATAAGTGAGGTAGGCGTACGTAACCAAGTGCACCGAGGTCTCAGTGCCCCGTCCACCGCGTATACCCCGCGGCTCCGTGCCTACGCCCGGGAGCCGCTCGTCCGGGCGACCGCGGCCGCGGCCCCGGCGAGCGAGACGCTCGCGTCGAGGCTCCAGCTCCAGCGGAAGCCGGAGCCAGCTCCCGCTGCCCCGCTCTCGCTCGTTGTGGGGGTCTCGGCCTCCGGCTCGGCCGCATCTTCCGCGTCGTCGTCGTCGTCGTCGGCCGCCGCAAACAGCACGCGCAGCCAGAGGCTGCAGTCGCGGCACTCGACGAGCAGCACGCCGCCGCCGCCGCCGCCGCCGTCCTCGCACGCCTCCAGGTCCGCCTCGCCGAACGCGTACCCCCGCGCGTTCCCGCACCGGCACCCGCGGTGGTACTCCCCGGCCGCCGCGTCGTACGCGAGGTCGTCGAGGTCGAGCGTCTCGCCGCCGGCGTGGGGGCCGCCGCCGCCGCCTCCCGCGACCCCCAGCAGCGGGGGCCGCCGCCCCGCGCGCAGCTCCCGGTCGTACGCGCCGCGCCGCCCCGCGTCCGAGAGCACCGCGTACGCGTGCTGGATCTCGTCGACGGTGTACGCGGGCGCGGCGGCTGCTGAGGGCGGCGGTAATGTCGAGGGCGGGGCGGCGCCGCCGCCGTCGCCGTCGCTGCCGCGGCGGCTCGTCGCCTTGTCCGGGTGGTGCCGCAACAGCGCGCGGTGGTACGCCTGCTTCACTACCCCGCGCTGCTGCGCCGCCGCGCCCGCCGAATGCGGCGGCGCCTCGAGGTGCCGCGGCGTCAGCGCCAGGACGTCGTAGAGCGTCGGCTCCGCCGCCGTCCGGGACCTTGGGGGGTTCATGGGTGTGTGGGGCTGAGGAGGAGAGGGGGCGGAGGTGAAATCGGTGACGTCCAGCAAGGAGGTAAATTTGCTCTGCTTTCTTCTTTTTCTCCTGGCTCGGAACCGGAATCTACTGGTAGGTAGTGGAATTTCGTGTGAGAAGTGCTATTGTTGCCTTATAGGAGCTGTTCAACTAGATGTAGATATGTGTGTGCGAAGTTTTAAAGGTAACCCGGGTAAGCTGTAGGTTACGTAGGTATGTATCTAGCTTAGGCACTTAGTGGGAGAAAACCAGTTTAGAGGGGCGAGCTTGATCGGGCACGTGGTCACGTGAGCGACTTATGAGAGGAAAAGTCGTCGAAGCATCGAGAGATGGGCGAAGATACGATGCAATGACCTGCCGAAGGGGCGGTCCGGTTATGAATACCATCGGCCTGTCGCCGAGTATAGTTGCAAGGGGTTGAGGATGCTAGACCAAGCAGCAGAATCCACGAGTAGCAGGCCCATCCAAGCCACGAGGCCCGCTGTCTGGGTATGCGTGAAATTGGACTTGGATTCTCTTGCACGGCGTAATATACAGATTTCATACAGTCCAAGTCGAGGGCAACGCTGTGCCATAGCGCCGTAACGCAGTTTCTCGAGTCTATTTTGCGTATTTGTTCCACTTGCTCCGAGGTGTCTGCGCATCAACTCTCGTTAGAAACAGGCAGCACCACCGATCAACAGAGCGGCAAGACTTACCTTCCGCCATTCCCTGACCAGTCTCGGCATGCCCAGCATAGCCTCTCTCCTCTTCTCCATCCTGTTGGTTTTGCGGATTAGCGCTCAGATCGAGGGAAGACGCCGACGCTTCTCTTAGGCAAGCAGCGCGACGCCAAGAGAGAGAGGGGGGGGGAGGAAAGCAAAAAAAAAAAAGGAGGCGCGCGGGGAGTTCACGACGTACTTTGCAGGCAACATCCTCTCGTACTGGTGGCCCTTGACAGACTGGCCGACACCAGTGCCGCGAACCCTCAGGCCGTGCTCGACCCTGTGCCGTATCCGCTCCTCGGTGCCCTTGGAGGTGAAGGGAAGCAGCTCTTCGACCCCCTGCTCGCGGGCGAGCTTGACGAGCTCGGCCTGGCGCCGCAGGGAGAATTCGGGGTCCTGCCACTTGCCGGTGACGGGGTGCTTGTGCGGCAGGAAGGGGTTCGGCGTGGCGCCGTCCTTGACGGTGTTGGTCCTCGTGGAGTCGGGGAGGATCTGGGAGGGGGGGTACTTGGCGAAGAAGCGCGAGAGGCGCGGGTGCAGCTGCTTCGCGAGCTCGACGTATTTCATGTTGACGGCCATGCCGCCGGTGTGGACGTGCTGGCGCGCGATTGTATGTAGGAGTTGAGAAGTGGACGACCGACTTGCCCGTCGGCCCGTAGCGCGGAACGAAGTCGCAATGCCGCAGAGCCCCTCGCCGTGGCTCTCTCTCTCTCTGGGTTTCTCGCCAACCCTTCACTGACAAAAGTTTAGTGGTGCACGCAGCAAAAAGCGACTGGCAGGGATCGCGGGCTGCCCTCTATACCTAAAATTCTCCGATTAGGCGCGGCCCAGGCTGGGTAGGTACCTAGGTAGGTAGGTACATACGCGGTACCTATGTTATGTACCTCCTAAGATGCCTGTAGTCCAGTGCCAGTCCAGTCGCCCGACAATTAATTAATTATCGTCCCCTACCCGTCGAGCCTTAAACCATCCCACAACAACAACAACATCATCATCGTCGTCGTCGTCGTCGTCTCAAAATCACCGTCGCTACCTTGGGACCGTGCCACATCGCCGCATTTAACGCCCGATCAAATATTCGTACCCGGCCATCGAACCTGGCCTAGCGATCTGCCTCTCCATCTCTCGGCACATCGCACCATCCCCCTACCCCCATCCTCCATACCATATTCTCCAGGGCTCGTACCACATCGTGTGAACTACGACCTCGCCCTAGTCCCGTCATCGGCGCCGCTTGAGTATGGGCATCCAACCGCGAGTGGGATCGCTGGCGAGCGCTGACGCAACTAACGGCATCAGCAGCAAGAATGGGCCAAATGACGCAGGTAGCGAGGCCACCAGGCGGAAGCAACCCCTCGACATCGAGGAGATCCTGCGCAAAAAGAAGGAGGCCGACAAAGCCGCTGCCAAACCAAGATTCATCCCCAAGGCTGAGCGCGAGCGGTTAGCGGCAGAGAAGCAGAAGGAGGAGGAGGATAAGCAAAGAAGAAAAGCCCAAGAAGCTCGGAACGCACCTAGCAGCCGATCCGTCAGCGGCCCGGGCCCCGACAGACGTCATCCCGACCGTAATCGCGACAGAGATCGCGGCCCCGTCGTGCCGACCGGTCCTAGGGCTATGCGCCAGGCTAACAACGACCGCCGCGATGCTAATAGCTACGAGCATGGTGACAGACGAGAGAAGGGCAACAAGAAGGCATCGGCCGGAGAGAAGAGGCCAGCACCCGAGGAAGCCGAGGCGGCTCTGATACGAGCTAGATACATGGGCCCGGAGATGAACCAGTCTACCTTTTCTGCCAAGAAGAAGCGCAGGCGGACGACGGAAAAGAAGTTCAATTTCGAATGGGACGCAGAAGAGGATACCAGCCAAGACCACAACCCCATCTACGCCGAGAGGGCCGAGCCGACCTTCTTCGGCAGGGGGAGGTTGGCCGGCTTCGGCGACGACATGACGGAAGAGAATGCGAGGAAGTACGCCATGTCCCTGGTCGAGCGCGACCGCGAGAATGGCACGGCGCGGGCGCAGGAGCTGCTTGAGATGATGCAGAGAGCCAAGGAGAGGGCAAACCGCAACGGCCTGGGGAAGCACTGGTCGGAGAAGAAGCTCGAAGACATGCGCGAACGAGACTGGCGTATCTTCAAGGAAGACTTCGGTATCTCGACTAAGGGCGGGCTCATCCCGAACCCCATGCGAAATTGGCAGGAATCGGGCTTGCCTCGACGATTGCTGGATATCGTCAGCAAAGTCGGCTACGACGAGCCGACGCCAGTTCAGCGCGCCGCCATCCCCATCGCTCTGCAAGCCAGGGACCTGATTGGCGTGGCTGTTACCGGTTCCGGAAAGACGGCCGCCTTCCTGTTGCCATTGCTCGTCTACATTTCGGAACTGCCACCACTTACCGAAATCACGAAAAACGATGGACCGTACTCCCTAATCATTGCCCCGACCAGAGAGCTGGTTCAGCAGATAGAGACGGAGGCAAAGAAGTTCGCGGTGCCGCTTGGATTTACGGTGGTCAGTCTTGTTGGTGGTCATTCGCTGGAAGAGCAAGCGTTCGCCTTGCGAAACGGCGCCGAGATTATTGTCGCCACACCTGGTCGTCTAGTGGACTGTATCGAGCGTCGTCTCCTGGTCCTGTCTCAATGCTGCTATATCATCATGGATGAAGCTGATCGCATGATCGACATGGGTTTCGAGGAGCCCGTCAACAAGATTTTAGACGCGCTTCCCGTCTCCAACGAAAAACCGGACTCTGATGCCGCCGAAAACGCGCAGCTGATGAGCCGTCACCTGGGGGGCAAAGATCGATACCGGCAAACGATGATGTACACGGCCACTATGCCGACGGCGGTGGAGAAGATTGCTAAGAAATACTTGCGTCGTCCGGCTACAGTCACTATCGGCAACGCCGGCGAGGCCGTGGACACGGTTGAGCAGCGGGTCGAGTTCGTACCCGGCGAGGACCGCCGCAAGAAGCGCTTGCAGGAGATTCTCATGTCTAACGACTTTGCGCCGCCCATCATCGTCTTCGTCAACATCAAACGCAACTGCGATGCGGTGGCCCGAGAAATCAAGCACATGGGTTTCTCGGCCGTCACGCTCCACGGTAGCAAGACGCAGGAGCAGCGAGAGCAGGCCCTCGCGTCGGTGCGCGGCGGCACCACAGACGTCTTGGTCGCGACGGACCTGGCTGGTCGCGGTATCGACGTTCCGGACGTCTCCCTGGTCGTCAACTTCAATATGGCCATGAGCATCGAGAGCTACACTCACCGTATCGGTCGTACGGGTCGTGCCGGAAAGAGCGGTGTCGCCATCACCTTCTTGGGTAACGAGGACTCGGACGTCATGTACGACCTGCGGCAGATGCTCTCCAAGAGTTCGATATCGAGAGTTCCCGAGGAGCTGCGCCGGCACGAAGCAGCGCAGCAGAAACCAAACAAGGGGCCGAGAAAGCTCGAGGAGAAGGGTTTCGGCGGGAAGGGCGGTGGATGGGATTAGATTTGCCTCGATACGTGTACAAGTACCTATAGCATATCTCGCAGTAGCAAGCTAGATCACTACCACCGAGGTCGTTTACGCCGTGACGCGACTGCGTGACGAATACCTCCCTGATCCCATTGCGACGGTTAATTACAGAGCTAGCGGCAACCTCGCAGAGGCCACCCCCTTTCTATCTACGTTACCCCCCGTGCTTGTGTTTTGGTCTGCTAAAACATTGTATAGAGGTAGGCAGCCTAAATGCTCTATGGACGCGGTTTCTTGGATAGGGGTCTTAGTAGGCTATCCGCTCCGGCGACGGCCCGGCTTGCTCACGACGACTCAAAATGGAATGCCCCGCGGGGGGGTGAACTGGGGGCCTATCTAATATACTAAGATCAAACCTGCGCCACAGTCCGAAATAGGCCACAGTCTTACGAAGGTGATTGGTCCACGAAAATGGCGAAACGGTCATAATCACGTAAGCCGCTCTACAAAGCCACACGAAGCCACACGCCTACGTCTGGAACGTTCGTACCTACGTACCCGTACGCTTACGTTTGGGACGTTCGTACCTACGTACCCGCACGCTTACGCTTAGAACGTTCGTACCTACGTACCCGTACGGTTACGTCTATAGCGTTTATATCTACGTACCTATATCCCGTACGTTTACTCTTTACGTTACGTAATATAAGATACTAATTAATAATATACGTAAATAATTAATATACGTTTTAATATAATTATTTTAAACTTATAAATTAAAGACTTAAAGTTAAATAGAACTTAATAATAAAATAAACTATATAATATATAATAATCTATTTAAACGTTTACGTTTATATATATTAACGCTTTATATTATAAAATAAATATAATAAATACGATATATATGATATATACGATATATACGATTTATATAATAAATATAATAAATATAATAAATATAATAAATATAATAAATATTATTACGTAAAACGGAAAAGCTATTAAGAAAGAGTAAAGCGTACGCGATACTAGAGTTCTGGATAGGTTTATTTAAAAATATACTTTATCGAAGACTACGGTACGTATGATGATCTAGGATAAATAAAATTAGTATTACTATACTAATCGAGAGACGGAGAATTTAATATAGTTATTATATCTTAGCTATTCCCCTTAGTAGTAAAGATATAGTAGTCACTAACCTAAAGGTATAAGAGATAAGAGGAGAAAAGAGGCAAAACGTAAAAGTTATTTATTTAGTTATAGCGGTATAACGAAATAACTTAAGCGCTTATAACTAAAATAAATATACTAATCGGAAAATAACGAAATTAATAATAAAAACGAATCTTTAATTAAGGTAAAAATAGTAAAGATAATAATCTAGCTAGGTAGTAAACTCGATAATAAGTATAGCATAACCCGTACTTACGGGAGCTATAGTTATTCTATATAGATATAAAGCCTATCGTAGCGTATTACGTAATACATTAAGAGAGTATATCTTATCGTATTATTATACTATGTAAGTATTTAGGTTACTTTATAAGTAATAAAATATAAAAAGAAGAAAGTAAATTAACTAACTATTTAAAAAGAAAATAAATAAATAAAGGAAATACGAACTACCTCTATATAAATAATAAGAGGTTACGAATTATATTATATAAGCGAACTATAAATTAAGGTAGGTAAAGGAGTAATTAAAAAGAATAAAGAGTTATATATAAGTAACTTTTTATATAATAGATATAATATTTAATAAAATTAAAAAGTAATATAAAGATTAGAATTTAAAAATAATATAATAAATAAAATTATAAATAACATTATAAGTAAAATCATAAATAAATAATAATAATACTAAAGTAGTAATAAGATAATAATAAATTAAATTAATATTATATATTAATGAAAGTACTCTTTATATACCTTTATATAGTAAAGTATAAAGAAAATACGCTGAAGCGTTTTACGCTTCTTTAAGTTTTAATATCGAAGACTTAGAACCTTTCTATAGGCTAGGAGAAAAAGGGTAAGTAAGAATCGATGCTAAATTTAACTACGAAAAAGAAATAACAAATAATTAATTCTTAATTAAACGAAGAGATATTAACTTAGATTAAATAGAAAGAAACTAACCTATGTTAAACGGAAAGAACCTAACTAAAATTAAACGATAAGAAATTAACTTAAGTTAAATAAAGAGAAACTAACCTTAATTAAAGGAGGAGAAACTAACCTAAATTAAATAAAGAGAAATTAACCTGGATTAAACGAAAAGAAACTAACCCAAATTTAATAAAGAAAAACTAAATTAGATTATACGAGAAGAAATTAACCTAAATGAATTTATATATAAATAAAATTAAAATAAGTAAAAAATAGATTCGTTAGTAAGTAAATAAGGATCCTATTACATATGCTATAGTTTTATTAGATATATCTTCTTTAAACGGGCCGTATAAACCTTTAGCTAATAAAAATAGAATATCTTTTAAATAACTTCGTAATTATAAGGTTATTTATAGGGTAATTTATGAGAGTATTTTTATAAGGAAATTACCTTTATAAATAAATTGATATAATAAAGAGTTTAACGTATTATAACTATCCTCTAGATGGGATAAATATTTACGTTTTATATAATAGATAATAATATCGTTCATAACCTAATTATCCTTTAAATAAACTAAAACCCCTACGGCTCCCCGAAGGGGGGCCCTGGCATGCTTGTAAGGTATATACGCTATACGCAGCAAAGTTGATAGATAATAATAAAACTTGCTTAGCCACGCGATGTCTTACGAGCGATGACGAGCCTACGAGCGAAACGAGACACCGAAAACCAGCTGTCACATCTTAGTTGGCTCAGGTGCGAGGAAAGTTGGGCCGCGATAAAGGACACGGGAGTACATTAGGTAGGTATTCAGGTAAGGTGTGTATATATACATTAGGCAGCGGACGAGGCCCTACATACACAGCTAGGCTGGTAAGCAAAGTACATAGGACAGATAGGTGAGGCCAGCGATCTACCTAACCGTGGCCAGGGCATGGGTTCCGAAATGTCGAGTCGCACGACAGCCGACAGACGGAGAGGCGGCGAGGGAGGAGACCCGGCGATGGGGAATTTGCGCAGCTGATTGCGTCAAGACGGCCCGCGGTCGGAGTGTGGTATCGGGATCTGCGCGGTGGCACGCACAGCTGGGATGCGACGCTGCACGGCTGGAAGGGCAGGTAAGGGGGGTGGTGGTGGTGGGAGGAAATAAATAGGAGGGCGAGGAGGGAGGGCGAGGTGTGTGTGGTCGATCGGGGATTATGATCATAGGTAGGTTTATAGGCGGGGGAGGCTTCGGGATGGGATGGGACGGGACGGCTTGCTTGGTCGAGGGCATCGGCTGTGCGACATGCCTGATCTGGTTGAGCCAGCTCCTACGTCGAATACCCTGCAGTCCCTGCAACGTGAACGTCGAATCTGGTGGAGGCGTCTATCTTGCTGTCGGGTCTGGGGTATGAGGTTATAGGCATACCTACTTGATCGTCTACTACTACTGGTAAGTATGCGAGGTGGCACCTCGGTATGCCGGCATCCCTGACGCCGTCCCGGTACACCGCCTGCCGCATGTATGATATGTGCCGCTCCATTTCGCTAATTTTTTCTTCGTCTTCTCGTCCGTCCCGTCCGCGTCCACTCGGATTCCTCTCCCTCGTCGAGGCGTGCCTAAGCGGAGTGGACCTTGAGGGCCGAACCGAGAAAGAGGGCTTTTCTGGCGTGCACACCAACACACATACCTACCTAACACACACACACACATTTTGCACCTCTTCTCCCCCCTCCCACCCCCCTCTCTCCTATACCTCTACATACGTGCATACATACCCATACGTGCAAGCGCTGACTCAACCCGCCTCTCGCCTCTCCTATTCCTCAGCTCGCACGCACGCAGCACGTACCGCACCCCCTGTCGTCCCGACCCAAGGCCGTGCTGGCGTCGTCTATGTAGGATGCACAACTAGGGCATTTGGCTTCCGCGCTTTTCCCGTCTCCGTTGCCCCTCCATCTCGCTGCCCCTCTCTTTACTTACAGATACGTTCGGATATACCGATATATAGTGCCTACTGCCCTATCCTACCCCTCTATCGCTATACTACCCACGTAGTGCATACCCCCTTCCTACTGAGGCGAGCTGAGGTACTTGTCTGCGCTATCTGACCCGGGTAGATTCTCACCTGTCGAGGCAAGCCGCTGTCGAGGGGGTACTAGGCTTGGTGCTTGTCGTCCTGCGAGGTTGCTCGGTATTCGTGGTGTTAGTGAAGGTACCCGTAGCTGGAGACGAGTCATTATTATATGATCGTTGTATTATATCATCCCCCCTACTCTTTCTCTGTTGCTACGCTCTCCCTCCCGCTTGCTCCCGGTCTTAGTCTACTTCTCTCGCGCGCCTCTTCTCCCGGCCCTTCTCCTTCGCCTCCCTCTCCCCTCCTCCTCCGCACATGTCTCTTCGCGCAGCTCGCCGCGTCTGCTTGGCTCCCCCCTTCTCTGCTCCTGCACGCATACGTTCCTATTCACCCGCGCTCCCTCCGGCTGCCACACGGTGGAGACGCCATCACATCCTACGCGGCAGCTCTGCCTTACGCCCTCCACCCTGCCCTAACAGGTATGCACTAGTCTCCCTCATTGACCGCCTTTCCAACGCCCCAAGCCCTGGGGCTTATACGCTAACGGAGGCACTAGGCCGAGCCCACGCATCGCCAGTCTCTCCTTGCCCCCCAACTCACCAACCTCATCTTTTGAGAAGGCCAGAAACCTCCCTACTCTCTCACGAGCCCCAGTTAGATACTGTTCCTACCGGAGACAAAACATGTGCAGGCTTGCTGGAGACATCGACCACACTGGAGGAGCCGTCCCGGACCCCAACCAGGGCCGCGAGCTCCTCCCCACCAACGTCCTCCCGAGACACTACGATGTGACTATGGAACCCGACTTCGACAAGTTCACCTTCGAAGGCAAGGTCCTTATCGACTTCGACGTCCAGGAGGATACCGATTCCATATCCCTCCACACCGTCCAGCTCGACCTCCACAGCGCCCAGGTCAAATCCGGCGAGACTGTAGTCACGTAGGTTAGCTTCGTGCCCCGTAGCGGACACGCGTACATGGCAGTACTAACACCCCCGACCAGCTCGTCCTCAGCCATCACCTACGACGAGGCCAAGCAGGTCTCGCGGATCGAGCTCAAGGATGTCCTCCCCAAGGGGACGGCCCAGCTCGAGGTCAAGTTCACCGGCCAACTCAACGATTCCATGGCTGGCTTCTACCGCTCCACCTACAAGAAGCCCGACGGCACGCAAGGCATCCTGGCCACTACCCAGATGGAGGCCAATGACTGCCGCCGAGCCTTCCCCTGCTTCGACGAGCCCATGCACAAGGCCAAGTTCACCGTCACCCTGATCGCGGACAAGCACCTCACGTGCCTGAGCAACATGGACGTAGCGTCCGAGTCCGAGGTACACTCGGAGCTGAGCGGGTCCACCAAGAAGGCCGTCAAGTTCAACACCACTCCCCTCATGTCGACGTACCTGGTCGCCTTCATCGTCGGCGAATTAAACTATATCGAGACGGACAAATTCCGGGTGCCGGTTCGCGTGTACGCTCCGCCTAGTTCGGATATCGAACATGGCCGCTTCTCTCTCGATCTCGCCGCACGAACGCTGGAATACTACGAGAAGATATTCGGCGCCGATTTTCCCCTGCCCAAGATGGACATGGTGGCCATCCCCGACTTCGCAGCCGGCGCCATGGAAAATTGGGGCTTGATCACCTACCGTGTCGTCGACCTTATACTGGACGAGAAGGCAAGCGGTGCCGCTATGAAGGAGCGCGTCGCCGAGGTCGTGCAGCACGAGCTCGCCCACCAATGGTTCGGAAACCTGGTGACCATGGATTGGTGGGAGGGCCTATGGCTGAACGAGGGCTTCGCGACTCTGATGAGTTGGCAGAGTACGTTCTCTTTCTCCTCTTCTCCCCCCCCCCCCCCCCCTCTCTTTCTCTCTTCTATTCTCTATCGAATACTTTCCCAGAGTTGAGTTTCCAGCGCTGACAACGGGAGTAGGCTGTAATTACTTTTACCCCGAGTGGAAGGTATGGGAGAACTACGTCACGGATAATCTCCAGAGCGCCTTGGGGTTGGACTCCCTGAGGAGCAGTCATCCTATCGAGGTGCCGGTCAAGCGCGCCAGCGAGGTTGACCAGATCTTTGACGCCATTTCGTACTCCAAGGGCTCCTGCGTCCTTCGGATGATCTCCACGTATCTTGGCGAGGAAACATTCCTGGAAGGCCTCCGGAGATATATCAAGAAGCACGCCTACGGAAATACGAGGACGGATGACTTGTGGGCCGCCCTCGAGGACGCCAGCGGAAAACCGGTTAGAGAGATTATGTCTATCTGGACCAAGAACGTCGGCTTCCCCGTGGTCCAGGTCGCGGAGAACGAGGCAGATAGCACGATCCGCGTCAAGCAAAACCGGTTCCTGAGAACTGGTGACACAAAACCCGAGGAGGATCAGGTGCTATACCCGGTCTTCTTGGGTCTCCGGACGAGGGGGGGTATAGATGACTCCCTAACCCTGACTAAGAGGGAAGACACGTTCAAGGTCAAAGACCTCGACTTTTTCAAGTTGAACGCGAACCATACCAGTATCTATCGGACAAGCTACACCCCAGAACGCCTTACCAAGCTGGGCCTGTCCGCTAAGGAGGGGCTGCTTACGGTTGAGGACCGTGCAGGCATGATCGCCGACGCTGGCGCCCTCGCTGTGTCCGGATACCAAAAAACGTCGGGTGTCTTGAACCTACTGAAAGGGTTCGACACCGAAACTTCCTTTGTAGTATGGAGCGAGATCATTGCTAGGGTCGCAACCGTGCAATCGGCATGGATATTTGAGGACGCGGCCATCAAGAACGGACTCGAGATCTTTGTCAAAGAACTGATCAGCGAGAGAGCGCATAAGCTGGGCTGGGTCTTCTCTGACAAGGACGGCCACGTTGAGCAGCAGTTTAAAGCCATGCTGTTCGGCGCGGCCGGAATGGCGGGCGACGAGAAGGTGATCGCGGCAGCGAAGGAGATGTTTGTCAAGTACATGGCCGGCGATAAGTCGGCTGTTCATCCCAACATCCGGGGCAGCGTGTTCAGCATCGCGCTCAAGTATGGCGGGAAGGAAGAGGTAAATCGTCCAGACCACCCCTGACAGCGGCAACCCTGAATTAACCGAGGCTTCTAGTACGATTCGGTTCTCGACTTCTTCCACAAGTCTACCAACAGCGACGAGCGGAATACGGCGCTACGGTGCATAGGCCGGGCGAAAGACCCGGCTCTCATCCAGCAGACGCTCAACTTCGTCCTGAGCGGCGAGGTCAAGAGTCAGGACATCTACCTTCCGGCGAGCGGGCTCAGGAGCCACGCCGAGGGTATCGATGCGCTGTTCGACTGGCTGACGGAAAAATGGCCCGAGGTGTACGAGAGACTGAGCGGGAACCCGCCGATCCTAGGCTCGATAGTGACCATCTGCACGTCGAGCTTCGCGAAGCCGGAGCAGCTCGCGCGGGTCGAGGCGTTCTTCCAGGACATCGACGTCAAGAACTTTGCGCAGCCGCTCGCTCAGAGCAAGGACGCCATCCGCAGCAAGATCGCGTGGCTCGAGCGCGACCGGGAGGACGTGGCGGCGTGGGTTCGAGAAAACGGGTACATCCCTAAGCTATAGATCACGACGACGACGACGACGACGACGACGACTTGCGAGGTGCCCACGTGTTTACGTCCGCGGGCATGCGTAAGGAGAAATCTACCTAGTTATCTAGTTGGTTGGGGGAAGGGAGCGGGAACATAAAAAGGGGGAAGGGTTTAGAGGGAGATACCCGTAGAAAAAAAAAGAAAGGGGATAGAAAAGCATTCAGCAATCCGGGCAAGAGGGAAAAAAATCTGATAGCATCATGCTCTTCCTGTTGACTTTTGTTTGTGGGTGTGGGTGTTTGACTGGGTGAATGAGGACATCCCCTCCTCCCCCTATAGTCGTAATCCGAGCGTCAACTAGAGTACGGACCCACTACCTACCTACGCATCAACAACATTTTAGGGGTGGACCTCGAGAGTATTGGTTGAAGAGCCCCCTATGGACTTGTATGACCGTAGGAACAGGAACTCGAGACGAAACTTGGGCACCGGCTGCCTGGGCTGCTATTATGGGATGCCCTTAGAGGACCACCCTACGTGTAGGTAAGTAGGCGAGGATAGAAAGTGTGGGTGCGTTATTCAGCTGTGACGGGATACCCTAGGTTGCGAGTTTGTGCGCACACATACGTCAAGTTACGTACCTAGGTACCGAAGGCAGGAGAGGGAATAGCAATAAGAGGAGGGTACCCAAGCCCAAGGCAGGCATTTTATCAGAGTTGACCTTTACGTGCGTGTTACCTCGCCACACTTACCTTAGGTACCCTAGGAGGGCTACGGGGTACCTAGGTACCAACCACCTGAGGTCCTCGCCCCAACACTTTCTTTAAGGTATGTGCCCTAACAGAATGTACCTCGAGGACCTGCCTACCTAGGTTACCTGTGCTTACCTACATGTACGTAAGGCCGGGTGTATTACGTCAGGTACCCAACGTACTTGGAAGTAGGCGGAGGTAGGGAGGTACATTAGGAGGGCAGGTATAGTAAACCGAGCAGATGGAGGAGGGGTAGCTTCCCGTGGGTCTTCCGATAGGTAACCCCACCTCTGACGACGTCGGTTCCGTGCGATCTTTACTGGCGGGCTGTACTCATATCGTTGACCCATCGAGGCACTATAAGCGGGGGATGTCGAAGGTCGGAAAGTTCCTCAGTACCTCCCTGCAAGGACCCGAAGAGCTTTTCAACTGCTGGTAATAGGTAGGTAGGTACCTACACCTAGCGTTCCCCTAAAATGTATAGCGTTGGTAGACGGCAGATGCGTCTAGAGCTACCTACCTAATAGCAAACAGAGTAAAGAGTTTACTCAAGATCTTGATCACATTCTACCGGGCTGTATTGGCACACCGACGCATCGAGGTAGGACATACCTCCGCCTCCTTAGGAGGTAGCAGGGGTATCTGCGTCGGGCGGAGGGGCAGAGGCGTACCGGGTACCTCCCTATCCATCACGACGTACCTCCCACCTGAGGTACCTCGACGCACTTGGGCTCGCAGCTCACCAGCTCACTTTCCGCCCGCGTAGGGCGACTCCGGACCTTGCTGTTCGCCGTCCGGCGGACGTCGGACCCCGCCAATGCAAGTCGTACCATCAGTGGCCCTCACGTTATGTATGTGACATTATCCTCTCTCTGAACCCCCCTCCCCTGTCGTTATCGAGGCCAGTCCAGCGCCCAACGCCGGCCCACCCAGCCCGCGCAGTCCCGCCGAGTGCTGTAGACTGGGACCAGTCAGCTGCCGCTGAATCAAACCTGAGCTTAGCATGTACTCTGACTGGCTTCCTGCTGCGTTTTTTACCGAAAAAAAAGGACACGAGAATCCGGAATTCTCTTTCTTCCTCGTCCTCTTCCTCTTCTTCTCCCGCCTTCGCTCTCGCCCTCTCCCTCCCATCTACATCTTCTTCGCCTCCTGTCTCACCGCCGCACGAGCTACGACGAGAACTTCGTACAAACAACCCTCTACTAACTACGGATAGTAAGTAAGTGTATTCGTCTCATCCTGACCCCCTCTCCGCCAGCTGTGGCTCCTTCGATTTGATGACCTTCAATCTTGAGCTACCCCGCCATCCCGTCCCGCCATCCTGCTCCATTTCTTACGAAGCCCCCCTCCCCCCTGCCATTCTTCATCCGTCAAGGCCTCTCAACATCTTGAGGCATATACCTACGCTATTCCCTCAAGCTATTCGGGAGTCACCTACTTATCCCCCATTGAGCGAATTTCATCTCCCGCCCTCGCACGAGCCATCACCCAGACATCTACTGCAAATTCCTTCCCCTCGCTGGATTGTCCGAAGTCCTCTGTGATTGACTGAAAATCCCTTCTAGAGACCCCAGCCCGACGGACTCACAGCCTCGAACGTCAAGATGGCGATCAAGAAGATCCACGCCCGCCAGGTCTACGACTCTCGTGGCAATCCCACCGTAGAGGTCGACGTGGTCACCGAGACTGGCCTCCACCGAGCCATCGTCCCCTCGGGAGCTTCCACCGGTTTGTGCCATTTCCAGGCGGCCCTAGGACGCCCGACCGGCTAACACCGTATGAACAGGTCAGCACGAAGCCTGCGAGCTCCGTGATGGCGACAAGACCAAGTGGGGCGGCAAGGGTGTCACCAAGGCTGTCGAGAACGTCAACACCGTCATCGCCCCCGCCGTTATCAAGGAGGGTCTGGACGTGAAGGACCAGAGCGCCGTCGACCAGTTCCTTAACAGCCTCGACGGAACCCCCAACAAGACGAAGTTGGGCGCCAACGCCATCCTCGGCGTCAGCCTAGCCATCGCCAAGGCCGGCGCTGCCGAGAAGGGCGTGCCGCTGTACGCCCACGTCTCCGACCTCGCCGGCACCAAGAAGCCCTACGTCCTGCCTGTCCCTTTCATGAACGTCCTCAACGGCGGCTCTCACGCCGGCGGCCGACTGGCCTTCCAGGAATTCATGATCGTCCCCTCCGCCGCCCCTTCCTTCTCTGAGGCCATGCGTCAAGGTTCCGAGGTGTACCAGAAGCTCAAGACTCTGGCCAAGAAGAAGTACGGCCAGTCGGCGGGCAATGTCGGAGACGAGGGTGGTGTTGCCCCCGATATCCAGACCGCCGCCGAGGCTCTCGACCTCATCACCGAGGCCATCGAGCAGGCCGGCTACACGGGCAAGGTGAACATCGCCATGGATGTGGCCTCGAGCGAGTTCTACAAGGAGGACGTCAAGAAGTACGACCTCGACTTCAAGAACCCCGACAGCGACCCGGCCAAGTGGATCACGTACGAGGAGCTGGCTGCCCTGTACAGCGACCTCGCCAAGAAGTACCCCATCGTCAGCATCGAGGACCCCTTCGCCGAGGACGACTGGGAGGCCTGGAGCTACTTCTACAAGACCCAAGACATCCAGATCGTCGGTGACGACTTGACCGTCACCAACCCCATCCGCATCAAGAAGGCCATCGAGCTCAAGGCCGCCAATGCCCTGCTCCTCAAGGTCAACCAGATCGGAACTCTGACCGAGTCCATCCAGGCCGCCAAGGACTCCTACGCCGACGGCTGGGGCGTCATGGTGTCGCACCGCTCGGGAGAGACCGAGGATGTCACCATCGCCGACATCGTCGTCGGTATCCGCGCCGGCCAGATCAAGACGGGTGCCCCCGCCCGTTCCGAGCGTCTGGCAAAGCTCAACCAGATCCTCCGTATCGAGGAAGAGCTCGGAGACAATGCGATCTACGCCGGCGAGAACTTCCGCAAGGCTGTCAGCCTATAATGCTGCTAGGGCCTTGTTTCTCTCTCTTCTCTCTCTCGGAAGGCTGTGGGCGCCACGCATGACATGATACACTCGCGACGGGAACGAACTAGGTGGGCAGGGCGGTTAGCTCGGGTAAAACAGCTACCTAGATATTTACTTTACTGAATTGAAAATAAAAATACCCAAAATGTCGCTCAGCCACGTTGTCTGCTCAAGCGAGGAGCGCTGCGGCGCAGAGACGCAGTAACGCCATTCGCCCGCGTGTCCGGGCCGTAGCCGTTCTCTCTTGGGCATCCTCGGCATTGGAAAATATAGTACGTAAACAATTCGGGTTGGGGTTTGCAGTAGGACGGGTGGCTGGAGATATACCGAGGTTCTAACTGGTCTATCTGCCAGGTCAGGTAGGTGAGGAGATACGCGGGGTGAAATTTTACTGCATTAATAGGCATGCATGGCAGACTCTATCCAAGTTTGACTGACTTGCGTGTCCCTAGCCATGGCCCCGAAGACGTGCATGGCCGACTAGATACGTGAGCAAGTCACTTAATCTCGTCCTTCCTGGCAGGCATGGCAATGCGAATCTTGCTGGATAGGTATATAGGCTTGCTATTTTGAACAGTCGTACTGCTAATCGTGTGCCACGCGGGACGAACACACGAGGGAAACAAACGGGAGGGTTCTTTTGAGGCTAGAGAGGATCATGGCACTCCTATTTCTCGGCCGAGACTGGGCTGATTCGGCGACAAATAGCTAGGAATCCCCGCGACCACTTATCTAAAACGAGACAAGAAGAATGTTCCCGTACAAGAAACGCCTTGTCTCGTACATGCATACATGCAACAGGCGAACATCTTAGGCCAACCTAGCTCAGCTGGTCGGTGGCCATATGATAGATAAATGACCTGCTCGCCACGTTAGTCTAACCGAGACTCTCCCTCGCGGTGGGTAGGTAGGCAGGAGGCGGGAAAGGGCGACGAGCGCGCCGGTTTCTCTCGATCAGAAGTCCGTTTAATACACTTCAGGCCCGAGAAGGGCCCGATGATATAAGAGGTACCAGAAAATTGAAGTAAATGTGGTGTGTATCATCATGAGAACCGTACGGAGGAGAAAGGTTGGTAGTAGGAGACGAGGCGGAGGGCTTACCTTGCATGGAACGGCGGTTGTTAGCCATCCCGACCGAGACGGGGACGAGGGAAGGACAGGGAAGCAAATAGCAATGGCCCCCTTCCACACCTGTCGGCCACGGACGAATTGTTGCGAACTCAGCAGTTGAAGGAAGAAGGAAAAGGAAAAATGCTGGGAGATGAAAAGTTGCTGGAGGTCTTCTTGGCATGCGTAGATGGCCCGAGCGCATACCGGTGAATATTCGGCTAATTCATTTGGAGCTTGGGCCATGTGTGGGTCCCCTGCAACCGAAGCCGACACACAATTTTGATCTCTTTTTTTCCTTCTCGGTCTGGGAACATTTTTTGAGTCCAACTCCGTATTTCAACCTCATCCACGACGCCCAGCACCACCTCCAGCGTATTCGCACAACACACCGTGAACTCGCATTCTCACAGCTAGAAATTCCGCCGCCATGGGTCGTCTTCACTCCAACGGAAAGGGTATCTCGTCGTCCGCGACCCCCTACTCGCGCACGCCCCCGTCCTGGCTCAAGACCACCCCCGCCCAAGTCGAGGAGCAGATCTGCCGCCTCGCCCGCAAGGGCGCCACCCCCTCCCAGATCGGTGTCGTTCTGCGTGACTCCCACGGCATCGCTCAGGTCCGCATCGTTACCGGTACGCAGAACGAAATCCGTCTCTCTGCTCCGTAGTATTATAGCTAACGTGCGCGCGCGCCAACGTATAGGTAACAAGATCCTGCGAATCCTCAAGTCGAATGGTACGACATGAATGCCCCTGCCCTACCGAATACCGCTCGAAACGCAAACCAAGCACCATACGTGCATTCTTGCCTATGATGATGTCTTCTCCTCCGCCAACATGGAGAGGAGCGCATGGTGGGCAAGAACCACGTATACATATGTATACATATACATACAACCATATGCCGCTGTCGGTCAAGGCTGACGGTGCGATCTCCATTATAGGCCTCGCCCCTGAGCTCCCCGAGGATCTGTACATGTTGATTAAGAAGGTGAGTGGGCTTCTGCGCAACTCTACGCACCTCCTGTCGTCTTTATCCCCGATAGCAGGAAGAAGAAAAAGAAGGGCATGGGGAAAAGGGACAAGAAGGGATCAAGTCAGGCCACAGATAGCTAACTCGTGAGGCAAAAAAGGCCGTCTCCGTCCGAAAGCACCTCGAGCGCAACCGCAAGGACAAGGACGCCAAGTTCCGCCTCATCCTGATCGAGTCTCGAATCCACCGTCTCGCCCGCTACTACAAGTCGGTCGGCGTCCTGCCCCCGACCTGGAAGTACGAGAGCGCCACTGCCAGCACCATCGTCGCGTAAACGAGTTCTATCCCGTTGCCCCGTCCCTCTTTTATCTCCGAGGGGCGGTCGTGCATCTGGCACGCATGTAGAAAAGGAAGGGAACAAGAAAAAGCCGCTTGGTCCGTCTGCCTATCTAGTCCGGCCCGGGTATGGCCATGGCGTTCGCGGGAAGAAACGGATGGACGGAGCTGCTTTATACGGGCAAGTCGATAGCGGAGGCGGAAAGGGGAAAGGATTGCACCTTAGTTCTGGTCGTATAAGAGTAGAGCAAACAATCAATCCCACGCACGCATACACGTATGCATGCCTGATACCAAAGATCAATGCGAGATATTCCATGGGCGTAAAGTGATTACTTAATTCGCAGTGTCTATTACCCGCCAAGTCCTGACCTCGCCGTAGCTATTTCGCTAGCACGAGAAAAACATGCATACCGCGCTCCGTATTCCTGGCGGATGAGAAGAGCGAGGTTATTCGCGATCCCCTAAAATCCTATCGCGCAAACCATGCGAGCTATTCCTACAAAGACAGCCAGAATCGGCGTGTGCCTTGTTTATCCCCTCTTCCCCGACCTCCCGTGTTCTACCTTCCGCGTCCCCCCCTGAGTCTACACTTAAACACTAGAACTAGAACTTCAGCGGCCAGAAGAGGAATGTAGGGTGGTATCACAAGTCCAGATTAACCCGTCGTCTGCTGCCATTTTCCTTTTCACCCCTCCTCCTCTTCTTCTTTCTCTCACAGGGGCGAAAGGCGAGAGCGGGAGTGGGGGATGTGGGAGGAGGCGGTTATTTCTAAGAGTAGAGAGAGGGAAAGAGGAGCGGGAAACAGGAGAGAGGGAGAGGAGGGTGTAGGGAGGTGTGTAGTGTCAGAGCGCGTGCTCGTGGCCGCGTTGTCCTTGCACTTTCTTTCCCACCATAGTTCCTCCTTTCCCGTCCTTCTAATACGTATATACACACTCCCCCCCCCTCTTTTTTTTTCTTTTTTTTTTCCCCTTGTTTCGTTCCTCTTCTCCATCGCCGACATTGCGAGACGGCGCCGGGGCGGGGGGGAAGCAAATCGACGGAGACCCCGCCCTTTATTCCGTTAAGTAAATAAATAAAAACGCCGTGCCGGGCTCGCCTCAGGCGGCCGACGCCGACGACGAGGCCGAGGACTCGAGCTCCTTGGAGCGCTGGAGGAGGTACTCGCCGAGGACGCGGAGGGGATCCTTAGGCCTGTTTTTTTTCCCCCCCCCCGCATCTTAGATTAGCGCGGAGAAGGGTAGAAGTGCGGGAGAGGGGAGAAATGGGAGGGAGAGAAAAAGACGTACTGCTCGCGCGCGACCTGCTTCATGCCCTCGAGGAGCGGGCCGACGACGCGCGCGTTGAGGTACTGGCGCACGGGGGCGCCGTGGGGCGCGGCGGCGGCCGGCAGCGCCCCGCCGCCGTCGCCCGGCATCTGCGACGCGGCGCGCGACGACGGCGCGGGCCCCGGCCCCGCCTCCGGCCCGTTGCCGCTGCGCTGGCTGCTCGCCGTCGGCGTGCCGGTGCGGGCTGGCGCGGGGGACTGGAGAGGGGGGGAAGGTTAGTTAGGCTTTTAGGGGGGGGGGGATGGGGGAAGGGAGAAGGAGGGGGGGAACTCGCGGGCGCTTGCTCGGCGCCGGCAGAGGCCGCGAGGCCCGAGTCGCTGGCGCTCGCGTCGCCGACGGGCTGCCCCGCCACGTACGGCACCGGGACCGGCGTCTGCTGGTGCGGCGCGTCGTCGGCCATGGGGCGGGTCGGTCGCGGCCAGCGGGTGTCGGCTGGTCGGTCGGGACGGCGGTCTAGGTTGTCGTGGGCGGCTCTGCTGGGGTGGCAGATCGAGATCGAGGGCGAGGGCGAGGCGGAGCGGCGTGGCGCGGTGAGCTTGCTAGGGCGACTGGAGGCGCGGGATCGGTGGTTAGGTGGATGGTGGATGGTGGATGGGCTTGTCGTGCGTGCGTGCGTGTGTGTGTGGGAGGAAGTAGGTCAGAGGAAAAGGAGAATAGCAGCTCGTCGAGAGGCGTCAGGCCAGGGTTCGGGAGCAGGTTCGGTTCGGATTGCGCGACGGGAGCCTTTTCGCTTTTTCCGTGCTCCAGAGGGAGAAGATCAGTGGAGGAAAACGGACTGTGTGCATGTGAATTGTAAATATATACAGTGGATAGGGGCGGAATTCAAGTACGTCGCACGGTCTCGGTACTTCTGAGAGACCTGCCTCCTCTGCTAATCTCGAGCGTAGCTGCGTACCCTCCTTCTCCGAATCGTCTCGCACGGTTCTTCGATAAGATAAGACGATACCCGCGTAACGGTCAAGTGGTGAAGCGGTACTTGAGTACACTAGCACTAGAGGAGGTGCGGTGTCTCGTGATTTCGCGTTTCCCAGTCTCCCACTTAAAGACGGCAATACGTACTCCGGGATCCTCCTCGAGGAAAACTCGCGTCTCCTCTTCCTTGAAAGATTACCTAGATACCTACCCCCACAAAGGCCTTCCCTTGCAAAGCAGATGAAGTCATCCCAGACTGCGACCTCTCCCCCATCTCATCTTCTCTTCAGAGCCCGCGGAGGTGGTGGCCCGTTGGAACGATGCCCAAGTAAATAATGGACGCCTTCCTCATTCGACGGCCACCTCCCGCATCCCGTCGCCAACATGTTCAGACGGCAAGCGAGCCTCCCCCCAAGAGGGTCAAGAGGCAAGAAAGCTACTCAGGCGATGAGGATACAGACCAGGACACACGGTCCGATAGCTCATTAGCGGCAGACCCGTCACTGGGAGCAGCTAGATACCATGGTGCCCCAGGTCCTGCGGCCGACGACGGCGACGACTCTGAGCGTTCGGACCCCGAGGCGGAAGAGATTGCCCCTCGGCGACCGACCGCCATCGAGAGCTCGCTGCCCGAGGTTAAATCTGGCAGAGAAGCTCTCCAGGAATACGAAGCTTTCAAAGCCTCCCAGAATGACGACGACGACGCCGATGCAAGCGTCGCATCCCCAACGTCGAGGCTAAATTCGAGAAAGTGGGTCAAGGGCAAGACTTCCATTTACGTCGACGCCTTCAACCTCGCTCTGGATACAGTGCTAGATGAGGAGTCCCACCTCTTTAACGCGAGAGAGATGTACATATTTGATCAATGGAAAGGACTAGATTATGCCGCTCAATACCTGTACGTGGCCAGACGCGAGAGGCCAACTCCCGACGCCCCAACCAGGCCTAGTTCTAACTCGGCATCGCAGGTACGTGCGACTATTTCTGAGGAAAACGGCGTTGTGGCACCGGGTTTCCCGCTTGCGCTACCGCGACGACATCCCGGATATCGAGGCCGCCGTAGACGAGCTCCAGAAAACTCGGGATCTGCCCTCGAGCCCTCCCAGCTCCCCGTCCGGCGTAGACTCGGCGGGGTTAGAGTTGGAAGGAACCCCTCCGGCTCAAGAACAGTGCGTGTTCGACGACCGTTTCGCGTTTGCAGATGTCTCGGAACACTTTATCAACAGCGTAGAAGAAGCTGTCGCGCTCCTCAGCCTGGACGAGATCAGGGCGCTGGCGAAAGAAGCTAAAGTCCAGGGGAAGAATAAGGCCGAGCTGGCCAGATCCATCTGCAGGATGAGCAGCCAGCAGACCGGCCTTTTCTCGTTGGGTCTTCGCCGGTCGGGCACTGTCAGGTCTGCTGACTCGCCGGCGCGAGATACGCCGGAATTAGACTCGCCGGGCGCCGGTTCCCGTGACGATCTAAATAGGAGACGGCATTTCCTCGAGAAGATAGTAGCTATAGCGGGGCCTTGCGTGAGGCTGTCCCTGCCGGTTTTCAAGCTGTTCGAGAGAGTTCATCTCGTCTTCTACAGGTCGACCGAATGGACGGAGAAGTCACTGACTACGATCATCCTCGCCAAGATATCAAAACGCAATTTCCCAGACTATGTCGTTGCCAGATCGGCTAACATCTTTGCCTCGAGGGCCCAGTTGCTCGAATTCGAAGCGGCTATCAGGGCCGAATACGCCGTCGACAACATCCTCGAGTTCAACGGGCCCGTTACGGAGGAAGGGCACCGGAAGGTCATGGAGATATTCGAGCAGATTTACCCGCGGTGGAAAGTCTTGCTGTGCGAGGAGCAAGAGAAAGAAGAGAGGGTTTACGAACCCGGGGAGGGCGCCTATCTGAGGCGGTTCAACGCAGCCCATCCGTACACCAGGATCGTCCACAAGGCCGCCCAGGTCCTCGGCAAGCTCAAAGAGCACGGGCGGGAACACGAGCTGCTGACCGAGATGCTCGGCCAGCGCCTCTTCCACCCGGGTCGCCGGGGGTCGTGGTACCAGCGGAAGGCCCTCCTCGAGGAGCGGTACATGCACGCCCTCTCGCCCGCCCCAGCCTGCGGGGGCTCGGAGGCGCAGAAGAAGCACTGGCGGCGGATCGCCGCGGCGACGTGCGAGGCCGCGCTCGAGGACCGGGACTGCCACCTGGTCTACCACCACGACCTGCAGAAGCGGCTCGTGAAGCTCGAGCGGCAGCTGAAGGTGCCGAGGCGCCTGCAGCACGACTTCGGCCACGTGCGGCTGCGCGCGCCGGAGGCGCACGTGGTCGAGGGCGTGCAGCTGAAGCGGAGGGAGAAGGCGGGGGCGAGGGACGAGCTCACGGGGAGGAAGCGGCGCGAGTGGGGGCCGAGCACGCGGACGGTGTGGGTGGACGAGTCAGCGGCGGAGGGCGGCGCAGCCGGCGGAGCCGAGTGCGGCGTCGAGGCCATGTGCCTCAACTGGTACCGGGCGCGCGGGTGGAAGGGCTACCACGCCGAGGGCGGCATCGTGCGGACGCTGTTCGCGCTGCTCTTCTACGACGTCCTGTTCCTCTACGTGCCCAACGTGTTCCAGACGCCGTACCAGACGTGCCCGCTGGACCTGCGCACGGACGCGTTCGCGGCCGCGCGCGCGTCCGAGATCAACCACCGGCTCGCGGCGATCGCGAACGGCGGCGGCGGCGGCGGCGATAGCAGCGACGGCGCAAGCGAGGCGGCGCGCCTCGTGGCCGCGGCGGACGCGCGCGAGCGGCCCCGCCGCACGTGCGTCGCCGGGCTCGACTGGGACGCGTACGGCCGCGACGAGCTGGTCGAGCTCGCGGCGTGCTTCGCCGGCGGCGCGCTCGCCGCCGTCTGCCGCGTGCTGGCCCAGGAGCACGGCGGCGGCGGCGGCGGGGGGGGGACCGGCGGCATGCCGGACCTCCTGCTGTGGCGCACGGAGCCCCGCCGCGAGGTCCTCTTCGCCGAGGTCAAGAGCGCCGGCGACCGCCTCAGCGACGCCCAGCGCCTCTGGATCGACGTGCTGGCCGGCGCCGGCGTCCGCGTCGCGGTGTGCAGGGCGGTGGCGCGCGAGGTGCGGGAGGTGTGAGGGCGGTGGGGGGGGAAAGGGGGAAAGGGGGGGGAAGGGGGAAAGGGGGGCAAGGGGGAAAGCGAGGGAGATGGGGTGCTCAGGTAGGTTATTGCGAGTGAGGGGTGCGGAGTAAAAGGCATGTTGTAGGTACGGCGTATCACGGCTAGACATAGGTGCACTGTCTATCTACTTACTTACGACTGAACTTAGCTCCCGCGTACGTGCCTGGTCGGCTTTACGCGGCAGTATGCCTAACGAGCATAGCGAGGGGAGGGAGCGAGGGAGGTGAGCCCTTTGGGGTTTCTCTTTTTTTTTTTCCTTTCCGCGTCTGCGCATCCGCGCTGCTCGGCGGCCTACGTACACATACCTTCGCGCCGGGAACGCGGGCTTCCTCCCCCCCTCTCTCCCGTCGTCGTCGTAGCGCGCGTCTAGTGTCTGCCGTCCAGGCGTCTAAACAGGCCAGTTCGGTGTGCGGACCTTGCCCTCAGCTAGCTAGCCGGGTGACCTTTCCTTGCGCGCCTGTCTGCCTGCCCCCCCCCCCCCCCCCCACCCTGCCTGCTTGCTTGGTCGACGGCATGCTAGGACTTGGATATGGAGGCAGGTAAGTATATACTCGAGGCCGCGGTGGGCATAGGTACCTACCTAGATAGAGGGGGGGGGGCGAGAGGGTGCGCACATCTCGATCGGGCAGCCTTCCCGGACACCGGTAGGCGCGTAGGTAAGTACATACCTATCTACCTGCACAGGTGAGGTCGACAGGTAGGTAGGCAGGTAGGTCGGTGAGAGATAGACTTTGCTGACCGGCACGTCGGGTGGGGGGGGGGCGAGGCGGGAAGACGCTGGTTCTCGTCTGTCTGGGCCGGGCGGGTCGCGGACCTGCGCTGGCAGCGGGCACAGAGCACGGGACGCGCGGGGGATGCGAGGCTGCGGCGTCGCGGCGGATTTTTTTTTTTCTTTTTCTTTTTTTTCTCCCCCTTCTTTTTGTCTCTTGTTCCCTCGCTGTTCGGCCTGTGGGGGGGGAACGGGGCGGATAGGGCGGTGGGTTGTGTCTGGTAGAAGGGTACGTACGTGGCGGAGAAGGGGGGGGGTGCGTGCGAAGGAGAGGCAGGCTGGAGGGGGCGCCCGTCGTGGGGCCGTCGCGTGTGGCGTCGGGAGGCGAGGCAGTGGTCGGTGGAAAAAGGAGGAAATGGGGGACGAGATGGGGTCAGACGAGACGGGACGAGGCGAGGCGAGGCGTGGTGGTTTGGTTTGGGAGAGGGCGGGGGGGTAGCGGAGGGAGAGATAGATAGATTCCTTAGGTGCGGCATCCGCCATTCTCGCCTACGCAGATATGGGAGATCCGGTGTCCTTTCGTCTCTGCCGACTCGGACTTGGCCTGGCCTAGGTAGCTATGTCATCGCCGCCGCTCCTGCTCCTGTCCCACGCCTCGCCTCACTTTTCTCTCTCTCTCTCTCTCTCTCTCTCTCTCTCTCTCTCTCTCTCTCTTCCCATCGGTCCGCCCTGCGTTTGCCTCGCCACAGAATAGGACGAGAGGGGACCATGAGGGGGGGGGGGCTAGTTGGCTCCTCTCCAAGAGACGTTGCCTTCTACCTGCGGTGAGTGAGTGCGCAGGCCACCCCTAAATACGCAGGCAGGCATGTAATAGGCATGTTGGTTGTCCGGCGTAAGCATAGCGCGTTATATACCCACATGGATCAACGAGCTATAAGCTAGGCGCCAGCAACCAGAAGAAAATCGGGAGCGAACAGCGAGCAGGTCGGCTGCGTAGTTGGTATCCAGGTGTGTAGGCATATACCTACCTAGGTAGGTATGTTGGCACACTATGGATGTGCGTACCTACTACATATGCGCGATGCTGGGATATGATAAATACCCACGCGGGCGAGGAGAGAAGACGTCGCGAGGTCGCGCACACCGCTTATAAGAAGTTGGGATATCTGGACTTGGGTTGGACCTGTTGGTCGGAAAGTTATTCCATCTGCCTCACCGACCTCGTACGGACCGCGCAGGTAGGTAGGTGGGGAGGTAGGTAGGTGTGAATGTATTCAGGTCTCCGTCTTCTCGATCTCGATCTCTTTCACCGCCGAGGCCTTGTATTCCTCCTTCTTCTTATTTGCTACTATTATTACTTCGTCGAATTTCTTCCTCACCTTCTTTCCGCCTTCTCTCTCCTTCCATCGCGACACGCTCCGCGCCCTAGGTATATGGAGAGCACATATACCTATAGGCTCAGGGATCCCACGTTCCACGCCCACGTCGGGCTAAGGACAAGGGTGAGTAGGGGGGGGGAGGGTTGGATGTTAGAGGTATGTTCTGTCGGCTGGGTTCGTCTTCGTCACCGTTCCATGGCGATATCACTACTAGCGCCGTCAGATTTCGGAGAATTCTTTTTTTTTTTTTCCCCTCGCCGCTGTCTCGAAATGACAAAAGACGGAATCGTCTGTGCTCTTCGGTTCGATTAGGACAGGGGGTAGGGCTTAGTCGGCCGCCGGGATCTTCTCGGCTAGGCCAGTGCGAGGAGGGCAGGAGACGAAGGAAATGGGGGCCGAGAAGGAGAGAGAGCCGGATTGGGATTGACGCTCGGATACTCTACTCCCTATATCCATCCCTCGCCGGCACGATCTTGTCTGTATGCGGTTGGCCCCTTCAGGCCTAACCTTAGGCACGGAAATCCGTCATATACAACTCGGCACGGTCTAGGTATGTCGAAGACGCTTATATACCTATGCCACACGTTCCTATGTAAGTGCGGGATGGCGCAGCCGATATAGCTATGATACCTATGGACTTAGGTATTCCTTGCCTATAGCATGTCGGTTTCGGCCAAGGAAGAAATCGGGACAAATTGTACGTGTGTATATGGCGATGACACACAGCGAGTAGCCCGGATAGTGACATTAGCAGTGAGTTATGGGGTAGGGTAGAGGATGAATCATCCGGCGAAAAGGGGGGGGGCGGCGATCCGGATAGGTCAACATGCCCAACATACATACATGCTGCGGTCCTATCACACACATACACACAGCCATAGCCTTTCGCTTCTTCACCTGCCTACCCTATATAGCTGTTCGCCCCGGCTCGTGACAGGACGGCGCACTGCCACCGCGCGTTTGCTGACGACCAACGTGGTAGCTTCGTCGAGTAAGGAGCGAGATCCTTCGGTGACCTTCAGCCGCGGGAAGTGGAGGGGGGCAGATAGGCAAACTCGATTCATGCGATGCGTCGCTCTCCTGCCTCGCAATGCCCGTCGAGAGCCAAGTAGGCGAGGAGATGCCCGTTTCGGCCGTGAGGCGTCCGCTTCTTGGCCATGTGCACGTTGCCTGGTGTAGGTAGGTAGGACCAGACCGTGGATGCGCATAGGAAGATCAGGTCAGGCCAGGTCGCGGACGGCGATGTTCGAGCCCTCGTGATTGTCCAGAGAGGGGGAGGGAGAGGGAAAGATAGACAGGCAGGGAGGAAAAGGGTGTGCGAAGAGACCTACCACCTCTGTAGATACCTAGGTAGCTGCCATCACCAACCGAAAGGACCTTAGCTGGCGCCTTTGTATCCCCCTCCCCCTCCTCCCCATTTCCCGCCCCTCGTCTATCTCTGTTTCTGGCTCCCGCCTGCTGCGACGCTGGATCCACGAGACGGTATAGGCACGCATGCCCACCCGCTGAGGCCCGATACGGCGACCGATAGCCAATATCGCTGTCGCCACAAAAATTATTTACGGGCCACTTCCTCGGGGAAGAGAGAGGACGAGAGAGGAAGAGCGAGAGAAGCAAGGGAAGAAGTCCTGGGCACCCTCTCCCCGCTCACTTTTACCTACACGTCGGCCGTTTGCAGAGATAGGCAGAGAGTATATACAAGCCCATCCCTTTCCCGGGTGGCAGGCCGCCTCAAGAGCGGCCATCCGCGTCACCACGGGATCTTCAACCAAAACAAAGAAATAGAAGGGGCCGGGGGGGGGGGGGGGGGGGTGATCCTTACGGAGAGCAAAAAGCCGTAGAAGGCAGGTAGGTGAGTGAAGTCTGGATCTCTCTCATCTGGCACTCCTGCCGCTCCCCGTATCGAGTAAACACTCGTGGGGACGTCAGGCGGACATGGTACGTGTGTGTAGGTATGTGCGGGCGCGCCTCCGTAGGTACCTAAGTAGGGAGTGTGAATGCGTATGTGTATATGCCTCCCTAACGCCTACGAAGTGCTTGTGTAGGCAGACAGCCAGGTGTCGCATACGGATGCACGGGCGCTGTCGACTTCTGCGATGCGTCGCTGGGCGGGACCGTCCCGAGCCCGAGCTCCCTTTCTCCCCCCTCCCTTGCCCCTCGGGATCGATGCGCGGCGAGGAGCGAGCGAGAGAGGAGAGGGGAAAGACGGGACGCGGAGTGGCCTCGTCCATTCCAAATGTCGACGAGATCTGGAAAGGCACGAGGGCAGGGCACTGAGAGATGATACGAACCTACGAGCCTAGGCGTACGCACGCACGCACGCACGCACATAGGAGATTTGTTCATTGGCTGCCGCCGTGGCTCGCTGAGATGTGATGTAGCAAGGCAACGCAAGTAAGTAAAGATGGACGAGTATAGGTTGCGCGGATGTGCGGGTGGGAGCGGACGAAGATCGTGTACCTAGATGGATGGCGGATGGCGTACATGTGGACGCCTGTACCTGACGTAGGTACCACATAAGAGGTACCTCTTAAGACAGGTTGGCGTAGAAAAAAAAGAAAGAAAGAGAAAAAGAAGAGAAAAAAAGAGGGGCGAGGGAGAGAAGGAGGGAAAAAAAAAAAAGAAAGGGAGGCAAATTAGCGGGAAATAAGGTCGCGGGCGCTTAACGACCCCCCCCCGCCTTCCCTCGGTCGAGCCAATGGCGAGCGCGGAGGCCGAAGAGAAGACGCGGTGGGATAGGTTAAGTAGGCTCGAGTTCTACTGCATGACACACCCCTCCGAGGGCCCTCCCTTCCTTCTTTACCCCCATCCGTCCAGTCCCTTCCTCGCTTTCCCTCTCTCTCTCTCTCTCTCCTCGCTCTTTCCCCTCCTCCTGGGGTGCGTGCGGTATGGATGTATACGACTCTCACTAAAATCGGGCCAATGACGTGGCATCGCCCGGTGGATCGCCCGGCGCTTAACGGCCTCAGGTTGCGACCGGATGTACACGGTACTTCTTGTCCCACCGGGCCGTCGCATCTCTTAGCTTACAGCTAGTAGGCACCTGGGGTTAGGTACCGTACCGAGGGGCCTACGTTGGCAGGCGAGGTTGCTGCGAGGGATGTACCTACATACGTGCCTACCTGATGTACATACCTGATGCACGTGGTGTCCCTCCCTCAGGTACCCGGCCTTAAGATACCTATTACGAAAAAAGCGTAGGTACCTGCACCTACCTACCCCCTAGGTGCCTACCTCAGGTATGAGTATCATAAAGAGAGAGAGAGGGAGAGAGAACAAGAGGGAAAGAAACGTCAAGGTAGGAACTAAGCTCGGGGCAGGTCTAGCGCACCCTCCTGGCCCCTGCCCGACGGACCCCGCCATGCAAGTCCCAGGATGCCGGGACAGACGACTCGGCCCAATCACGCTCCACGACGCTGTAGCCGGGCGCCGTCACCCAGATGGCCGCGGCTTGTCGATGCGGACGTACCTCCCACTTACGGGTCTGCCTGGCTGCCTTTCTCCACCCAGGTACGTACCGATCCGCCTATAACCCGCATACTCTGCCTGCCTCTCTGATCGATGCCTCCTTTCCCACACACCTACCCTTAGGTACCTACTACAGCTCAGGTGTGCCCAGGTAGGCCAGCGAGGCCGCCAAAAAAGAAAGAAAGACCTACAGCGGACGCGCACGGCGCAGAGCGAGACAGGAGGCAGAGGGGATGCACGCCTGTCCAAACACCCTGCCTACATCCCCCGTCGATACCTACCTAACTACCTGCGTGCGCGCTCACCTCACCTCTCTACCTGTCTACCTGCCTCGTCCGGGCCCAGCCCAAGGCTCGAGGTTAGCAGCGGGCCGTCGCCGGCGAGATATACGCAGTAGGTGGTGAGTAGATCTCTGCTCCACCTTGCGTGGGAAGAGAGGAGGGGGCCACCGGCACCAGAACCAGAGCCTGCCCTGCCCTGCCCTGCCTTAAGCTAAACCCTCCCTCTCTAGAGCTCGGGCAACCGTGCCGATTCGTGGTCTTCTCTCTCTCTCTCTCTCTCTCTCTCTCTCTCTCTCTCTCTCTCTCTCTCCCTCCCCCTCTCTCTCTCCGGGAGAGGGGCTAGACGCTTCACCATTGCCCGCCCTCCGCCTGGAGGACCAGCTTCTGCGGACGCGCACAACCTCCGTACCTAGCAGACAAGCCGATGCGCCCCCTCTACCCCCCCCCCTCCCCTCTCCCGTGATCGAGCGGCCGCTACCTAGCTACTTGCTGATAGTGCCCGATCTTGGGTCCAGAAAGGGGAGGGGGAGGGGAGAGACCGCGAATCGTGGTTCGGGTGAGCTAGCGGGTGGGCGAGCTGCCGTACGCAACCACATTATCCCTACCTTGCCGCCGTGTGTGTATGGTAGGGTAGGTAGGTAGGTAGATCGGTAAGGCTAGATAGGGTTAAGGAGCAGTGGCATACGTAGTGGTCTCTCTCTCGTGCGCGCTCTCTCGCTCCCTCTCTCCTGCGTGTGCGTATGTGAGGGTGCGTGTACGTGTAAGACAGCTTGGTTGGGTCAGTTGGTTTGGTCGCCGCGTCACGCATGTATGTTAGGTAGGTAGTTGGCGTAAGCCGGCTTTACAGAGCGAGCGCGCGGAAAGCCTGCCCGCCCGCACGAATACCAGACACACAGACAGACAGTCGGCCAGTCGTCGAGCTGGCAGTGGACCTGCTGCTGCTGCATCTCTTTCTCCCTTTCTCTGCCTGTCTCTCTGCCTCTCGGTCTCTCTGTCTGCCTCTCCTGTCTCTGACCGTAACAGTCCCCTCAAGCACGTAGGTATGTCGTATGTGCGCACCCACCACACGCACGTATGCATGCATGCGGGTAAGCCGCTACCTAGGCAGGCCAAGCTGCGCCATGTCCATAGACATGTACGTGTGTATGTACGTACGCAGGTAGAGAGATGGGTAGGGCCGGGGAGGAACATGAGGGAGGAGGAGGAGGAGGGAAGGCCACCAACGACGACCGCGCTCTTGACCGAAAAAAAAATTCACACGCGCAGAGGGAGGTGGTACAGACGGTATACAGGATACCTACCTGACCAGGTGGGCTATAGAGAGACAGCCAGAGACAGAGGGACCGCCGGACGCGCCAATGGCATCGCGCGCTCGCCCGCGTAACTCGCGAGCCCAACCTCCCCCCCCCTCCTCCGGCCGCATTCGAGGTCGCCTTAGCGTTATTGTATACCAGGCCAAGCAGGCTCGGTCTCTGCGTCTCTGTCTCGCTCTCCGGCTGGCTGGCTGGCTAGCTCGCTGGTTGGCTGGCTGGCTGGCTGGCTGGCTGGCTGGCTGGCTGAGAGGAGGTCCCATAGGCCTGCGGAAACGGGCGGCCCGGCCGAGGTAAATAAACAGACGGATAGGTAGGCAGGCGCAGGTATAAACAACACGACCTGGATGAGCTCGAATGCGAGCTCGTTGTTCTGGCCGTTGGTCGCGGGCACACAGTATGGAGTGTGTGTGTGTGTGTGTGTGTGTGTGTGATACAGAGGGGGAGGAAGAGCAGCAACAGGAGGAGAAGGATTGTTGGCCGATTCACCGGACCCATTCCTGTAGGTTATAGTGGATGAGGGTGGATGTGCGGGTATGTGGATGGGGAGTGGATAAGGCAGATTTGGTGCAAGTCTTGTTGGGATAGGGGGGGGGGATGGAGACGGGGCCATGTAGGCAGGTAGGTAGGCAGGTAGGTATACACAAGCCTTCCTGCCGACTACCTATTATAGACCTGCCTATATCCATCAACACCACACAGCACACCGCACCTGTACGCGCACATCAACACACATAAACAACATCCCCATGCCCATGCTCATACACGTCTGTCTGCTGGATAGTGCTATGCCGTTGGGACCCTCAGGTGCGACGCTGCGCTTGGCTCCAGTAACCAGGTTAGTCGGAAGGGCTCGATCGTGTTAGTCCCTCTCGGGCATCTAGTGTATTCCGCCAACATTCCAGCAAATTGCGCCTGGCCGAAGTGTTAGTCTTGCTACCCGAGAGGTCAGATCCTTCTTTTCTTCTTTTCTCTTCTGCTTCTATGCCTCTTTCTCGAACTAATCCTGTCGAGGATTGCCGCCATCCGTACGTCATGTCGCTGTACACCGTCTGCCTGTCCGTAGTTGCTTCATCCCCTCCCCCTTCCCTCCCTTTTTCTACCCCCTTTCCTAGAGACTGTAGACCAATCATCGGCCAACGACACTAAATAGGGAGGGATAGAGACAGAGAGAAAAGCATCATAATCAAATGACATAAAAGTGTTGCTCTATAAAAGGTTTTTTTTTTCCTACGGAGGTATCGCTTCATGTATATAACAGCCCTCGAGGTGAAAAAAAAAAAACCCCCCCCGAAGGGTTCCGCCGCTGTGACGCCCGCTGAGCAAAACACCGCCGATCAACTCCGTCGCAAGAAGCTTCTTTCCGAACACGTTAACCGCCCCGAAATGACCTGTTCAAACCCAAAAAAAAGAGAAAAGACACCGGGGCTTGATTTCCCCTTGGTAATGCCAGATACGCCCACGAGTCTACGTCATAAGAAGCCGTAAAGTCGTTTCCACCGCTCGTTCTTCTCGTCCATCTCTCCCCTTCCCTGCTTCCTCCTCCTCTCTCTCTCTCTCTCTCGGACGTATCCTCGCCCGGAAATCCCCTGTAAATCCGCCGAAAAGAAATGGGGGAGGGCGCAGATTAACCATCGATACGCCGCCCGTGGTTCGAAATATCGCAGAAATGGAGAGAAAGATGAGAGAGCGCGAGCGGGTAAATATGAATGAGTGGATAAATGAAGCCGTTGCAACAATAGATATGGACAAATGGAAGTAGACGGTGCATGCCGGTGCAGATGCCATTGCGAGATAAGGGGGGGGGAGGAATCGGGTGATAAGACTTTAGTTCGTTTCGGATTGGTGCTAGTGATGATGGTAGTGGTGACGGTTGCTGAGGGACGTCGGTGTCGATACCGAGTTGCTGTTTAAACTGCGTTGGTTCGAGGAGGAGCCGCGGCGGCGGCCGTTACGGCTGCTACCGCAGCCTGCGCCTTGGAACAGTCCACATGCGTCGTTTTCCTCCTCTTGCCTTTCGGTGCCGGACCCACCCTCGGCGTGTACGTGACAGTCCTAGTAACCACCTCCCGGATGTGTCGCACGCTCTTGCTCGACGATTTGTGCGCCCTGCAATCCTGCGAGTGCCTGAATTTCAATGCCGCTTCCCAGTCGAAGGACGACCGCACCGATCTCGCGCTAAAAGGTGACCGGGCGCCAAGCGGCGAGTCTATCGTCGACGCCGCGGGAGACGGCGGCATGTAGATGCTAGGGAACGAGGTCGCTCCCGCTAGCGGAGCGGACATGGGCTGGCTCGGAAAAGGGCTCGGCGGGATGCCGGCAGCTGGCCTGTGGTTCCCGCATTTGCAGGAGCAATCCGTCTGTTCGCTGCTTGCGGTTGACGGTACTGATTCCTGTGCCGAATCGTCTTCCGGCGTGCTCGTCCCCGACCTCTTCCCCGGTACCACTGGCGAGGCTACCGACATGGCCTTGAGGAAATCCATGTAAGCGGTAGGCGGGGTGATAGGAGTTTTAGCGCTGCTGGGAAATTCCTCCTTGATGAAGTCCGGGACGGCCGAACGAGGCGTCTTGGCCGACAGGGCGGACAGTTCTGAGGGAAAAGTCGCCGTGACGGGCGTCTTCAGCTGCGCGAGCTTCGGTTTGACGGCAGGCATCGTGGCGAGCTCCTAGACAAAGAGAGATAAAGAGAGGAGGAGGAAAGACGGGAGAGGGCGCTTAGACGGGCGAGAGTAAGTCGTGAGTATAGCCTCGAGTCAAGTGAATGACTCTGGGGGGATAGGAGGAGAGAAGAATCCAAGACGTCTACAGGCAGCGCGGAGAAGTCACCGTAGAGGAAGGCGAGGACGAAGAACCCGGCGCTGGGTAGGGCAGCAGCAGGTGTGCGAGAGAGGGAGAGAAGAAGGGACAGGCGGTTATAATAATAAGAAGTGACCCTGGTGGTGGGACCAGGGATGGGCAGGACGCTGCGTGGAGACAAGGATTATAGGCAGGAGGCCGTGGCACGCTGCCTAGTCGATGCTGAGACGAGAGGCGCCAAACGGGGAACCCAGAGCTGCCCCCCACTGGGAACGCTAGAATCGATGTGACAGGTCCGATGGCGCGGGCGTGGCTCCAGAGAGAGTGCCTGGGGGGGGTGAGGAGGGTGACGAAGGCTTATACCGGAACGCGAGGCGCTGCTACTACAGGTAGAGACAGCTATGTGTACCTATCGTCTGTAGGCGCCGGTGAGCTATAGGCCAGGGGAGTGAGAAGGGGGGGGGGGCAGGTGACGGACGCAAGCACGAACCTACGAAGAGGAGGAAAATAAGGGAGGCCAACCTTCCTCGGCCGGCTAGTGGAGCGCAGGAGGAGAGGGCCGGCGCGAAGGATAAAATAAAAATAAAAAGAATAAAAGGCAGAGTCGAGCTCCGGCGGCAGCGGTGGGCCAGTGACGGGCGGGCAGGGCGAGGAGGCCCTGGGATTGGCTGGGGTCAGGCGGTAGGGATCAGGTGCCTTAGCAGAATCAAACCCTAGGTGTAGACGGCTGTCGGCTGTAGGCCAGGTAGGGAGGTACCTAGGACGTGCTGACTGCCGCTCGAGGTACTTAATTAGCCTGGATGTGCGACTGCGTACGGGATGTAGTAGTAGTAGGCATGCGTGGGAAATGGTAGGCAGATGTGTGGGTTGAGCAGACGTGGGTGTGTGTTGCGTGAGATGCGTCTAAGAGTACATCCCGATGCGCCTTGTGGCCCAGCGATCGGTATCTCTCCCTCTGCTGCAAGTGTGTCTCGTCTCGGAGAGGAAGAGGAGGGCGCGCGCCTGTGCAGATCCCCGTGTGTCGTTATTGTTTATTATGATTATGATTATACTGCCAGTCTGACTGGTGCTCTCCTTCGGGCGGCGAGGAATTGCAGGGTCGAGATCTCGCCTCAGAGGAAGAGAGGGAAGCGGGCGGGCAGGGGTGAGGGGGGGCGTGAGAGAGCGAGCAAGCGAGCGAGCGAGAGACAGCGAGAGGGGTGCGGGAGAAGAGGGGGGGGTAAAGACAGACGAGAAGGGAGAAGAGAGAGCGAGCGAGAGGGCTAGATTGTAAGCGTGTATGTATGTGTGTGTGAGAAAGAGAGAGTGATGTGTGTGATGGGTGACGGGCGATGGGCGCGAGTGAGGGAGACGGAGAGAGAGGGAGAGGAGGCCAGAAATCGGTAGGTACCTACGAGGAATTGACTGATCGTTTGATTGGTTCAATTGATGAATTGACTCGATGGACAGTGGGAGAAGGCTCAGGCCTGCATCCAGGCAGGTATAAGCTACTTCAACTGGGTTGCCGTTGAATTAAGCCAGCTCCGTCCAAGGACCCGTCCGATGTCGAGCGTGATTGGCCTGATAGCCTCCCCGCCAGGTGCCTGTAGGTACCTTGCTCTGCAGGTAGGCAGATTAGGTACTTCGAGCACAGGCAGTATGTCGTAGCGAGAGCTGCCGGCGGTACGGAGGGGACGGATGGGCGAGCCAGGCCAGGCGATGTAGCGCTCGCGGCTACCGGGCTCGAGTGGCTAATAGCAGAGGAGACGGTGGCTAGGGGATCGGTGGCTCGGCGGGGGAGGGGAGAGGTATCCGGTACTTGGTGTTAAGCGCTGCCGCTACTGGGCTATCCTGCTATATTTGGGACCTGATTAGCGCCGCTCCGATGCCCGCACTTCTGATTCGCCCTCTGCCTCCCCCCCCCCTGGTCCCCTGTCCAGGCTATTACCCACCTCCCCCTGTCCCCAGGTCTGCCCAGGCAGGGCCGGCCAGGAAGCACCGGCCAGGGAGGTTCGTCCAGGCTCGTCCCCAGCCGTCGAGTTGCGTTCCGTCCCCCGAAACAAATCCTCATCTGAAGAACCTCCCATCTCCCATTCTCCCGTCTCGCGTCTCCCCGTCTCCACCACTCACCTTCGCGTAATCCGCAGCGGCAGTTGTGCCCTCTATCCAATGGGCTGTGCGCGTCTCTCGCCTCTCGTGTCTCCGTCGACTGTCGATCGTTGCTTGCTGATTGTTGGACAATGGCGCCGAGCTGACAGCGAGCTGAGCACGGCAGCGGGCTGACAGCCGAAGAAGAAAAAGGTGACGGCGGAGTGAAGAAGAAAGGTGCAGAGCCCGGGATGGCCGTCGATGCTGTGATGCCAACTGTGATGTCGCACGCCTACAGGCTGACGCACATGGGCTTCCCGTCTTCGCCGTGCTTTGTTTCAGGCCGGTCTTTTTTTAGGCAATGTGAGCTCCGCTCGTCTCTCTGTTTTGGTCCGCGATCCTCTTGCCGATACGCACGTAGGTTGGACTGACCGCGATTCCGAAGTCTGGGAGCCGGTGCCGTTTTATGCATCGTCGTAGTCCTCCTTCATCTTGTTTTCGTTCCGTCCCTCGTCATCGTTAAGCCCTACCTGTCTGTGTATCGCGTGCCGCCGCTTCGTGCAGCGCGCGGCTCGCCATACCAGCTCTGAACTGCTTTCGTCGCCAACGGGAAACTCTCCGTCTGTCTTTTTTACTTCCCTCTTCCCTCTCTCCCTCTCTCCTGTTCCATGAATAGCATCGGGGCATCCCTGTCGCGCCTCGGATGGAGCGCGCGCCACATGGTGGGCGCCGGCTGAAGACACCTCCCCCTCTATCGTTGGTCGACGCGACTTCGGTAAATCTTCCTCGGTCGTTAACGTGCATGGTTCGCCATACGGCGCTTTCTGGCGAAACTCCTATCCCGTACTCCCCCGTACTCCAGCGCGCGCTTCCGCAGGACCGGGGCGCGAGCGCCGCTGCCGGCCATGATGCTGGCTGGCGCTGGAGGCTGAGATGATTGTATCCGCCTCGAAACCAGGCATAGACGCCATCCAGGCTGTTTCTATTCCAGTCATTTCTCTGCCGGCGGCGCTGTGGAGCCCGCTTAAGCGCCCCCCTGGCTTCGCTAATATATCCACGCCGACTAAACCCTCCCGCTTTCTTCGCTAGGCGTTTTCCGCGCTTAGGATACAGCTTCTCCAGCTAGATCGCCCGTAACGCCACGCTGCTGCTATGCGGCAGCAGAAAGGCCCGCGCCTAACGCCTGCACTAGCACGAAGATATTCATATCTACCCCGCGATCCAGAACCGTGATGGGGACGATGGATTGGCTCGGGCCCGTAACGGGTCGTGACCAGGGCTGCCGCTACCCAACCACCGATCTCCCCACGAAAACGCGGCAAAGTAGCTTCGGGCAGTCGATGAGGAGAATTCTGTGGCTGAGAGAAGCCATTTAGCTGCAAAACAAAACAGAAACATCCTGGTATCGATGCGATGGTGTCAGTTCCTAAACTACAAACTGGGATACATCGATACGTTGCCTGAATCCAGACCAGGTCAGTTCGCTACCTATCGATTCTGCGCTTGGCTCAGATTTCGAAAACGGACAAGCATCTATTGAACCCCGTTACCTCGACAGACGGGGCCATCTTTCTCCCACTCGATTTCGACTTGCCTCTGCCATCGTGTCCCAGTTTCAAACTATGGACGGCATCTTCTGGCAGATTGCTGCCCAAGCTAGATGAGAGATCGTTCTCGCAATGTTCAAGACTCAACCTTCGCGGTGACCCATCTATGATCCCCTCTATGGGTGCTATGGTACGCTGGGTCGGGTAGGTATCCCGTAAGTGAAGTTAATCATGGTGAATATCTTGAAACTCCGCGTTTCACCCTTATGAGATGCCTGCGCCTGACGCTGGCGTTTCCGCTGCCGTCAATACGTAGCTCCTCTAGCGAGAGTGAACACTGACCACTCTCATTGTCTTCAGCGCGGTGTTTCGCCACCCAGCAATGGCCCCAAAGGCGTTGTTAGCATCGCCCTAGGCAAGTTTGGAGACAGGGGAGGGAGGAGGGTTCAGCACACATACAACGCCCATTCTCATGGGCCATCGTTGACTATACTACCTTGCTTACGTTCGAGTGTATGCGAATCACCAAGCAAGCTATCTTCGCGCCTAGCAGACAGGAATGAGAGAGCATACCTACCTTTGAAATTGCGTAACCAGGACTTTGTCCTCGTATTTGTGGGTGTGAGTTTCCCAAGCCTTACTACCACTTTACTCGACTGACTCGTCTCAGCCAACGGAAAGCGAAAAGTTCGTCCCAATGTAACCCGAGAAGAGACCTTCCTTCATCGGTTTACTTGCCCCTTTCGCCCAATCGCCAGTATTCTGGTCTAATATCTAACGGCTGGGATCGATCTTTGCGGTCCCTCTTCTTCGCCCCGGTCTAGTTTCTCTCCTCCCCAAACGCCGATATCCCCTATCTTTCCTCCACCAGACCCAGCCAGGCTAGGCCAGAGTAGCACTCGACTACGAACCTAGGAGGCCTTGTTTTGCCCCTTTCGCCTCTTTGCTTTTTGACGTCTTTAACCCAGGCCGCCTTACCTAGCAGCGGCCACGTGTTCTGCCACGTTGACGTATCTGCTCTCCTCCATCCATATCGTCAACGTCAGTCCGGCGAAAACGGGTCGGTCCGTCTCCCTTCTCAGTCTCGAAGCCGGTGAAAGCTGCAAAGCGAAAGCCCCCCTGAGAGTAGGCGGTGGGGAATGTCGAAGGTCCAACGCGAGATGCGAGCGCTTCGAGGAGGGGGCCTTTCTGAAAGAGGAGGATGTGGGATTAGGCTGGCTATCGACTTACGAATACTCCTCCACCCCCCTCTCCCCTCTCCCAATAGACGAACAGAACTAGGTCGAGGCTTCTGCGAGTCGCCCCAACGATCTACGCCGAGTCTATAATTGGTATGCTCATTATGATCTGGCGAGATACATTCGCGCCCACCTCCACCGATGCGGGTCTCTGAATCGCTGGGGATGGTAAGGTCGCCAACGTACGAAGCAGCAACCACTTGGTCCGAAGCCATGGCCCGCAGTTCCTCAATTAAGCTCCCCTATGAGGCATATGCGGTGCCAGCGAGATCATCAACGGTCTCGACGCACGTACGTCTACCCCGCTGCTCCAGGGTGACGCTCGCTGCGGGTTTGAGTAGGGGATGCCAACGTTCATCAGGGGTATGGAGGCTTTCTCGAGAGCCATGCCCGGGGGTTGACCGAGTATCAGGTATTGAAGGCGAGTTTTGGTGAACTTGCCACGGGGGTCGGATCAGCAAGTCTCTCAGACGACAGAGAAGTCAGGGATGAGCCCGGTCCCACCTCCCTCGCCCTCGATGTGGCGGACACTTATAGGTTGTGGTATTCTGGACGGGCATTCGTCGTTATCTCGAGGGGAAAACAAAGACTACAGCTTAGTTCGACGGATCGGAGGGGCTCCTAACCTTCGTGTACAC